CTCTATACCATCAACATCTACCAGGACAGGAGATGAGGAAGAGTTCAGGTAAGACACAGAGACAGAAAAAGACCAGGATGAGGGAGAGCAGATGGATGAGGGAGAGCAGATGGGTGAGGGAAAACGGGGAGATGAGCCAGATGAAAGAAGTACGCTTTAGTCTGTTCTGTTGGTGGTGTGACTTTTTTCCATTGAAAACTCACGTTTAGAGAATGTTACAAATAAAAGTCAAATTTCATTCAACATGCGTGTCTTTTTTTTTATAATTAAGTGTTCCACGTGCGCTAAAAAGTGCCCCCCCCACCCCCCCCTCCTGAGCACCCAAAATGTCTGTGCACGCCTCTGGTCCAAGCATCAACAATCCATCCGCAAACGGTGGCGTAACTTGCCCGGCGCTGCCTTCCACTTTTCCTGAAACTGTGGTCTCCGTCGGTCATCCATCGCTCCCACGCCGCCCGCAGCCTTACTTTGAACGGCCGGTTCATACCGATGTCGAGCGGTTGAAGTTCCTTTGTCAGACCTCCCGGGATAATGGCGAGCACAGCGTTCATTTGATTCACCATGTTTTTCTCATCAGCTGTGAGATGGGCACGCATGGAGTTACAGATTAACAGCGATGGTGATGAGTGGAAAAAAAACACCTGGTCTCCTCACATACACCTCCCTCAGCCACGCTTTCATCATCTCCTCAATGAGGTGGTCTCAAAAGTCGCAGTTACAACACACATAGGGCGCACCGCACCAAAGGGCGCACCGCACATTTTGAGGGAAAAAAAGACGTTTATGTGCGCCTTATAGTCGTGAAAATACGGTAATTTGGACACGTTCGGCGGGCCGGATTAAAAAGCCTAACGGGCCGTATACGGCCCGGGGGCCGTAGTTTGCCCATGTGTGATCTATCCGTCTGCAGCAGCCTTCTCTTTGCAGAGCCGTGTGTGAAGTACCGTTGGCTCTGACTGTGAGTTTTTTGTTTTATTTGGCAAAATGTTTATTAGATTTTTGTTAATTATTATTCCACTACTAGATGAAAAAAAGTAAAAATGTATTATTATCAACAGCAGGGGTCGGCAATCCAAACTGCCACATAGGACAAAAAAAAAAACACACAAAACTAATCTGTCTGAAGCCGCAAAAATGTAAAAGTCCAATATAAGTTCACCAAGCTCTGCTTCACCGCACTTGACCGCACGGTTTAGGTTTTGTTGCATTGATGGAAATAGGATCAAGGAATCTTTCTATGGTGGACGTGTTTCTGTTGGGAGGAGTTGATTGAGTCATGAGGAACCGAGCAGGAACTGACATCCATCAGAGCAGAGCTCTCTAACCCTGAAATCCCTCATCCTCCGTCACCAGTGTTCCTTGGTGCTATGTTTATTCTGACAATATGGGGTAAAAATAGAAGAAAGTATGGAAGTAAATATGTGCCATCAGAATTTGAATAAAAAATACCTCTGAAATTTGAATGTTGTATATTAGTGCTTACTTTTTCAGTATTAAAATAAATTCAGAATATATTTTTAACCTAAAAAAAATTCAATGTCATTATTTGTACATAAAAAAAAAAAATTCAGTGTAATTTTTTTTACATGGTTGCAATTTTCAGTTATTAAAAAAATTCACATTCCTATTTCAAAGTGATCAAATTTTCAATATACATATTTTTCACAGTTTAAATTTTCAGTGTTAAAAAATTCAGCATATAAAAAATTCAACTTTTCAAAATTCAAATGCAATATTTTCGTTGTCTTCCAATTCAACTTGCTCAAATTCACTGTCTCAAATTCAGCGTCTAAAAATTCGCTGTAAAAATGGCCAAGGTGGGCCGTTGTTAATCTTACACCGTGTAGTGCCGGCATATTACTTCTCGCTACCTCCGAGCACCCCCCCCCTACCTCCCCCCCCCGTTTTATTTAAAAAAGAAATACCCCTTGCGCCAAGTCTAGAATCTTTAAAGAGAACTGATGGGTGGTGACTTTCTGGGTTGTTTGTATGTTGTCTTAGGTGAGACTGAGACAGGCAGTCGATGCCTACTGTGCTCTTCTCCCATTAGAATTGTAGAAAATATATCAAGCACAAATAAATCTACAATTTGGTAGGTAACTGGTATTTTGAATGATGTTGTAATGACAATAAATTTCTTAATTAATTCATAAATGAAGTCACCTAACAATACAGTAGCTGATCAGAGTGGGGTCGGAACTGTTCACAGCCCCTCTTTGAAGCACACAAGGCAGCCATATTAGCTTACTACATTAGCGGTAGCATCTCCTGAAGAATTACGACTTTACTAAGACTGCCTGGAAAAGTGGTATTTCTTTTTGAAATAAAACGGGGGAAATTGGGGGGGGGGGGGGGGGGGGGGGGGGTGCTCGGAGGTAGCGAGAAGTAATATGCCGGCACTACAGATTAACAACGGCCCAAACCAGTGTTTTAAATCGGGCTTTAAGATAATGTATCAAACTTCATGCGCAAAATAAAATATACTACAGAAATATGAAAGCATTAAACTCACCGCTGGGTTTGAGTTCGCCTCCATGGTCACCAGCCTGGGTGATACTGGTACTTCTTCAATATGACGGTTGTGTCACGTGATTAGGTGGATGTTGGAATCGGACATCCATTGCTAATGTCTGTGACCTGAAGTAACCTTGGCCATTTTTACAGCGAATTTTTAGACGCTGAATTTGAGACAGTGAATTTGAGCAAGTTGAATTGGAAGACAACGAAAATATTGCATTTGAATTTTGAAAAGTTGAATTTTTTATATGCTGAATTTTTTAACACTGAAAATTTAAACTGTGAAAAATATGTATATTGAAAATTTGATCACTTTGAAATAGGAATGTGAATTTTTTTAATAACTGAAAATTGCAACCATGTAAAAAAAATTACACTGATTTTTTTTTTAATGTACAAATAATGACATTGAATTTTTTTTAGGTTAAAAATATATTCTGAATTTTTTTTAATACTGAAAAAGTAAGCACTAATATACAACATTCAAATTTCAGAGGTATTTTTTATTCAAATTCTGATGGCACATATTTACTTCCATAACAAAGTTTCCATCCCTGCATCAGAGCGCTACCTGTTGGATCTATGAACGGTATTCTATGTTTGCAACCAAACCAGCAGCAGTAGTGGAGTTTGGAGATGCAATCTATTTCTTAAAATTATCTTTGCTCTCCTCTAATTTATCCAGAAGTTCTGCAATCTCACTTTTTCTCTCCCTCATAGCTTGATGGTGGGCTGCAGATTTAGCCTTCCCTGGAAATGCATTTCCTAATCACTCTTTTTATTATTTGACAACCTCTAATTCAAAAGCAAACATGCAGGCAATCCTTCCTCATTGGTAATGAAAGCAAATAATTTGCTCCATTCTTCTTTGAATCCTCTTTTGGCATCAGCTATCTCCCTTTTTTCCCTTTGGGATCAATGGCCTGAGACACACCCACCGCTTTGTTTACAGCAGCCACCTGCCTGGCACCGCACTGCGCTGAAACCTGCTGCTAGGATATGACCACTGTTGTCTGAAAATTTAGATTTCTCTTATTTCATATTTTAATTTATGCAATTTACTCACAATAAAAGTTTTCACTCAGTCTGTTTCAACTGCAAGGCCACACAATTGTCCTGCAGGATGGTGTCTGTAGACCAGACCAGACATTTTCTAAGTCTGCTTCTGTCTCCTTGAACCCCAGTCGGCCTCAGCAGATGGCCGCTCACACTGAGCCTGGTTCTGCTGGAGGTTTCTTCCTGTTAAAAGGGAGTTTTTCCTCTCCACTGTCGCTACAAGTATGCTTATTGTGAGGGATTGCTGAAGAGTCAATGATTTGATGCAATCAGCTGGTTTTCCTTAGATAGAAAACTTTGAATCAATCTGTATGGATGCTTTGATGAACTGTAAAATGTCTTGAGATGACGTGATGTGAATTGGCGCTATAGGAATAAACTGAATTGAATTGAATTAAAGAACAAAGTCGGTCTGAGTTGAACTATTTGTTATTCTTAGTCCAGTAATCTGGTTAGCAGCATTGCTCTTTAAACATTTTCCTTTTATCAAATTAATTTGATATAACAAATAATAAAGTTATCTAATAATTAAAGGCGACCAAAAGTGAAGCTTTGAACAGTTTGCCGTTTATACCAAATCAGACACTAGAGCAGAGTCTTCAACATGAAACTAAATCATATCAGGCATAAACACCTCCACACTGCTACTCTAGAAAAAAGAAGTACTTCTAGGAGTCACGTTTAAGCAAATACAAAATGTTTGCATTAAGAAATTAGGTTTTAATCCATCTGGGTTAAATGGAATGATAAATCAGACTGTTGGGTTTTTTCTTTCGGATGTTCAGTTTTGCTTTGCTCTTTGTTGTAGAGTTTTTTATGGTTTAATTCTTATTTTGTTGTGTTCTTTGTTTTTTTTTCTTAGTTACTGTCTCAGTCTTGGTTCTGTTGTTTTCTTTTGAGTGTTTAGTTTTACTTTGCTCCATGTTTTATAGTCTTAGTGGTTTAATTTCCAGTCTTCCAGGTTTTTATTTGCTGCCCTCTTGTGGTCTCCTTTTTCCCTAGCTCCCTTTGTGTTCTGCTCTCTGCTCACCTGTTCCCAATCTGCTCATTAGCCCTCTCTTTGATTCTGTCTTCTATAAATGCTCTCTTCAGTTCTTCTTTGCTGGGTCCTCGTCTAACTTCCTCCAACTCGTCTCCATGAGCCTTCCTCCTCGTTACGGTGATTCCCCTGATGTCTCCATGTTTTTTGGTACGTTTTGACTTTGTTTTCATTTTCGATTTTTGGATTCCCGGTTTCCCGTTTATTTGAACTTTGTTTTCATATTTCGGATTACCTGCCTCTGCTTTCAGTTCACTTTCATTAAATCACCAAGAAATCTCACCTCTGCCTTCCTGCCTCTGCTTTCAGGTCAACAAACCATAACCAAACCCTGACACAGACCTCCTATTGGATCCCCATAAATGGAACAAAGTGAGTACAACAGAAATTAATTATCATGTTTCTTTAATTTTTATAAATTATTTACTTACAGTAACTGACAGGCGAACCCGAATCGACTTCAATCATTATTAACCCGTCATAACATTCTGACAGTGTGATAAAGACTTTAAATAATGAACGACATCAGGTTTCGATTCATGAAGCAATAATTTGAAGAGTTACGTCTGTAGTTTTCTCTTTGATTCGATCATTAGAAGCGAGAAGATCAGCAAATAATTTATTTTTCTGTTTAAGACACATTATAAAGTGATTTAAACAAACGACCAAAGGGGATCAAGAAAAAACCAGCAGTAATGTGAGCGTGGCATCTACAGGCGATCTGAACGGGAACCGGTGACTCATTGTTGCATCATCTGCTCTTCCACTGCCATCGCAAGGATGTGGCACAATTCCTTAGCCTGAAACAGAACAAACATGCAGTTCAATGAACGCTGCTTTCACTGACATTTATCAACAATACTAAACCAATATGCATTTTTTAGACCTCATGAATTCATCTGTAGATCACTTTTACTGTTTTTCTAAAAAAAACTCTAACTCTAATAACGCTTTAACGCTTTAACTCTAATAGTATTTGGGGAAAAAACTGGATGTGAAAATTACGATGCACTATTAGGGCCATTTGAAGAGATTTGAAGATTTTTAACTCGCAAAAAATAAAACCAGATTAAAAGAATTAAGTAGTGATATTAGATCAGTGAGAATTAAATCCTAACATTAAGAAATCAAAGTAACAAGAATAAAGTTGTAACATTGAGACCAAAGTCCTAAAATTACGAAATCAAACATAAAATCTTAACATTATGAGATTAAAGGTGTATTAAACAAGGAAAAATTCCTAATGAGGAGATAAAAGAGGTGACCTACTTTAATGTCAACTCTTACTAAAAGAGTTGTTCCTATTTTTTTAGAGCCCTAGTGGCTGTTTTTTTGGACAGTAGGCTGACAGGAAAGGGGGTTTGAGAGAGGAGAAGTATAGGGTCAACAGGTCAGATTCGAACCCGGGTATCCCGCGTCGAGGACTAAGGCCTCCATACATGGGTTGAAAAACATAAATCGATCACTGCATCACTGTAAAGCATAAAGTTATCCAACAAAAAGAACAAAACCAACAACATTAAACCAGAAACAAGCTTTTACCTGCTTGAGATGAATCAGAACCTTCTGCTGTCCAGCGAGGCCGTACTGAATCTCCACGGAGGGAAGCTTCCCTGTTCTCTTAGCACGGATGGTGCGCATGGACTGAACTTCTCCCAGAGCGATCAGAAAAACTCGCTCCTACAGCAGACAGACACCACAACCATCATGACACGAAAACCAAGATTTATTTATGAAACTACATTTCTAATTAGAGAAACACTTTAAAATAGTAGAATAAAGGGGCATTGCATATTATTTTAGAAAGAGCTTTAGTTCCACAGTAAGTAAAATAAGTGCCTGTGTGTTTAACAACATGTGACAAGTGATATAGTTCAATCTGGAAAATTAACACGAAGAAAAAGGACAATTAGGATAAATTTATTGATACAATTACTTTGTCTTTGGCGCTCAGACCTCGGCAGGAAACATAGCACTTCGTTTTGATAGATTTTCATGAACAGGAGTAAAGAATAGGGCTGTTTTCCCCCAGGCCTAAAACTGGTGTTGGAGTGGAGATAGAGGAAGATGGTCAGTCTGTAGACTGCTGGTTAGAGAGACGGTCTGCTGAGCTTTATGAGGAGATCCAGTGGACTGCGAGAGCTGATACTAGAGCTTCACTCCGGGACCTGGAAGATGGAAGTCCAGTTTGGATAACGAAGGTTGAGAGAACCTGTCTATGATGAGCAAGCATGAAGCGACAGTGGAGAGGAAAAACTCCCCGTTGGGAAGAAGCTCTGGGAGAACCAGGCACAACATGGCGGTCTTCTGCCGGACCGGTTGAAATGAGACAGGGAACGCAGTAAGAGTCCAGGAGGAATGACGCTCTGATGAAGCTTTAGCTATCATGGTGGAGGAGGGGCTGGAGGGGGGTTGATATGGTGTCATCTGAATAAAGTCAGACAGCGCATCCACAACCTGCGCACAGGAGCAGACCGTGCGGATCGGAGGCCTTTTAAGACGAACTTTGGATGCCGATTGGCTTTCATGGAGGTGTGGTTCAAAGCTGATTTGCTGTGTTGCAGGTGGATGAAGGTAAACAATCAGCTTCTTCAGTTGAACTTCCACCTAGGCTCCATTTTTACCCACGGGCTGTAAGTTGGAACAGTCCAGTAATGCGTACCAGTAAAGATTTAGGCGGGTATGCAGCCAGGAAGAGCTGCTGGCTGCTATTTAGTGCTCCGATTTCAGCGCTCAGTTACCACCTTGGTGAGACAGTTGTGAAATGGTCAGATCATTCATTGCGTGTCTGATGCTTGGTCAACTCTGCTCCACCAGCTATGCTCGTGTAGAAATCCATCCACTCTGCTATCTCTACATAATAAATTATTATTATCTGCAGAGGTGGAGGCGGTGATGGGAAACTTTCCTTTCTACAGAAGGAATCCCTAAACTGTATACAGAATAAATATTTTGTTGCTTGCTGTTTATTTTTTGATAAAGGCACATAGAACATTAAATTAAAGTCTGTATTGCTGGATTTACAGGTTTTCTGTGTATTTTTTTTTTTTTACATCCCACCCCCATATATATATATTATTTTTTCTTCTTTATATATATATATATATATATATATATATATATATATATATATATATATATATATATATATATATATATATATATATATATATATATATATATATATATATATATGTTGCTTGGACAGTTCAGGTCGGTAATAGCATCTAATGTCAAAGAGCAAACACTAGAAGTTTGCTGCCCTGTATTAACTACCATCCAGTAACACCACAGATGTTGTACAGAGCTGTCTACATGTCCCAGTTTAAGGCAGCACTGCCAGGGTGGAGTTGTGGACATCAGTCCTCTTAAATTACATCACAACAATAAGATGCAGTACCTTATTTCCACCTGAGGGGGGAGCCAAATGAGCGATTTAAAAATATGTGTAGGTAATTAAATAATGCCTGAGACAAGAAAAAAGCAGTGTAATGTTGGGTTAAAGGTGGGGTATGTGATGTTTTCTGGAGCATGTTTTTACCATACTGATTGAAAACCTCCTCACGAGCCCATTGCGCCAACTGAGATAGAATGTTTGGAAAAAAAAACGAAATCTTTTAGTCCAGTGTAGAGGGCGTAGTCAGAGGAAAACGCAAACCAATAGAAGTAACTATCATCCCTACTTCTACTGGTTTCTGGCACGCCCATCAACCGTCAGCTCTGAGCTCTCCCCACCCCTCCCCCCTGCGCGTTCACAGACTCGTGACACCCCCCCCCCCCCAAGTGCCGCTGAAGGGAGGACCTGTTCGAATTTACAGACAGAACTCTTGTGGTCTCCTTATTTTCAAGGACTTCGAAGGGTCCAGTCTAGGTAGACCGCGTCCTTGGAGGATGCAGCCCAGGTTTTTGAACAGAGCCTCTGATTAAGAACAGGGCTGCCTGCACTGACGCGGCTCAGGGATTACGTCACACGGAGCGTCGTGCGCAGTGAAATCAGGACATTTCCTCACTTTCTAAAAAAAACCCGGGACGCCCGGGACAGGACGTGAAATACGGATATGTCCCGGGAAATACGGACGTTTGGTCACCCTAATCAATACTTCTTGAAATGACAACCGTGACAACTTGTTTACGACCATATTGAATTGTTCAACACTCTTACCGTACTAGGAGAAGACGACGCCATCATGGAAGTTAGCCTGTTATGTTGTGGTTAGCTAGTAATAGACATGAGCTTCTCGCCTCATCCCGAGTCACGTGCACTCGCGAGGTCTCGGCCTGTTTCTTTCTCGTTCTCGGGAACATCCGAACATTCTCGACTGACAGCAGGAGCGTTCATGTAATTTGGAGGCGTGGTTTCGTGGGGTGGGCTGAAGGTGTGTATTTTCAAAAATGTAGCTGGCAGGAACCGTTTATCCAGGATCATATACCCCACCTTTAACACACGGTTTTCACGCCTGGAGTGATCGATGAAAATGTTATCGCCATGCAGCTCAGTAGTTCAGCACGACAAGGCTAGGTGACGAAAAAAGCTGATTTATGGCGATTATAGCGAAGAGAGAATACAGAGCAAAAAACACAGGTGTTGAAAAATCAGAACTTTAGCTTCTTTTTTGCTTGTGAAAACCAATCAGGGTCTAGACGTGGCTGTGGCGTCAGAAGGCGCACAGCAAGGAGAAGCTTCTTCAATCAAAATACAGGATAGAGAAAATTATGCTGACAACAGCACAAGGGAAAAATACTTCTGAGACATTTGTAGATATATATATATATATATATATATATATATATATATATATATATATATATATATATATATATATATATATATATATATATATATATATATATATATATATATATATATATGAGAAAAAATTCTGAAAAAGAAAAACTTGGTCTCATCTGTCACACAAGAGCAACATTTTAAAGGGTATAGATTGTTTTTAAAACTGTTTTAATTTAGTGGCTGTGATGCAGCTGTAGCTCCTAGACTCCTCGAAACGGGAGGATCTGCCACTCAATCCGCTAAATCCAGGTCCGCCACACTAAGGTGAAACCGACAACTAGCAAATGCGATGATGAGCCTTTTTACCCAGCAACTTGCTGGTACTAAGGAACGCTAGCTATGAATAAACCTTTATACATTTTATCTGCAAAAGAAGGTTGTTTTTTTAGGGTGAGTTGCCCTTTAAGACTGATTTACCTGAGAAAATACATTTAATACTGCTTTTAAATTCCACACAACTAAATGGATGGAGGGAATGTGACATAAAGCAAAAGCACAAATTCACACAGCAACAACAGAAACTTACTCTAAAACTGCTAACATATCATGAGAGAGGCTCAAGCCATGATTTTAAAGAAGAAAAATTACCTGAGTTGTAGGATGAATGAAATGCACTCCCTCCTTGTTGAGGCTGACAAAGCAGGGGGAAGGACAGCCTCGCTGACTAACCTTCTTGGCCAGGAAAACATTGGAGCCAAACAAAGGGAGAGCGCCCAGAGTCTCTGGGATACAAGATTAGCACAGTTATGGCATTCATACAAATAGCATCATTGTTATCCTCATGGAAATAACAGCTTCTACTCACCAATAAATCGAATTTTTGCATCTGGTTGATTGAGAGACACCATGGCGGCTAACGCATTATGGAAGATTGACAGGATTTCTTCAGGGTTAATGTTGGGCATGCCTTGTGATGGGAGGTATTGCTTTAGCTCTTGTCTAGGAGAGGAAAAAAAAACAAATATGTTTGGAAAAAGTACAAACACACACAGATGCCAGCAGTGAAATGCGGTGGTGGACACCAGCAGTAGGCAATGCTATCCTAATCCTAGTGAGCCTGGTACCGTGAGGCCAAGCGTTCACCTGTCCGTCCGTCACACAGGCAATTAAAAAAATAAAAAAACTGGGCTAAGAGGAGTTTGGAAGGACCATGGAGAGAGATTCAATTCTATTCAGTTTATTTCTATACACTGAAAAAAGTAATGCAACATTTTTTGGTATTTACTTAATCATATATAGTTACTTTAACACAATTCTTTCATGTTAGCAGGGTAGGACATAAAACAATTGTGTTAAAGTAACTAAATTTGATTAAGTAAATGCCAAAGGGGGTTGAATTCTTTTTTTCAGTGTAGCGCCCATTCACAACACGTCATCAAATTGATTCAAAGTTTTCTATCTAAGGAAAACCAGCTGATTGCATCGACTCATTGACTCTTCAGCAATCCCTCACACTAAGCATGCTTGTAGCGACAGTGGAGAGGAAAAACTCCCTTTTAACAGGAAGAAACCTCCAGCAGAACCAGACTAGACCGATCGACTACGAAGGGAAATAGGCTGCTGTGGCTGACACACCTCTTCAACATGGCATGCAAGTCATGGACAGCGAAGCTGTATTGGGTGGAGGCTCCCCTTTAAAAGAAGGGCGACTGGAGGGTGTGTTCCAAATATAGAGAGATAACACTCCTCATTGAGTTTGGTATATTCTGATTTATATGATTCATTCCTTTTATGGTTGAAGTGATTTTTACTGTGTCTGTGGTTATGATTTTAAAGCATCGTTCAGGTGTTTTCTTTCACTCATCTTTGCATCTTTAACTGTCTCTACTGATCGCACTCACACTGAGAGCTGGTTGCTGTGACCCAGAGCCACATGCTGCAGGGCTGCAAGTTCTGCTGCGGTCGCTCCAGCATTAGGAGGGATCACCGTCTTACCACTGAGGTATTCTTCCAGCACCTTCACACACAAGAAGAACGGGTCAATCCAGATAAAATCATTTTGCACCAAGTCTGAGAGAAAGAGTCCTCTTACCTGCTGATAATGGAACTCCACATAGAGCTCATTCCTGAAGGAAAGAGGCCTTTCCCAGAGGACCCTCCTAAAGAAGAATAAGATGGAGCCGTCGTCCAGTAAGAAGTCAAACAAGTACTCCTCAGGACGCAGGGGGCGCATTATCCCATCTGACACAGAGGACCAAAGAGGTTTAATGGTGGAACAGAAACCTGAAGTGTTTATCTGACATGAAATGATCCAGATTTGTTTCTTTGTAATTCAGAAACATCATTTATAAAACTAGAAAAGCTCAAACCAGTGACGTCTGCATGGTTTTACATGATGGTTCTATCTAACCAAAACTAAAAAGAACCATCAGCCGGACCAAAGCCACTTATTTAGAAAACCAAGATGGCGGCCGTCTGGAGATCAGCATAAGGTTCCTGAATGACCTCAGACCATGATGAAGCGAGTCCTCTGGTCCGAGGAGACACCGGCTGTGTCTGACCGTCTCTGCTCTAACCACTATATAGTGGCTACGCCATTTTAAATGGTTGTCTGAACGTCTAGTGGATGAAAAAGTAGTGGACTCAAGATTTCACATAATGCCCCAAAAATCAGTTTATAAACACTGGCTGTCCCATCATCACATCATTACATCAAACATTGGTTTGGGGGCGTGCAGGTGGGCAGTGGTTAGCGAGCCTGACCCGTGGACGGAGGCCTTAGTCCTCAACGTGGACGACCCAGGTTTCAATCCGACCTGTGGTCCTTTGCTGCATGTCTGTTCCTCTCTCTCATCCCCCCTTTCCTGTCAGCCTACTGTCGAAAAAACGAGCCACTAGTGCCGTAAAAACTCCCCAAAAAAAATATTCCACAGTGTTCTCGATGAAGGACGTTCTGAATGCACAGTGACAGAACTATCTGTGAAGAATGATCCACTCCGTCTGTGCTCCCATTTCCTTCCCAGATCATTATGTACATAACGGAGATGATAACTTTCTATCCTGACAGAAGAACTGTCCGAATTAGATACTGTGCTTGAGAAAACGTTATTCCTAACACGCAAATGGCATGTATTATTAGGCTTTAAAGGAAAAGTCTGGTCATATTCAGAATTAAAACTTCTGAAAGAACTTTAAATATGAAATGATTACATACTGTTCAATAAATTTTAATTTGAATGTGCTTAGTGTTATAACTAATGGTAACAGTGTCACATTTAACTTTGCATCATCTTGAAAAACAATTTATTTTGGTATGTGCTCAACAACAAGTGTGGGCAGCACCGAGTCCAACCACAAAGAACTTAATTGTCTGGATGAAGCTGATTATTTTTAATGGTTTTTAACACCAACAGGCTATAATGAAAATGAGGCTTAAATAAAACAAAACTAATGCGTCTATTTTGCAAATGTAAGAAGTAGAAAGTAAAAAGTTGTCTAAAAAATAATTATTCCAATAAAATATAGATAGACAAACTACTGAAGTAAAGAGACAAAGTATTGGTACTTTGATACCTGATGCCTGATCAGTACATAGACAGTTAGTACACAAAAGTTTGAAAGAAAAAATAAAACAAAAAAAGTTCAAATTACCTACAATTATTTATATATAAGAAATAATTGTTGAATAATAATTTTATGCAAAAGAAAAAATATATATTGCAGCAAAAAAAGATGTTATCTTAAAAGAAAAGTCCTGTTCAATAAATGATCAGTGTTTCTAATTCAGAGTAAATAAATCGGCTGTTGATCAAGTCCCAGTGCTGTATCTGGTGTTTGTCACAACGCGCTATTATCCAAGTCATCTTGAAAACATTCTTCTTCCAAATGTTGGCTACATATTACGGGGTTTTTTTCTGGCCAGAAGTTCGATGGTAAATCCTCCCTCTTCCAGTTGGCGATCAAACGACCAACCCGTCCGTGGAGGATCAGGAATCAGAAAGGTGAAATAACTCTTTTTTTTTTTTTTTTTGACTTACCCGATGTATTCCAGCATCCAGCTGCCATGCATGTGGGCATTGTCAGTTTCACTATAGCTCACTATAGCCCTAGAAGGATGTTCAATAATTTGCTTTGCTCCGTTAGCTGCAGCACAGACACCGGCTGGTCACCGCTGCCTCTCCCCCGCTCTGGTAGATGGACTGCTCTTATCTACTGCTGTCATCCTATGATCTCTCTGCTGTTATTTAACTCAGGAGCGAGGCACAGCAGGCCAACTCTGCCCTGTCCTGAAGGGGCACTTGCCAAAATCTCCCTGCGCACCTTTCTGATCTCCAGAAGGCCACCTTTCCTTGCATCTGTCGTCCTTCCTTGAAGCAGAATAGTTTTTGGAAGTACAACTGAAAGCATCGGCCAGACGCAGCTCCTGGTGGAGATGGTGATACTCTCCAGAGCAGCTCTATCTCTGGAAATTCCAGCAAACACAGGGATGTCTACGACTTGATGACGTGGTTGAGCCCATTGTCGCCGTGAATCCGATAGGTTTTGCAGGTTTCCCATTTGGTGTGAATGCTTTTTGACTTATCATTTACACAACAATGCTTGGATGTGCTAAGAAGCTTAGCCGCTGTACTTCCTTATTAACCCTTGCATGGTATCAGACCTCTGTTATTGTACAGTAGTAGCCATTCAAAATTTCCCCACATTTCTTGATGGGTCCTTGGCTGGTCCCATACAGTTTCTTTTTAAACATCTAAAATATTCTTTCTGTCATGGTTTGTGGACATTAAGATCTAAAGAGAAGCGCCATCTCCTGGTCAAACCCTGTAATTCAGTGAAAGGGGCGGAGTCAGAGAGAAAAATAAGCAAGAGGGGGTCATTCCTGTGGCTGGGAATTGGAGGGGATTTGGCTGCCATTCGGCTTGGAACATAACCACTGTGTTATTCTCTTTTCTTGTAGTACATTAAAGTGTACATATAACAAATTGTTTGGTAGAACAGTTATTATTTCATTGGTAATATTATTTCGAATCTCCACTAGTTAAAAATGATGTTAGGTATTAAAATGCTGTTTTTTTTGGCGCACACGGCTTGACCGGAGAGGAAGACGCACACTGACAGATCTGTGCAGCGTGAGTTTTTGTTTTGGTTGTATGTTTAAAATTTGTTAAAAATAAAAGAAGAAAGATAAAACCGCAATCAAAGAGTCTCGCAGCGCCGCAGAACAGGCGTCTAGAAAACTGCTCGGAGTTTACACCCAGAGGTGCAAGAAGACACCGCCGAGGAGAAAGAAAGATGCTCCTGGTGAGATCTGGACTTTATTTTCCTTTTTGGGGATTTTTTCAGCGATACCACTCTTCTTTCTTATCTTTTGATAAGATATCTTTTGATGGAGGGTTTGACATTGGAATTTCTCATTTTGGAACGGGACCTTTGACGTAACACTTCCAAGACTTGGTTTTGAGTTCAGAGGACTTGGAACTCATTTGTAGACATTATTATTAAAAATAAAACAAACTGGACGTTTTTGACTTTCAGTTATTAAGGTCTTTTTGCTGATTTAAATTGAGTGTTTTGAGTCTAACTTATAAATAGGTTATGAAGTATTTTTGGTTATTGATCTGTTTATACCAAATCACTATTGAATGAATTATTGATATTTGGTAGTATTGTGATTTTTTTTTCTCTCTAATAAATCAGTGTTGCTAAAAATCAACAAAGTTCTTACTAAGTGGTTGGATATTTTTACTTTCATATCAAATTAATAACGTAACATATTTTACCTGACTCCTGTGACAAAATCCCCCTTGAGTATATTGTGAGTTCTGCTTTTAATCAAGCTGAATTTTACAGGCTGGCGTTTGACTGAAAAAGGCCAGTCTGAATGGCTGCTACTCTAAATATACAGGAAGGTCTTTATTTACTATGAAATAGAGCAAAAACAGCCAATAATACACCTTTTGGACGTCCTTTAGTAAACCTTGTTTGCCATCAGAGATTTTACATTTTGAAACTGTTACATAATGTTACAATTTTTTTTTTAAGATCCAAATAGCTGGATCTACCTTTTTTAGATTCAACGGTTACCTTGAAGCCTCCTTGCTATGACTGAAAACTCCCTAACTTCTGCAAAGTCTAGAATCTCCATGTTTTCACACAGCTCTTTCATCACGTCTACTGCCACCTAGATGAAGACAAGTGAAATGTGAATTCCAAAAAGAGACACATCACTCTGTTTGGCTTATTTCATGTGGAAATAAATCATTTGTCTTAAAAACAAATCATACACTGAAGCTGCGGATCTTGACAGGAAACTCTACCCCTCCTGGTAAGTGGATGGACAAACGTTGAGAAGTTTTGCCATTCTGGAAGAAAAACAAAATTTAAAAATGACACAGGCTTCAAGCTGCAAAAAAGCAACAACATAAAATCACCTTCTTCACATAGAAATATTGGCCTCTGTCTTATTGTAAAGATAAACCTACCAAAACAGCCTGCATCTCAACTTGAGAAGGAATGTTGCGTCGACCACTAAAGGCGATAGAACGTTGCAGGTTATCCTCACAAACACTTGCTTGTTCTGATGTTAAAAAGCAAATAAAAAAATCAGACTTAAGTTTACTGACTCACTTAAGAAATTAGCTTTTTCTGTCCTGTACCTTGGTACGGGTGGCCGTTGCTCTGAGCGATATCTTGCAGGTGTTCAATGACAAACGGTTGCAGGAGACCAGAGCAGGGAAAGAAACCAGTTATGAGGTTGAGCAGTCGCCAGGCAAGGATACAGCTTGATCTGCAAAGACGAAGCCATGAAGAAGCGTATGTCAGAACATAAGAGCGTTATGATGAGGGCTGGGAGACGCTCACAAAGGCTGTGAATGAGCAGGACCGTGAGCTGGGCAGTATGCTGGGTGTGATAGAACGCAGGCTGGCTGCAGTGGTTGAACTCAAAGGTGAGATGGGATAATATCTTGGATGTGCACGCTCACTTAAAGGCGTAAAAGCTCAGCAAATTCAGAATATTGGATTTGCCATGTAGTGCCAGCAAGAAAAGACTCAAGGCTGAAAGGTAATTCTGTGCAGCCTGCTCTCAAAACAATAAGTGTTATTTTGGATTCGGCCCCCCCCTTATCAAACCTCCCCTCAATGTTATGGCAGAAGGGCCATAACTGACGGCTAACCTCCATCTCCCCTACCCGCGGACACCTGTGGATGCATCCAGAACTGTAGTGCCGGTTGATAAACTTCCATCTTATAAAGGGCAATGGCCGGAGGAAAGCGTTCCTGGACAAATTGAACGAACTAATCATACATACACAACTGATTCTCAAATGTTTGATTGACTTTCATGTGGCTCCAGCCTCAAATGTCTTCCTTCTGTTGAAATATATATCCTGTGTTACATGTGCTTTTTTTGTGCTGAGGTGTTTTTTTTTTTATATCTCAAAATATACCCCTACAAGGATAAAGTGTTAAATATTTTTCCCCCCTCTGCCTCCCCAATCTGGCTCCTATCTATCCACAGAGATAAAGGCAGCGCTATAAGGGAACTGTCTCACGGTGGGGTCCTTGGCAACCATAAAAACGCGCCAAGATTTATTGAACGCTGCGTTCAATAAATCTCTCCCCCTCCCATATCCCTCCCATATGTCTTAAAGATTTCCTTTTAGTCTAGCCTTGGTCTGTTAGGCAAATTAACATGAGGTCATTGTGAACTCTTGCTGACATGAGTTCCTGTAGCTTCTATAATAAATAGAAACTTGAGATGCGGTGGAGAGTTGTTCCTCTTAGTGCACACAAGGCCATTTCTTTATTAAGTCCATGGCTGTGTCCAAACGTCCACTAAATCCCTCAGTCACTACATAGAGCAGGGACTACATAGTGAACTCAGAAAACTGACTGTTCGGAAAGAAGTTCACTACTTTTCACTCCCCTTTGATGATGTAACTCCTCCTCCCCGCACGGTGCATGGGAGTAGGCTGCCATTCGGCTGGTGTTTGACTGGGAAGGGCCGTTTTAAATGGCTGCTACTGCATATCGGCTCGTCTTGTGACCATGGATGATCACTACTTTTCAAGGTGCATTGTGGGAAATCTCGAGTCCACTACTTGTTCATAAACTTGATGTTCGGACATTCATTTAAAATGGCATGAAAACACAATATAGTGATTGGACACAGCTTTAGTATTTCTTAACCTTCTTCAAAATAAAATTCTTATAATATTAATCAATTGAAAATACAAAACTTTATAGTCGCTTTTACCTGTGCTACTTAAAGCTACAGTGTGTAATTTTCAGCGACATCTAGCGTCCAGACTGCAGACCGTAGCAACATGAACATCTCCCCCCCACCCCTTCTCCCCCCCAACAGTACAGCGAGCGTTACGGGACAAAATGTCTTCCACGACGTCCGCATCACCTACCTTCTCAAGTGATGAGGTTAGTTTACATAGATAATTTTAATACTGCCATCAATTGTTCAGTACCGTCTCAGTTCATCTCTCTCAACTTGCTGTAGTTACTTTCGAGCGTAATGGGCGATCTCGCAATCGCTAGTTTGTTGGCTCTGCGCTTGCCGTAGCGCAAAGATGTCTGCCTCCATGGCTGCGAGACCCGCTCCTATGTAATTATAAATAACGAATTCTAAGGCAACGCAAATATTAAGGTTAAGAGGCTGAGCTCGTAGATGATGATAAATAACATAGTTATGTATAATATATTACATTTCTGACTGTATATCCCTGTAATTATTACACACTGTAGCTTTAAAGATTAGTTGAGTTTTTAGTCAAACTTTCTTTGGAATTTTTTGGGGTTCACCTTAAAATTGATCTGTTAAGTTTTAATGGTAGTGACATTCATCTTTTTATAACATTGATCTGCAGAATGTTCCCTAAGAGACGGGATAACCTGTAAAAACGATAGAAAATATCTCTTCTGAATGTTAAATACTCACTCGTCGGGGTTGTTGGTTGATTGCTTGATGGCCTGGCAGTAGATTTCATCTCTAAGTATTTCTTTTTCTTTCCCCAACTAAAAAGAAGAAAAATGAGTCTACACTAATGCAGTTGATGTAACATCAGCAAACATGGAAGTCTAACTCTAAAAAAGGGTCTGACCAGCAGGATATTATGAAGTAAATCTGGTTGGGAAGCGCGTGATGGAATGCTGCCCACAAACTGCATCATGTCTGCAAATAAAATTATCAATGAAGTCGGAATGCCAGAGAACAATATTAGGAATCCTTAAAACAGAACTGATGAACTCACTCTGGAAGCACTCAACAGCCAGACCATTGATTTCAGGATCATCATAGAGAATAAGTGATTCAGGGATGGGAACCTTTAGAAGAAAAAAAGTTAAAATTAACTTCTAATATTTTAATAGACTCAGTTTATAACACATTAAATGTGACATTAAAAACTTTTAAAATCTCATTTGTTAAATGTGTGTTTCGCTCCAGTTTCAACCAAATAAGTTGCTCTGATTCATGAAATAATTTCTTCATCCTGAACACATCTTGTCATAGGTTTAAAATATTACATCTATGTCTCCTGATTGTTGGTGATACAGCAGGTAAAAAAATTATTGAACACTCCCCCATTTTTCTCAGTAAATGTATTTCTAGAGGCGCTATTGACGTAACATTTTCACCAGATGTCGGTAACAATCCATGCAATCCATATAAAGAAATCAAACCATAGATGTACAGAAATTAAGTTATGAGTAATAAAGTGAAACGGCAAAGGGGAAAAGTGTTGAACACGTGAATAAAAGGAGGTGCAAAAAGGCTGAAATCTCTCAGAAATTAGAAAGCAATCCTGACCCTCCTCAGTGCAAATTAATATCAGCTGGTTCAGCTGATGGTAAAATGGTGGCCTTTAAAGCCGAGCATACACTGTGCGATATTTTCAATCGTCGGACGCAGCTGCAGCTCAAACTGTACGACGAAACTGCAGGTCTTAAAAGTTCCCAGCTCACGATGTTTGTTCTCACACTGTGCGACCCGACGCTCTGATGCGATCTACCTGCTCACACTGTACATCTAAAAACCAGGTAGGACTCATCATTGAGAGACGGCGCTGGTTGGATTCCTCAATCTTGAAGATGAAGAAGAACTCCCTTGTTTGCACATGTGCAATGCTCTATATCATGATAAATCGTCTCGTAGCTCTGCTTTAAAAGCAGGATTTGTCCATGACCACCTTACGACGGCCGACTTAATTTCATGTTTGACATGATCACTACTTTTTGCTCCGTTGGTCACGTAACTCCTCCTCCTGCACCATCTTTATTAGTCGCCACTGTCGGGTAGCGGCACCCTATGGTGACAGCAAATCCCATAAGGCTTTGCGAGGAGAGCTCTCCGCGCAAAGCATTCTGGGATATATCTGCCTCTTCTGAGGCCTTTCTTTTCTTCTAATACACTTCGTAGACACTTTTTCTCTCCCGACCCTCGGCCATTTTCAAAGAACCGCCGTGAGAAAGGTGAGCTTCAATCGTAGCTCACCACAGATATACGCCTGAAAGTGCACAGAAAAAGATAGCTAACAGGACGAGCACGTAGTACAGCTTTACGGAAACAGATCACCAGGATGATTGACAGTTAGGAGGATCACTTATTGAGATGATCCACCCGGAAATAAAAGATTGTCCTCTATACCAATGACCAGCATGCATATATATAAATCTTTAATGTTGATTAGTGTTGTCAGGTTCTTACCAGTGTGTGTTGAACTGATTCGGAGAGGAGTTTTCCAGTGATGCCTGCTGTCCCAACTCTTTTAGCGCCACATCATGCAACACAAAACATGTTTGGAAAAATTAAATCAACACACTCTGCAATGTGAAAAACATTCATTTTCATGTTTCCCTTACCTGAAGTACTTGCTGGCAAACTCAATCATGGGAGACTGACGATGACTCTCTGAACCATTTTCTGACATCTGGATTGATCTCTGCTCTGAATTGTTAGCTGGGGGATCCAAATTTCGCCTCACAGGAGGAATGCTGAGCATGTATCTGTTGGCGGGAACTGGAGGTTTGCCTTTCACACTTTCAGTTTTGGTTGTCCTCATGCTTTTTCTCCTGTCGTCTCTTCGGTCGAGGTGAAGACTGTGGTAATCAGGAGCCGCACATGGCTGGGTGAAGTCCTGTGGGAAAAGCCCAGAACGCCCACCGGTGGTGCCAAATTCCCACCCTGGTGCAACATTCAGAAAGAGCAGGTTTATATAAAACATGATTCGCTTCAGTTGGACATCTACCATGAAACGCACAGTAAGCTGTGAAAATGATCTCACCAGGCTGAATGACATCCATGGGCTGCAGCTTAATGATATCCCCCTTCTTGAAGCTCAGGAGAGTCTTGTCATCCGTCACATAACTCTTTAGAGCAACTACATGGCCTGAGTCCTTTAGAAGGAAGGAGGATGGATGAGAAGATGGTAGTAGAAAAGGATTCAAGTGGAACAAGAAAGCATTGGGGAGCTCAGTCTACACAGAAGATATCCAAACACAAAGCAGAGCAAGACAGAAAAGGAAACGACCCAGAGGACAGATCTCTGGGCGTGAAAACAGGGACTAACCAACAGTCCAATCAGCCGAGGCTGCTTCTCAGAAAATACCCAAACAACTTTGACCTGGTCTGTGGAGATCGTCTGAAACTTCCACAGTTATCTATGTAATGTGCCTGAGGCACAGAGCGGATGTGGACACATCCTGCTGAGCCACAGGGGGGATTATGGCCTCAGGCTGCCAAGCAGAGGGCTAAAATATGTATATATATATTTTAATAGTTTAATTAAAAAAATGTTTTAATATATTAATATATTTATTTTGGATATGCAAGATAAATATGAAATCTTTAATGACGAGTAAAGCGTCATTTAATTTTAAATTTTTCCTCGGATTGGTGACGTATTTCCACCATAGGCCGTAAAAATCTTTGCCCATTGATTCTCGTTAAAAGGTGTCCATCTGCAGCAGCTCCTCTGCAACAGAATTATAGGATAGCAGGAAAAGTGCACCCTGAGGTGACAGGAAGTGTATTAGCTCACCACCTCACCAGACGTTTTGTGGGTGATTGACAGGTCGAGTCGCAGGAGTTAGAGACGCATTGGAGAGAGTAAGGAAGAGAGACAGCGTAGGAAACGTCCTGGTTTAGCTATGAGTCTAGGTTAACTGCATGCAGCAAGGCTAAGGCTTTATTCTGCTTTCTCTGCCTCCTTTTTCAAAGGTCAGGATGAATAATCTGGGATTCACATGGAAAATAATAGAATATAGTCTACTTTTTCTAGATGTTTGTTAATTTGCATAGTTGCTCTTAAATTAAAAAAATCTCAGGAAATAAATATAAATTTATATATATTAAAACAATATAAAGCTGACTAATAGCTTCTCCATTATTAAACTGTTATATTATTTTTTAGGTTTGTGACACAACGTTGGGCCATGAAAAACACAGATTTACCTTCACAAACTCAGAAGGGCAAGATTTATGGACAAAATGTAAAGCTGTTTGTGAAAATATGTTTGATTTTATTAAGTGTTTTTATAATATTTTCTGTTGTTGGTATTCATATAAATATACTGGTGGGATAACTTGGTATATGTTTGATTGATTTTTGGTATACGTCTATTTTGAATTTATAGCCCCTGGAGAAAACTCCACCAGCCGCCACTGGTGGAGACCCATCAGGCCAGAACATGAGTACACTGCCATTAAGTAGAACTTCTATCGATCGATCCCTTTGCCCAGAGAACCATTGGCCATGACTGATTCCACTTGTTGAATTATCCTTCTGTCTGCTGCACAAAAACAAAAAACTTCCTCAGTTTAAACGTTAGAAAGGGTTAGGATGAAAGTTTAAATCTGAAAATTTAAAATGATGATTTTTGACTTTTGAGTCACTTTTTTATTGAGTTCTTTAAATGGATGTAAATTAGTTTTGGTGCAGAGGCTCATTGTTTATAAAGAGGTCTTAAGGTTGCTTCTAGCAGAGATTGTTTTAGACAACGACCTTTGAGTTCAAGACTTAACTGGTCATCATAATGAGTGCTGGTTGATTTAGGATAAGACCCACAGTTAACGCAGATATTTCGCAGTTAATGCAGATATTTCCTGCTTGGTGCCTAATGGCGGAAACAGTGGCTGTTGGGCGTGCAGGTGGCGCAGTGATTAGTGTGCATGATCCATGTACAGAGGCCTTAGTCCCCATGCGGCCGACCCGGGTTCCAATCCGACCTGTGGTCCTTTGCCGCATGTCTCTCCCCCTCTCTCATTCCCCCTTCCTGTCAGCCTACTGTCGATAAAACAAGCCACTAGTGCCGCAAAAACTCAAAGAAGCTCTGGCTGTAGCGCCGTCCACAACGCCTGGCACACCTCGGACTCTATCCCAGACACCGTGCAGGACGCTACTTTGTAGCTCTGTGCGACGGTCTGTTGGCTTGCACCCGAAGCCAAAAGGTGCAGCAACACGGCCAGTCTTTGGGGTGTCGTCCGGCGTTGGATGAGGTGTTGTAGATGGCGAACAAGCTTGTCAAACCGACACACGGACACCCACAATCCTAGCTAGTTCCTGATTGTCCCTCTGGCGTTGTGGCGTGGAATAACACAGCGCAGACCACGCTTCAATATTGGGCATAAATCAAACATATCTGCATGAAACTTGCGACAAGCTAACTGCGACACACTGCTGCGGGAGGATAACCAGCCCTTAGGACCTAGGGAGTTAAAAGGCCAGCTGAGTTTTATCTACCCAACCAGATAGGTGCTACTGAAATGCTAAGCATGGTTGGACTCCTTTGGTTAAGAAGTTGTTGAACCTTGGTTGGTCTGAGCAATGACCCAATGAGAAAAGGCAGTGGAGGAAGTGGTTCAGCTCAAGTGCGACAGCAACATATTTCAGAAGCACATGTGTGAGGAGTATGATGACTAATGAAAGATTACCTTTATGAGTTCCTTGAGGAAAACTTCAATCATGGCAGTGATCTGAGGAGCTCTGGTGGACTGCAGGACCAGATCTTCAGTTTTAAGCTCCAGTTTTACTTCATCTGCGCCCTGAAGGTCTACAGAAAGCACCTCTGCAAAACTATATTCATAGGAAATGGTTTTATTACGTTGTAGAGGGAAAATTCACACTCATACAGCTGGGGGAGGGATAAAATCATCATCTGTAACTTCTTAAAGCTAGTATATTAAAGGCTGTTTAAGATAGAACTCTGATCTGGGATTGATGGCCGCCCAATGGAAAAATATTTTATTACTCTCAGTGACTGAATTCAGTATTAAAAATGCAAGTTTATTGTGTATTTAATGCATTTAGACCCTATAGGAATGTATAGCATATGTATAGCAGTGTCATGTATAGCAATGACTTAAAGCCACTTTTAGCCACTAAACTAACCTCCCCTGAAAGCTGACACTCCATCATGACACTGCTGGAGGCTCTACTGAATGTCCTGCCTTTCACTGGACAGATTAGATGGGTCCCAGATTAATGATGTGTAGAACTAAACCTGCCAGGGGAGCGCAAGACCTGTAATCTCCAGGTTTAGTGTATCTAAATGCAACACTGTACTGTCTCTAAATGAACAGGTTTCCCTCTGTGGTTTAGAATCTGATAACAGAAGGAGAAAGTTCCTGGTAAAGACAAGGAACTAATTCACCGATGCAGATTAAATCCTGCAGTAGAGAAACAAAAACAATTCGAATCAGGTTAGGGCCACATCTGTTAGCTTAGTTAGGTCTGGCCTCAGCAGATGGCCGCTCACACTGAGCCTGGTTCTGCTGGAGGTTTCTTCCTGTTAAAAGGGAGTTTTTCCTCTCCACTGTCGCTACAAGCATGCTTAGTGTGAGGGATTGCTGAAGAGTCAATGAGTCGATGCAATCAACTGGTTTTCCTCAGATAGTAAACTTTGAATCAATCTGACTGGATGATCTTGTTGAACTGGAAAATGCCTTGAGATGATATGATGTGAATTGGAGCTATAGAAATAAACTGAACTGAATTAAAGCGGCGCTCTGGGTCACATGACTCATTCAGTGATGGATCCGACCCTCTAAAGTTAGACAAGTTTTAGAGATGAGCATCAATACACACCAAGCACTGCATATTGGTTTAAATAAACTGGCTTTTCAAAAGTTACGCAGTGCTACCTTAATGGAGCATGGCTGTTAAAAATGGGGCCATTCCTGAATAAATTTGGTTTCCTTGTGAAATAAAGTAAAATAAATGGTTAAAGTAATAAGTGAAGCTAGATATAGCTCTATTCAAAGTACTTTTTAAAACTTTATTACATTTAAAACAACTGCAGCTGCAAAAAATAAAAACGAGTCTATGTAAACAGGACAGGGAAGGAATAATAATAAACTGGAGTAAAAGTCAGTAAACGATAAAAACAGGTTTGTGTTTGAATCAAAGGCCATGGAACAGAATTTATGTTTTGTTTTTGTTTTGTTTTTTAAAAGGGGACAGTGAGGATTATACCTGTAACTCCGGAGCAGTTTCAGATGTTTAGGGTTGATGCCTGAAGCTTTCACCACCTTTAAGAGACGAATCCCTCGATGAGAAACGCCCAGAATCTCAGCATCTCCGTTTTGTGGCTGCGTGCAGAAAAATCATATAAATATTATATTAGTTTGTAAAAAGCTACACATGTAAAATAAATAATAATAATAAGATAACATAACAAATATAAAGAGTAGTAAACATCCTTAGATACATAAAAGCAGAGGTATCGAGTAAAAAATTACAAATACTTTGTTTCCTTACTTGGCTATCTATACTCTACCGGAGTAATTATTTTTAGACCTTTTCCTTCTACTCCTTACATTTTTAAAAATAGTCTCGTTAGTTTTGTTTCATTTAAGCTCATTTTCATTATGGCCCACTGGTATTTAAAAAAAAAAAAAAACCATCAAAATAATTAGTTTCATCCAGACAATTTATTTCTTTGTGGTTGGACTCGGTGCTGCCCCAACTTGTTGCTCACCACATACCAAAATAAAAAGTTTATCAAGATGCTGCAAAGTTAAATGTGACACTGTTACCATTAGATATAAAACTAAGACAATGAAGTCTAAGGAAGTTATCATCCAGAATGGTAGAAAAATGTTTCTTTAATGGGGTAGAGCAGGAAAGCTTCTGGCCTTAACAGTTTTTCCTGCATTACTTTTACTTTTATACTGTAAGTAGTTTTTAAAATATTACTTTTACACTTTTGAAGTTGATCCTCTAACTTCTACAGAGGTGTTTTGAAAAAGCAGGATTTATACTGGAGGAATAAACATGAATACTTTAGACAGCTCTACAAATTAATTCATATAGAATCTTTCATTATTAAAAAAATAATAATTGTAATTGTTGCATTTATGCTCATTGATCATAATAATTATATTATTTATTTTCCTTTTTCTAATGTAATTGTCCAATTAGATTTATTTTAAGTTGATATATTTTATATTAAATTATCTAGTACACAGTAAACGTGCTTTTATTTTGAAATCTAAAAGGGTCTCATTTGAGCTCTCACTGACGAAGCAATCAATCAGTTATTGAGGATTTTGAGGTCAGTTCTTGAGGTCAAAGCTAAGGACGTTTATGGAAACATCCCCTTTAAGATTTTTGGATAATTCCCTTTTTTCTTGCAGCATGCAGCCAACCAGGTATTTTGTCTATTTGTTTAATTTGTAGCTATTATTACATTTGCTCTGCAAGTTATTATTTTTATCACATTAATGTTTATGTTTGTCAACATTATTCAGTTTTCACGATGGATTTGAAGAGGTCAAGAGCAACTTTAAATAAACCAGTGAAAGAAAACCACTTGAGTTTGTGCTTGGAGGGAATTACAATTATCATTAATAATGAATTATTGAACTCAAATGTAAAAAAAAAAAGGAATAAGTTTCAGCTGCAATCAAAGAACCTGAGCATCGAGAGCATATCAGGAGTGAGAAGATGTTCCTGTGGTGCTCTTCACTAAAGGATCCACGTAGAACATTTAGGACAGTTGGTAAAATGCCGTCGCCCTGACGGAAGCCCTTCAGGCCCAAACACGTTGCTATGTTTTGATCACAGCAGCTATGGACCAATAAATTAAAAGCTTTTGTTCTGTTTGCCTCGGACTTCTAAACAGTTTAAGCTGCTTTGTCAGCAGACTTTACAGATGAGGAAGCAAATGGTGCAAATAAAACCACCACAGAGAGATGAAAGAACTAAAAGAACGGGTTGAAAACTTTTATGGTTCCAGATGAAAGACTTTTCACATGCAGTGCATGCAGAGAGATCAACATGCAGTTTCTCAGCCACCGTCCACCTGTGGCAAATAACGGCCACTTCCATCTGCAGTCAGTGTGAATGAGGTTTACTGCAAAATGATATAATCTAGTGATTTGGGGTGTAAATAATAATCATTTTGTATCGATGCATCGACCTAACAGCAGACGATCCGATGGAGCGACACGTCCGAAAGATAATCGATTCATTTTTATTTTTCCTCTGGTCTATTTTTATCCATTTGCTCCTGGATGTAATTCTGACTCCTGTGCTGCAGGGGCGCTAAACCTATTTTGCCCTCCTACCTCGCTTCCTTTAGCTACTTCCTTCTTTTGGCTTGCAGTATTTTTTGATGCAAGATTCTATAACACAGAGGCATTATTTTTTTTCAGTGAATTATGTTTTCATAGGCCTAGGTGGATTATCGTGGTGTATTCTTGAGTATTGAAAATAACCGAATCTTTGGGTCAGGAAATTGATACTGAATCGAATCGACATGAACGGTGGGATTTACCCCCCTACTAGTGATGTTATAAAGTGATTATGTGTCAAGAGTAAAATTGTTTTACTCTTTTCCCTTCAGGAACCTTGTTTTCATTTATCACTGCATAAATGACCTGAATTGGATAAACTAAATAAGAGAAAAGAATTTCAGCCTCTTCTTCTGTCCTGAAGCTTACGGTGAGCGGGAAGAGTCGACTGAAGTAGTTTTTCCAGTTATCCCGAGCAGCGATGACGATTCTCTTCTTCATGCTGTCATCCTGAATGGTGCTAATGCTGGTGCCCACATGGAAATTTGCTGCAACACAAAGCAGAGTAATGGCAGGAAGACGGGTTAATAAAAGCAGAAACTAAACCATGACGAACTCTGCAGGTCTCATGACTTCCATTCAACCAATACAACCATGAGCCTGCAGATCCCATTAATCACCTCACATTGTCTGGTCAGTGTTTGCGCTGTGGAGGTTTGGACTTTTGAATTATTTTTGTGCTTTTTCATATATTTAAAAAGTTGTATTTTATACACAAAAAAATATATTGTTGAAGATTCTCCATCATCCAGGTCATAGTCATTAAAAAAAAAACGTTAAAAAAGAAACAATCCACTGGACTTTGTTTGAAAGCGTTTGGTTTGCAAAGCTGGAAACAAAGTCCAGTGGATTGTTTTTTTGTTTTTTTACTTTTTGTTGTTATACTTTGTATAATTCTTTATTATAAACTGTTTAAAATCTCTGATCTACTTTTAAACAAAGAGTGTATTGGTAAATTGTTGAAAAGTATTTTATAAAAAAATGTCGAAACCAGTTCTGGTATTTTTCTCTGATTTTAATGTGAACATAAAGAAAGTGCAGCTCATTCTAAAGCTACGTTCAGACCACAAGCAGCAGAGGCAGCAGAAGCAGCTGGTTTACATGCAAAGTCACTGGTTGACGTGCATCAGTGCGCAGCAAAAGATCCTGCAGCAGGTTTTGAGCAGCGCGTCAGGAGCTTCTGAGCATCTGAGGCGCTTCAGACGCAGCAGCTTTTGGAGTTGAAAAAATGTAATTTTAGCTGCTTGACGCACCACATCAACCAATCAGAGAAGCTGATCTGGTAGCTGGCAGAGAGTCAGACAGAACACTGCTGATGCAGAGCGCTATGATCACTCCTCTGAAAACGTTTATTAACACCTAAATTAACCTAAAATATAGAAACCTGCAGGTAAAATATGTTTTTATTATTCTGGTGCCTGCAGTTTGGATTAAGTTTGTGAAAAATGCCTTCCAGGCGCCACCAACAATAGCAGAAACACCACAAACAGGCCCCTGGGCCTGAGGCAGCTGCTGCTGGGGATTCCCAGTGACAGCGGTATGTGGGAGTCTGAGCGGCTCCCACAGAGAAATAATCTTTGAAGGCAGGATGGTAATCTGGATGAACTGACTGCACAGACCATGTTTTCAGGAGGACTTTCTCACTTCAACATAGATTCAAACTACGTTTTACCCGCTGATCACAGCAAATATAGCAAAGCTGCTCTCTGGCAGTGAACACAGGAGCAGCAGAAGCATCTGGACACACTTTACTGGACGTCTGACCTTAATGTGGACAAGCTTAAAAAATGAAGCAGCAGGTGCGTTTTTACTGCCTCTGCTGCATGCGGTCTGAACGTGATGCAGTCTTTATATTCTCACCAAACAGGTCTTTCATTTTCTGTCTTTCTTCACCAGTGATTCTCACACAGCTGTCAGAATAGGTGTCTCTCATGATCTGAAAAAGATGAGAGATGATAAAGTCTTATATGTGATCCTGATGAGACATTTTATAAATCCAGCTGATCAATACTTACTTGTTCACACAACAGGTTCAGGACGTAAGGCTGGCTGAAACGTTCTTTTGGATAAAACACCTGCAGAAAAAATAAACTTATTCAGTTTGGTTATTTTATTGTTGTTTTCATAGCATATGACATCGCTTTTGCTTCATTTTATTCAAAAAAAATTTTAATTTTACTTTTGTTTTTTAAAGATTTTATACATTTTAGCTTTTTATTTTTCAAAAATGAATCTTTTTCAGATTGAGGTTTACAAACTGCATTAATTTACAGATCACTTCAATCCAAATGGAAACAAATCGCTCTCATTTTTATCCATTCTCCAGAGTTCAGAGGGAATCCTGAGGAGGAAATTATCTGATAAAATGTAAAGTTATAGTCTTCGGACCAGAGCCTTTGAAATAGAAGCTGATTAGTCAGTCACTTCATTTGGATGGGATTAAACTGATTTCAGATAATAAATTAAAAAATCTTGGTGTTGTTTTTGATCAGGACCTGTCATTTAAATCCCACATCAAAGAGGTTTCTAGAATTTCCTTCTTTCATCTGAGGAATATTGCAAAAATTAGAAATCTCCTGTCCAGGGGTGATGCTGAGAAACTAGTCCATGCATTTGTTACTTCAAGGCTGGACTATTGTAATTCTTTACTATCAGGAAGTCCACAAACTGTAGTTAAAAGCCTTCAGCTGATCCAAAATGCTGCAGCCAGAGTTCTGATGAAAATGAAAGAGAGAGATCATATCTCTCCTATCCTGGCTTCTCTTCATTGGCTTCCTGTTAAATCCAGAATGGAATTTAAAATCCTCCTTCTCACATATAAAGCCTTAAATGGCCAAGCTCCATCTGATATCAGAGATCTGATTGTTCCTTATGTTCCTAACAGAGCACTTCGCTCTCAATCTGCCGGTTTACTAGTGGTTCCTAGAATTTCTAAAAGTAGAATGGGAGGCAGATCTTTTAGTTATCAGGCTCCTCTCCTGTGGAACCAACTACCAGTTTTAGTCCGTGAGGCAGACACCCTGTCTACTTTTAAGGCTAGGCTTAAAATTTCCTTTTGGATAAAGCTTATAGTTAGAGTGGCTCAGGTTATCCTGAGCTATCTCTATAGTTATGCTGCTATAGGCTTAGACTGCTGGAGGACATGGGGACCCCCTTTTCATCATTCTGCTTCATTCTATTTCTATTCTCCCACTCTGCCCAATCTGTTAGTTCAATCTCTAACGTTCTGCTCTCTCTGTCGAGTTCAGTAATCAGTAAAATCCAACTGGTTTTCTTTAGATAGAAAACTTTTGATCAAACTGACTGTATGTCCTGGTTGACTTGTAAAGTGCCTTGAGCTGACATGCTGTAAAATCTCTAACATTTTAAAAATCAGAAAAAACAGCAATGATGCTGAAGATTTTTTTTTTATATTAAGATGTTTTTCAACGTTTCGTTTCTAGATTTCCTTTTTTTCATCTTTTGTTTTTACAAAACATTTTCTTTGTTGCAACAACAACAAAAAGGACTAAACACGATCAGGACGAACGCTTGGCACCCTGAACATTTGTGGGTTTTTTTTTTTACAGGCGTAGTTGACAGTCTAAATGTGTGTGATGTAAGCAGAGTCTCACTTCTTTTCGCAGGAAAAGTTTTCCCGGCATGTTGAAGAGAGTGAAGAAAACCCCGGCGGAGAAGCGGTGAAGCTGAGATTTGTAGCCCTCATCATCAAGCATGTCATCTAGAGTCAAACAGCAGAACATTTAATGTCTCTTCAGTGCTCAATCATGCAGCAGGATTTTCACATTAAATGATTGAATTAAATTATCTTCAAAGGAGAGGTACCCACAGAGAGAAGGAGCAAGCATGGGAGGAGGGTCTGGGATGTTCATGAAGATGGGGGCTTCCTCTGGAGGAGGTGGTGGGGAGTCCGGAGGAAGAGGGGGAGGATTCTGGGAGCGCTGGGGGCCAAAAAGCTCCTCCAGGGGGCGCTGCTTCTGCTGCATATCCTGAGAAATGACCCTGCGACCCCTGGTGGACGGAGGAGAGGGGGCCTTTGGTGGAGGAGGTGGCGGTGGTGGCGGAGAAGAAACATTTTTCTGCATAATATAAAAAATAAAAGATAATTAAAACAGAGAATCAATAATTTAAATCCACAAGTAGCTTGTTTTCCACAGCTTACCTGTTGTTGTGGCAGCGGGCCTCTGTTTTTCAGTTTAGCCAGAGCTTCCTCTTTTGGGTCACTCTTCTTAAGGAATGATCTTTTCTGTTTTCTAAAAGATGAATAACAAAACAATGTTTAAAAAATTGGAAAGTTCTTTTTGACCTAAAAAACTAAGAAAAAAAAACTAAAACCTTGTTTTCTTTAATTCTGGATGGTCTCTGAACCCAAAGGAAGGGAAACTTCAACAGATACGAGGACAATAACTGTAGGGCTGCAACTTCCAATTATTTTGATCATTATTTAATTTGATTAAATGATAAATAATCGGAGGAGAATATTTCTTACAGAATTAAACCAGGTGAAACTAAAAATGTTCTTCATGTCATTTCTGGATAGAGCAGATTGACACAAGAATTTTGTTTTCATCTTAATGAAAAATACTGAATATTTTTGGTTTTGATCTAATTCCTGCTCTAAGTGGGTCACTCTATCAGCTAAGTTCAAGTTTTGTAGTCTCTATGCTCCAGTTAATGATTAATCAATTACTAAATTAGTTGATAATTATTTCAATAATCGATAAATGTTTCAGCGCTAAATACCAGCAAAATAAACTCAAAGTAAAGAAATCAAATGGCCATCGCTAAATAAATGTAAATAAATAAAGAACAGAGAACTAAACAAATAAGGGAAAAAAACTAAATAGAACAACAAGATTGAAAAAATAACAGGCAAACATTTTCCAAATAATTACTATTGTGATTTAATCCTTTTCAATCATAGATAAAACTGAACAAAACAAGAGGTTTTGCCATATAAATAAGAACAACTGAGGCCTCAGATTTAGTTACTTTCCATTTTCTCCAAGGCTGATTCAGATACTGATTTTATTGACTCAAGTCAAAGAAAACATCAACAAACATGTGCTGCCAATTTACTAGGGAGCTTATCGAAGCCAAGGCTGCATTTCTTCCTTTATTTAGATGATAAACATGATAAGTATGGAGGGAATTCTGCTCCATTATTATTGCAGCGAAACAAAAATGTGTCTTCAAAGAAAATAAGAAAAAAATCCAATCCAGCAATAAAACTTTTTAAAAAATTCATAAACCAAAAAAAGAGTTTGAGAGTAAACTTTTCTCCTTAGATATAATTTGTCAAATCATTTTTTTCTCTCATTTTTTTATGTTCTATTGTTTATTCAATTTTTCCTAATTGTATTTATTTTAAAATTCATTTTTTTCAAAATTCTCTTTTTCAGATTAAGTTCCATAAACTGTTTTCTAACTGCGGTAACAGTTGTTTTCACTATCAGCCCGATCCAAACGCTTTTAACCAATCAAAATGCTGTTGCTAACGTCCAACAGACCAATAAAAATGCATCTTTATTTCTAACTCCAGAAACAAACTATTGAACCAAAATAGAAATACAAATCTTTAAAACTTATTTAGAAATGTCAAAGTTTGTTATTTTTTATTGTAAAAGGTCAGCAAGATAAAGCAGGCATATGAACACCGCGTTTCAATATTTCAGTAAAAACAAGACGTTACTCACACAGGCCTCACGGGCTCGAATGGCTGGGGTTCTGCTGGTGGTCGACTGTTGAATTGCTTAATGATATCTCTTATACTGGAAGTTGGTTCGGCTTTTGGTTCTTCATTGGGAGGTGGAGAAGGTTCTTTAGGAGGCTTTGGTTCCTTCTTTGGAGGGCTGCGAGGACGCCGTACTGCAAGAGACAACACGAAGAAAACATTAAACATGTTTTAATTGATTAATTTCCTTCACTGAAGTAATGTAGACGCCAAAGAGAAATAAAACATGACATTGTGCCCGTATCATCCACAGGGCTCACAAACTTTCAAACTATGGTTATTCGTACCCCTAGCAAAATCAATCAATCCTACATGAACCTACAGCCATGGTGGTGAGGTAATGTTTCGATATTTAATGAGAAGCATTAGTTTGACCTAACATAACCCAAATAAAGTCCTAACAGAAAGTCGTTACATGACCAGAGAAATATTCTAACATTATGAGATCAAAGCCGTTACATGAGCAGAACAACTTTGTAAATTAAGAATTAAAGTTGTATAATGGCCAAAATAAATTCGTAAAATGACTCAGAATAAAGTCATAACATAACCAGAATATGCGTAACATGACAAGAATAAAGTTGTAAAAGGACCACAATAAATCATCCTAACATGACCACAAAAACAATGTAACATTATGAGATCATGAGATCAAAGTCGTAACATGAACAGAATAACTTTGTATATTAAGAAATTAAAGTTGTAACATGACCAGGATGAAGTCATAAAATGAACAGAATAAAGTCGTAGAATGGCCAGGATAAAGTCGTAACATAGTAGGGCTGGGCGATATAGAAAAAAAGCTTATCGATAAAAAAATGCATATTGATCGATATCGATAATTATTGAAAAGATTTGAAACCATATTTTATGTGCAGCTCTGCCTGGACTTTTTATAATATTGCTAAATGATTTAATTTTAATAAAAAACACAAACACAGACTTCGAATTAAATCTTTATTTAACCAACTTTTTTAACCATAACAGAATTGTTTTAAAGAAAAATAACTTAAGAGACCTGGGTTATGTTATTAAATACTGACAAAGAATAAACTACAGTGACCAGAAAAGTGACCAAAATAAACATAACAAATAAATAAATGCCCCCCCCCCTCCCCCCCCCCCCCCCCCCCCCCCCCACCCCCCCACCGCCGCCGCCGCCCCCGTTTTCTGCTTTAACCTTGAAGTTTCTGGCCCCTCAGCATTTTTATCTCAATTGTTAGAACTACGTGGTAAACTGCCCAGAACTGAAAATATATATCTATTTTCCGAAGATTCCTCGGAGGAGAGCCGGGGCCTACACAGCTCGTACTCCTGCGGGTGTGAGCGGCTGAGATGATTAAAAAAAAAAAAAAAAAAAGTTGGTTGTGTTATTAGACTTGGTTTTCACTGGTTACCGACACATTTCCAGATGACTGTGGTTTGTTTTTGGTCCGACTTGCCATGACCGAAATACTGCCAGACTGCCGAACTACAAAAACCCTTCTTTGAAACAATTTCCTCCGCCTCTCCTTGCTGCACATCTTCATGTGCTCTGTGTTGTGGTTTGAGAGGGCTGCGCTTGGTGACGGCATGTCTGGGTCCGCGATTGCGATTGGTTGGGAGGAAGCAGTGACTAGCATAAACCTACATGCTAGGCTACAATGAGAAGGAAGGAAAACTGCGTTTATTTTTTATCGAACTTTTATCGACCCTCTTTTTTTCTATTGCGCCACACGTCTATCGATCGATATATATCGTTATTGAATTATCGCCCAGCCCTATAACATAGTCAGAATATAGTTGTAACAACGCGGAATAAAGTCATTACGTGACCAGAATACGGTCGTTACATGAGAATAAAGTCATATCATAGCCAAAATGAAAAATAACGGCAGAAAATGGCCAAAAGTAAGTTTTAAAATGGCAAGAATAAAGGCATAACATAGCGGGAATAAAGTCATTACGTGACCAGAATACGGTCGTGATATGACCAGAATACGGTCGTTACATGAGAATAAAGTCATATCATAGCCAAAATGAAAAATAAAGGCAGAAAATGGCCAAAATTAAGTTTTAAAATGGCAAGAATAAAGGCGTAACATGACCAGAATAAAGTCGTAACATGGCCAGAATAAAGTCGTAACATGGCCAAAACAAAGTCGTAACATGGCCAAAATAAAGTCGTAACATGGCCAAAACAAAGTCGTAACATGGCCAAAATAAAGTCGTAACATGGCCAAAATAAAGTCGTAACATGGCCAAAACAAAGTCGTAACATGGCCAAAATAAAGTCGTAACATGGCCAGAATAAAGTCGTAATATGGCAAAAATAAAGTCATAACATGCCCAAAATAAAGTCGTAACATGGCCAAAATAAAGTCGTAACATAGCCAAAATAAAGTCGTAATATGGCCAAAATAAAGTCATAACATGCCCAAAATAAAGTCGTAACATGGCCAAAATAAAGTCGTAATATGGCAACCCAGTCTCATGGGAAAATGTACCCCCACTACGTTGGTCCACACTGCAAAACGTAGTGGAGGTACATTAATGGCCATTTTTTCTTACTTCTTTCTTACATTTCTTCTGCCTATACGCTTTCTATTGTTTTACGTCCTAGTCACGTGACTTTCAAGATTCCAGCTGGGAGAAGAAAAAAATATATATGGCCGACATTCGCTCATCCATCCATGCATCCATCCATCCATGCATCCATCCATCCATGCATCCATCCATCCATGCATCCATCCATCCATTCATGCATCCATCCATCCATGCATCCATCCATCCATGCATCCATACATCCATCCATCCATCCATCCTTCCATCCATGCATCCATCCATCCATCCATCCATCCATGCATCCATCCATCCATCCATCCATCCATCCATCCATGCATCCATCCATCCATCCATCCATCCATCCATCCATCCATCCATCCATGCATCCATCCATCCATCCATCCATCCATCCATGCATCCATCCATCCATCCATCCTTCCATCCATGCATCCATCCATCCATCCATCCATCCATCCATCCATGCATCCATCCATCCATCCATCCATCCATCCATGCATCCATCCATCCATCCATCCATCCATGCATCCATCCATCCATCCATGCATCCATCCATGCATCCATCCATCCATCCTCCATCCATCCTCCATCCATCCATCCATCCTCCATCCATCCATCCATCCATCCATCCATCCATCCATCATCCATCCATCATCCATCCATCCATCCATCCTTCATGCATCCATCCATCCATCCATCCATGCATCCATCCATCCATCCTCCATCCATCCATCATCCATCCATCCACCCTTCATGCATCCATCCATCCATCCATCCATCCTCCATCCATCCATCCATCCTCCATCAATCCATCCTCCATCCATCCATCCATCCATCCATCCATCCATCCATCCATCCATCCATCCATCCATCCATCCATCCATCCATCATCCATCCATCCTCCATCCATCCATCCTCCATGCATCCATCCTCCATGCATCCATCCATGATGGATGGACATGATCATTTTCTTACCCTCAGGCTTCGGTGGTACAGGAGGGGGTGGTGGAGAGGGTGGGGGTGGGGATGGTGGCGGTGGGGATGGTGGAACTGGTGAACGTTGACGACGTTTCTGTTTAGTTTCCCTCTCTGATGCTGGAGGAGATGGTTGTTTTTTGGGAGTTCTTTTTTCCTTTTTGGGTTTACTGCCTGTAGGACAGAACAGAAACATCAGTCACAGAACCCTGACTTCAATCCTTTAAAGCCAGGGCCAGGAAAAAAGGGTCATAAAATTTACAATTTCTCTAAACTAAAGTTGTCATTGAACTTTCCAAAAAATGAAATAAAAAAAAGATGGATTTGATATAAGTTAAATTAGATAATTTATTTACATCATTTTTTATACAATAGGCATTTCTGTATAGTCTTTTATCATTTTCTGTTCACTGCATGTGTCTAATCGCATAAATCAGGCTTTTCAAAAACAAAATGTCACGATAATGATGCAGAGGTCTTAAAAAATCCATGTATCAAATATGATACCCTTTGGCTGTTTCCAAACGTCCGCCCTGACCCCTGACCCCTCCATCACTATATAGTGAATTCAGTTGACTGACCGTTCAGACAGATGATCGCCTCCCTGCACACATCCTGTGCCATCTTTGTTCTTTCTCAGCCCCAAAACAAATCCCATGATGCTGTGCAAGAGCTCTTGCAAAGCATTCTGGGATATATCTACTCGTCTAGTGACCATGAGCGCACTTTTTTTTCAAGGTTCTCTATGGAGGGGTTAGGGCAGATGTTTAGACACAGTGTTGGTTTTAAAGAGTTAAGTCAGTTTACCAATCTTTTGAAAGAATTCCCTCTTATCTCTGAAAGACTGAAGGTCCTCTGGGTCTGGCAGCTCCTCCTCCTCCTCTTCCTCCTCTGGCTGTGAAAGTAAAGGACAACATATGATCATGAAAATCGAGTTTTTACCTGTGATAGAATATCAGCAAGAACAAAACAAGCCATCTTAAAAATACACTTTGCCCCTTTATCAATCAATCAATCAATTTCTTTATTGTCAACTAAAATTTACATTGTAATTGAGATGTCAGTTTCACTACCTCTAATTCAATTAAGCTGTGAGTTAGGGTGCACTGATGCATTAATGGAAAAAAAATCCAGAAATGAAACATTGAAAACTACTAAGTAAATAAATTCAAATTCTCTTCACTGGGGGGCGGGCTTTCTTCTGGTGTGAGGAGCAAAGAAGCATTTCTATTGGTCTGTTGGACGTTAGCAACATTATGATCGGGCTTTAAGCAAAGAGAATGCGATCCATTGAAAAACACGTTTGAAAAATATGCTGTTCAGTCTGACAAGGAAAATTGTAAAAATATAAATCTGTTATAAAAAACGTTTTTTTGAAAAAAAAAATAAAGGTAAAAATTATATATAAAAAAATTATTATTATTATTTTTTTATATAACATAAGAAATGAGCAAAGGTACTGTTAAACCCCTGTTTTTTAACGTGCTTTAAAGTTTAATTTCTGGATTTTTTTTTTTTTTTCATTTGTAACAATAATGGAAGAAAGTTCACTCCATACACAGGCAGAGATATGCTTAAATAAATACAGAGGCAGACGGATCGATCGGAAATACCTCTGATTCTGGCTGCTTCTGGGCTTTTTTACTCCCAGATGCTTTGGACTTTTCAGGTGGAGGGGAGGGAGTTGGAGAACGATGGCGTTCTCTGGAGCGTCGTCTTGAACTCCGCCTGGACCGCCGATCTCTCTCTTCTCTCTCCTCTTCCTCTTTCTTCCTCTGCTGCTCCTTCCTCTGCTGCTCCTTCTTCTGCTGCTCCTCCTTCTTCTGCTGCTCCTCTGTCTGCTTCTGAGACAACGTCATCGCCTGCATCGTCATCTGCTGGGCCTATGCGGCAAATTAAAAAAGAAACCCAAAATAATGGAGAAAAGCGAGGATAGAAGAGTTTAATGTTTCCTTGAGATAAAACTTCTCTGGAACTCACCATAAGTAAGGCCTGTTGGTTGATGAGAGCTTGCTGAGCTGCTGCCATCTGCATGGGGTCACTGACAGCAGGAGTCTGAGGCATCATGGCTAAATATGCACAATAATAGAGGCGATATATGTTATATATTAGATGTGGGGGGAGGTTAAGATTAAACAGGTCATTAGAGCTTCTACAACCTGGTATCAGCTTCAGAGGAGGATTACCTGGCATATTTGGCATCATGGCGGGCGCTCCATAACCGGGCATGGCAGGGTTGACTGGTGCACAGAAAAGTTAGCATGAATATTAAAATACAAAAATTATAAACTAATTAATTTTTTTAAAAATTGAGGAAAGAATAACAGAAGTTCTCCTGGTTACTTTTAAGCCATTCTGTCACGAAAAAGTTAATTGATTCTATTCTTTCAACATAGAGATCCCCCTATAATAATATCATTACCGATCCCGATAAAGAAGAACATATAATGTATTGGTAAAAATGGGACTGATCCATATCAGTAAATCTATTCAGTTGGTTTCTAAAATATATTTAAGATAGTTAAAAAAATTCCTTGAATAGCAGAAATATTTACTCCTTCAAACGCATCTTTGATTTAATTTATACAGATCATTTAAAATTCGTCAGAGATTCATATTTGTAAGATGTAAGTTTTTTATTTAACATGATTCACTGTTTTTATGACTTAGGTTTAACTTTTAAGACCCTGCTTAAAACTTTCCTTTTTGATAAAGCTTATAGTTAGAGTGGCTCAGGTTATCCTGAGCTATCTCTATAGTTATGCTGCTATAGGCTTAGACTGCTGGAGGACATAGGGACCCCCATTTCATCATTCTGCTTTATTCTATCTCTATTCTTCCACTCTGCAGAATCTATTAGTTCAACCTCTAACGTTCTGCTCTCTGCTTTTTCTCATAGTAGCTTCATCTGGTCTGTTGCTGTTTGGCTGTGACTCCATCCTGGAGAGAAATATCAGCTGTGCTGCTGCCATCAGCAGCTTAAATTAAAGATGCTAGAGTTGGGCCTTTTCCACTTTTTAGTCCTGTTTCTCTGCTACACATAGCTATGGTCTCAACTGGATGCTCTCTCTTTCATCCTTCAACATGAAAACTGGCTTAGAGCGCGTGTGGTTAACGGTTTCTTTTCCAGAAAGAGTGACCTGTGGAGCTAGTTTGCCGTTACCTTTTCTAACAGAGAGTATCTATAGATCAGTGCTTCTACTTTTTTTTCCCATGTCTGCTTCTGTCTTCTCACCTAGCCGGCCAAGCAGAAGGCCACTCACACTGAGCCTGGTTCTGGGGAATCTGAATCAAAACTGTCATAATTAACTTTATCAAAGTCGTGAAGCTGTTGTTCAGATGCATCCACACTGCATACAACTAACTTATAGACGTATTAGGAGGTGAATAACTGATTGAAGCTGTGTGATAATGAGGTAATTATTTCAATGCAACAGTTTCAGAAAAAAATGACCAGATTAAAAATGATGTTTTCATTATTATATCATATCCTGCTTTGTAATCCAGGGTGGATTTAGCTGTGGGAAAACAGAGCAGGTCTCGGCTCTCTTTGCTCTGACTTCAGGACGGCTGCCTGTGCCTGTAAGACAGCGCTTAGGGAAATAAGGAGCTGTTTTTGTCCCTGTGAGACACATTTGAAAAAAATGCAATCCAGAAATGAAGTTTTCAATTAAAAAAACACGTTTTTAAGCCCAGCTTTCCTAATTTCTCATATTTTATTCTTTCTCAAATTTAAATTTTTTTTCAACACATATTTTGTAATATTTTTAGCAAACATAATTCTTTCAATTTCCATTACAAATTTTATATTTTTCAATTTGTATTCATTTTTATAGGTTTAAGATTGGGTGCAGGATTAGGGTTAGGTTACTCTAATTTGACATAGAAACTTTGCAGCAGCGTAAATATTAGGGTTTTCGCAGGAAAAACGTCTACTTGGCAATATACCAGTGAAGAATGGGACAAGATGGTAAGCATTTACAAATTAATAATTTTATCTTTACTACCTCTGTCTCATTCTCCTGTCAGAAAAAACAAAAACATTTTATTCATAGTAAATGATTTTACTAACAAATTCTTCCAGGGTAGACATGTTATTGGCATTAAAGTCGTAGGGAAGCGGCTGTTCCAAACGTTGCATTTCCGAATTCTCCCCAGTGGTGCCCGACTGTACGCGGGTGAATAAAGTGAATGTGATTGGTCGTTTATCAAGGGGGCGGGATTATTGTGGCGGAAGGTTTGCAAGCAAGTTTGGTTGTGGCCGGTTTGTCGGAAGCATCTTGCTAACCAGTTAGCAACTTAGTGCTAGTAGGGTCCCAATGGGAATTTCCATTGGGACCAAGTAGCACTAAATTGGTGACTTAGAAACGACACTGTGAAGGAACGCTATGGACAGAGGAAACATGCAAGAGGAGGAGAGTTTAGTGTCGGAGGTCGTGGATGAGTCTCCTCCATCATCCATTTTTTATTTAGAGGAGGAAAGCGGGATGAAGATGTTGTGGAAGAGGACGCCAGGGCAGCAGAAGCTTGGTTTGGTGTAGAAGGCTTCCAGCCGTACATGTTTGAGCCCTTGCCTCGCAACGCTGCCAGTTCTGTTAGCTCTACACCTGCTGGAGACACAGACGTCCATCCCCGTGAACACTGCGACGCAACTCAATGGGAAAGGAAAGGATTCTGATTTCAACCGTTGAGTATTTTAGCTGCGACATATGAATCAAGATGCTATGACCGAAAAAATTGGATTGACAGATGACACGATTTTTTTTTTTAATAGAAATGTTCTATATTTTGGGACAATATTGTCTGATAAAGAGTACATGTATATGATGACATCCATTAAAACTGAATCTAGTTGTTTTGTTTTTGGACCTTAAACTTATGGTTCCAGTTTGATGCTATCGGTGCCGCACCTGGGGTCTGTGGTTCTGTGTCCCACAGAGAATTTATGCAAACACTGTAAAACAATTTTCTTTTAATTCACTAATAAATTGCACCAGAAAATGGTTAAATATAAAACCAGTAGTGACCAATCTGAGCCTAACCACTTACCCATAGGATAGGTTGGCACTGTCATGGGCATACCTGAAACACAAAGCATCCATTAAATTGTCATTCTCACCAAGCAGTCACCAAGGCTCTCTCTGAATAAAGACATTTACATAGAAAAAGGTTTTAATGAAACCTATCTACCCTCATCGTATTCTTACTATTTTTCTCCCATCGTCTTTTATTGACCGGTGTTCTGTCAGATCAGCATACCCCTTCAGACCAACATACCTATAGCCAATATGCAAGACGTCAGATTTGAGTTTATCCCTTTAGTTTTGTACGAAAAATAGACTGTAAACTACCTCAACGGGCGTGAATCTTTTTAGTCATGTACAAAAAAAAACAATTTAAGGTCAGATCGCCATACGCTTCAAAAACACCGAAAAGTAAGTAGTTAAATCTTTTTTTTTTTTTACATGATTAAAGGGATACACGCCCGTTGAGGTAGTTTAAAGCCTATTATTCATTCAAAATTAAAGGGATAAACTTAAGGAATAAATGGGTATTGACTATAGGTATGCTGGACTGATGGAGTATGCTCATCTGACAGAACTTGACTTTACAGCCGAATAAACACATTTGTGTGCATTTTTTTGTCCAAAAGGTTTTGTCATCAACATAAACACTGAATATAAACTCAAAGCCAGAATTTATTCCCATTTGAAAAAAGAATTGCATCATTTTTTTTTTCGTGATCAGTTAGATGTTAGATTAAATGGAGGTTATTATTTCATTACTGCAACTACGTTCGTCAATCAGCGACGCTAAGCATCTATGGAAAAAGACTCAAGTTTCATTCTAAGTATATTTAATGTTCTAAGGTTGCCTCCCCATGCAGACCCAGGGCTGGTTGGCCTTTCTTTGCAATACGAGAACAGTGTTAAAAAATAGATTTAAAAGGTTTTCATCAGCGCTGTAACTCTAACTCATATTCATTCCTTCATTCCATAGTTAGGCTGAAACACCTCAAACCCAAAGTCAGAAAAAAAAACTTGAATTTTGGTCAGATGTTTTGAAATACACCAATAAGCATTCATTATTTTGGATTAACAGACAATTTCCTTAGTTTTTTGTTTTGTTTTTTCGTGTCTTTTCGGCACCAGTGGCTCGTTGTTTAAACAGGAAAGGGTGAATTAGAGAGAGAGAGATGCGGCAAAGGACCACAGGTCAGATTCAAACCTGGGTTGGCCACGTGGAGGACTAAGGCCTCCGTACATGGGTCGCGTGCGCTAACCACTGCGCCACCGAAGCACACCCAAAACACACTGAGTTTAAATTGAATCTGGGCTCTAAATGATATAAAAGCCCATTTTATGTTACCTACAGTACCATGTTTCTTGGATTTAAACTGGAACATCAAAAGAAAACAGAAATCTAAATAGGTTTTTCTTGAATTGAGGAGGTAAGTCAGACTATTTGCAAAAGGAACAAAATTTCCAAAATGATAAAAAAAAAAAAAAAACACTCCACTGGACTTTGTTTATAAGTTTGAAGATGTTCCACTTTCCATCCGGGAAGCTTTTTCAATTCATAATGTCAGAGATAGAGTGGACCAACAAAGCCTTGTTTTGGCTTAGACAAAGGACATTGTTTTGAGGACCAGAATGTTCATATTTTTGGACAAAGAAGACAGGTGGTTTGAGAGAAGCGCGAAGGAAGCCATCAATGTTAAGAAAGAAAAACCAACCTTAAACAGAGAGGGGGGACTCAGGTTTCAGCTTTCATACAGCTACAATGCAGCGATAGAGTTGATTGCTTTGCGCTATCATCTCAGCCCCAACCTCTTTACAGGAGAACAGAAGACCTCACCTATTCAGCCAGGCCAACAATTCCCTTTAACAACCCCCCTTTCAGAGACATAGACAGGTATGAGGCATTGCAGGCTAACAAAGAAGCCAAACAACCCCCATTCCAAAGGGGTGGAGCCATTCGTCTCAAATTAAGGTTGAAAACAATTTTTTTTTTTTTTTTTACTTATTTCTAGATTCATTTTGCAGTAAACTAATTAGCTGACCCGTCCTTCAAACTCTGCTCTACCTGCTCAGTTTTAGTGTGACCTGCTTTTCAGGTGATGGTTATGTAGTTTAATTTATATAATAGATTAAGTCATTATAATGCAGATGTTTCTTACCCCCTCCATACATCCCACGCTGCATTGGTCCAATCCCTCCTTTTCCTCTCATCCTGCGGTTAAACATGGCTACTCTATCCATTTCCTAGACACAGATGATGAAGATGAAAAGTTTAATGAGTGATGGAATAGAGTGAGCGGCTGGTTCAGGGAGCAGGAACCACAATCAGCTGGTTTTCAGTTACAGCAGGAAACAAATTCAGATGACATCACTAACCGGAGGGGCTTGGTCATAAACCGGCTCAAACAGGTCATCAACATAGTTGTCCATCCGCCTGCTGCGCCCTGCAGCCAGAAGGAAACATGTATTAGAAATCTCTGTAAGCAAAACAACACTCTGATGTCAGGGCCCCTTTCCTCAGGTCCCCGTGTCTAAAGGGCCCCGTGTCCTCAGGGCCCCCTATCCTCAGGGCTCTGTGTCCTCAGGGCCCCCTATCCTCAGGGCTCTGTGTCCTCAGGACCCCGTATCCTAAAGACCCAGTGTCCTCAGGGCCCCATTTTGTGGCTGAAATGAACCCCTGCTGGGCTCGTTCTGTTGATACTGAGATTGAACCCCAACACATGAACCTGACAGCGTTAAAGTTTCTAACATCGCCTGAATGCAGTGATTACTTTCTGGTGGATGATCTCTTCCCCAGGCGTTTCCGTCAGGCAACCTGGGAGCTTGAGTCAAAGGTGCTGGTGGGATGAAGTCGTCCATATCAGTGGTCAGCATCCTGCACAGAGAAAGAAAAAAACAGAAATCACACATAAAGAAAAAAGTGCTGGCAGCAGAACATCTGTCAAAGTCCCAATCAGTCGAGGAGAAACACCAGAGATCCAAGAGTTGATGTTGCTGGATTTGCTTCATGCCTAAACCTGCTTTCCTTCAAATTATTACCTTTTATTTCTTGTATTTTTTTTTTTAAATCATCCTGACTATAATAAAACAGACAGACTCCACATATTGGAAATTATGGACTGAAATGTAATCTTTTAGACCAGGGGCTCCCAATTTAGAGGTCAAGACACGATGTATAAAAATAATTATTCTATCAATTTTGACGTGTCAAACACAGATACATTCCTTACGGTTATGATGCACCAATAGGAATAGCAGGTTGAGTTCATGTGAGAAGGAGATCAGGAGTAGCCTGATCCTATTAGCGTATTAGTAGAGCTGAGAAACGGCCTCTTCTCTGTGGAAATTTCTTTTTCAAATTCAGAACAAAAAATAAGTAAACAAGGGAGAACAATGATCAGGCTTTGGACTTAAGGAATTAAAAGAGGTTTAGAAGACAGCAGAGGTTAAAGCTTTTCATCTGAATACAAAACTTTAATGTTTACTACTGTTAACAATAGCAGGCAAGCTAACCAGCTGATTAAAGCCTCTTTCCCAATGAAAACAGCAGGTTAATTAATGTTTTTCAAACGTGGGTCGACCCGCTAACAATCAGCATTTGTCTCCCTTCCCACTGGCTAATTAAGCTGGGTCTAACCCCTCGCTCGCAGCTGCTCTGGTGATATCATCACACTGGGTTAGAGTTGGTGATGTCACCAGTGCCACAGAAATCAGGAAAGTAAACAATGAAGAGCAACATGTAAGGAAACCAGGGCGTAGTCAGTATTCTTTATTGTTTCTCTATTATCCGTCTGAATCCCTCTAACCAGAGCTGCTCCATGTTTCCTGCCGACCATTTTTTTTCTGCTTTATCCTGGACCGTGTTGCGGAGGCAACAGTCGAAGCAGAGAAGCCCAGATTTCCTGATCCTCGGGTGCGCCATGTTTTAAAATGTAAAAAGAGTTGGGGCATGCAGGTTGCACAGTGGCTAGCGCGTACGACCCATGTACAGAGGCCTTAGTGCTCCATGCGGCCGATCCGGGTTCAAAACCTAACCTGTAGGGCTTTGCCGCATGTCTCTCCCCCTCTCTCACACGCCCTCTCCTGTCAGCCTAATGTCAAAAAAACGAGCCACAGGTGCTGTAAAAACTCACAAAAAAAAATGTAAACAGAGTTGTTTCTGCTTGTTAGCTTGGAAGCGACTGGCGCGGTGTGTTGACATCCGTACATTGCGTACAATGGTGTCATGTAACTAAGCAGGTGAACCCGGCTCTGGTGTTCTCACAGTGTGCAAATCAGAGCCAAGGCGATTTTAACACGGGTCGCTTGCCGAGTCGTTTGACCCGGATAGACACGCATCAGTCAGCTGTTCCCACTGCCACTAGAAACCCATTGCTCCCACGTTTAAACAGGTTTTTTAGTAAGAAAGGGGTTTAACAGTACAGAACCATGGCGGGCAAACAGGAGTGCGCCACTTACTGGTCAATGGTTGAACTTGTAATTCTCGCCCTTAACCCTGTAATGCCAAATGTATCATATTTGATACATACGGTTTCTGAAATGTCTGACACCTTTTGCATAATTTAATGGTAAAAACTTTGCTCAAAATCCTGTTGTACACAATCAGATATACCTGATAACAACCAGTAGAAGACTACACAAAAAATAATCTTAACTTATCGCATAGTAATAAATTATTAATATCAAAAACGTATTTCTGTTTTTTCTTTTTACATATTTTGTTAAAAGGCCTAATAAGGACTTCAAACCAAAAAAAAGTTATTTTCTGTTTTGTTTTATTCTTGGATCGGGCTTTAAAGGGTTAAACATCCCAATTAAATCAATAAAAAAAACGTAAAAATTATTTAAAATATATTAAAATATCATGCATAAACTCCATTTATTCCAAAAATAAGTGGATTTTTTTCACTTTATAACATAAATAAAAACAGAAAAAATTTGTGGTCACTTATATTTGAGGTCCCTGGCTGAAATGTTAGGTGCCTTAGATGACTATAAAGTTACATCAGATTAAATAAATTGTTATAAAACAACAGTTTAATACAGATATGAGGACTTAATGATAAGCCTCTGCTTAAAGGCAGCTGTTTTATAAAAGGAGGATTGATCTGATATATAGTCTGATATATACTGATATATATTCAGACGACATCAGTAATATTTGTTGTTTTGGACTAAATTGGGTTGAAATAAGATATAAAAAAAACATGTAGATCCTTGAAGGGACCTGGTTTGGTTTTACCTGTCTCCTTGGTTTCTAAACAGGTAGTCAGAGTTTGCAGAGGAGGGCGTCCCTGGTCCATGAAGGGCTTCAGCTTCAGCCTCGGCCCCAGCCAGAAGGTCCATGACAAAGTCAGAGCCGGCCAGGTCTGACCACCCTTCGTCGGTAGCGATAGACACGGACCAGCCTTGCAGAGCCTCCATCACCCCTCTAAGTTCCAGCAGATTAAAATTACACAACAACACAAACTGAAGTTGTTTCTTTGAAAACATGTTTTATAAATGAAATTGAATACCGATAACGAAGAAGCCAAGAAGCCAGCTGCTCTCCTGTGGTCCATGACTCCACCTCAGTTGTCAACTCTTCATCTGAAGTCAGAGCAGTTGTTGTTTTTATCTTTATTTCATGCTTGATGTTTTATTTGGTGTTTTATTAAAATAAGCCTTGATGGGATTTATTTCACCTACCATTAAAAGTCTTAACTTCCACAAGCATCGTTCCTTTCCTCTGATTGGACGTCCACTCCAGCTGTGTGGGGGGGTGGAGGCGTGCGGCGGGGGCTGGAAGCTGCAGAGACGTCAGCAGCTTGTGCTGACATAGTGAACGGTACTCCCCTGGACCCTGGTCAGATACATACCTGCAAGGAAAATATGGAGGGAATTTGGTTCCATTATTGTTGCACATTAAAAAATAAAATAAAAAAGTAAAATAAAATAAATAAAAAATTCAGAAATAAAACTTTAAAATCAAAGTTTTGGTGTAACTTTGCTGTATTCTTGCCTTTATTTTATTGTTTTATTTATTTAATTAAAATAACAGATTTCTTTTTTTTTTGTTTTGTTTTCTTTTTCTCAGATTCATTTTTTTATATTATATATTTAAAATGTAATTTTTTAATTATATTTTTTATTCTCTTTTTCAGGTTTAGTTTTATGAATTCTTTTTTAATTGTGTTTCCCAGATCAGATTCTGTTAACTTCTCATCATGAGGAGCACATTTCTATTGGTCTGCTGGACGTTGGCAACAACATTTTATTGGTCAAGAGGGAGCGTTTGGATTAAGCTTGAAATAAAGAGAATGTGATCATAAAACACAGTTATGAAAAGCACAATTAAAACGAAATCTGAGTACGGAAGAGGATTAGGGCCACTGAAAAAAAAAAGAAGAAAATTAACTAATTTTAAAATTTTATTTCAGTTTAATACGGGGAAGAAAATCAGAATTCTGACTTTAATCTCAGAATTCTGATTGGGAGGACCAGTAACACATTGGTGGAAAATTAGGCGACTTTTTACGTCCCTGAGGAGTTGCAGGTGATGATATCTCATTAATGGAAGAGCAGAAGGTGATTAAAACCAGAGAGCTAGCCTCTAAAACAGACATGGCTACGGCTTGATGATAACATGTTTGTTAGCTCTCAGAATTCAGTCATAATTCTGAGATTAAAGTCATAATTCTGACTTTTTCCCCCAAAATAAACTCAAATAATATTTCAAAATCTGTTAACTTCGCTTTATTTTTCAGTGGCCCTAATTCTCTTCTGTAATCTGAGAGAAAGAAATGTGGAAAAAAAGAAGAAAAAATAAATTTAAAATAAATAGAATGAAAATTATGAAAAATATAAAAAAAACAAATAAATTAAAAAGATAAAATCTAAGACAACAGGAAAGTAACTCCTTAAAACTTAAAAAAAAAAACAATTTTTCTAAAGTTTCATCTCTGTTTTTTTTTTTTTATTCTTGCAACAATAATGGACCTAAATTCTCTCCACACGGCTACAGCTCTAGTCTTCGTCTTTTAACTATATAATAATATAACATAGGGTAAAATAACAAATGAATAAAAGCCATAAATATTAATCCGACCAGCTTCACACAGTGACAAACTTTTATACTAACACTGAATTTAAAGCCTGCTATTTTTTAAGTTTCTGTTCTATTGGTTCTGTCTTTAGTATCTGATCATAAAACTGACACGAAACAAAACCTATAAACCTGCAGGACTTTGCCCGCTGCTTTGCAGGAGTAAAAACAGACTGAAGTATCTGTAGTGGACAGCAGGTGGCAGACTGGAGGAGTAACACCTACTTGAGCAGAGTTTTGTCCAGAGTTGGTGACGGTGTGAAGGCGCTCAGGCAGCAGGCCATCAGCAGCCATCCCCTCAGGCTGTTGTGGTCCTCAGCTTTTTCTGACGTGTGGTAAACAAGCTGGACCAGGATCTCATCTCTCAAAGCCGGATGCTTCTGGCCCTGCTCCACTATGTAGTTGCCTAAGGTCTGCTCCTGCCAGCCGCCCATGTCTGATTCTGCTAAAAACCGTAAGATCTGCACATAGGGAGTGAAAATTGCTAAGAAAAGATGAAAGATGATGAGACGGCACCCATAGAAGATGATCGTCATACCAGCTTGTTGATCTCCAACGCCGGTCTGGTGTATTCGGACTCCAGAGGCATGAGGGGTCTCTGGGGTGGGTAGCCCTGAGGCTGGGACCATGTGTCCTGGAGGTCAAACACAGAAAAAATTAGGTTTATGTTTGTCATCCAAACAACCTGATCATCTTCCACCTCCTAAAACAAACCATATAGAAATTCACTTTTTTATTAAGCCGTTATAGGGCAAATTTTAATTTTTCATCACTTGCATACCATTAGGGAATACTAGGCAGTTGTCAAGGGCCTCAAGTTCCTGGGGGCCCCCTAGAACTCTGTTTACATGTATTGTTAATGTAAACTATTCCTGATTTGTAAACATTAATTATGTTTTTGATCAAAATCCTTTCACTAATAAGGCCATCAGAAAGCTGATAATATTAAGTGTGTCTCAGCCCCCCCCCCTTCAGTGTCCACCATATTGGATCAGTCCATTTGCTGCACATGTTCAGAAAGGTCCAAACAGACAGCAGCAAACCATTTGAAAACAAACTATGCAAAGAGCAGTGTTGCCAACTTAGCGCTATAGTCGCTATAGTTAGCGACTTTTCAGACCCCTCTAACACTTTGATTTCTAAAAAGCACCTAGTGCCAAATCTAGCGACTTTTTTCTGCTACTGGAGACTTTGGAGACAACATCTAAAAGCAGCGAACTCTGCTCTCCAGAGCAAGTAGATTGGTAACCCCGCCTCCTGCTAGAAGCACAAGATTTATGCTATTTATGCCATTTAACAAAGATACTGCTACATAGCTGTGCAAGGTATTTTGGCATTTGACATATTACCAACGGTAAATTAAGCTGAAAAAAAAGGTAACAAGTAAAATATAATCCTACAATAATACTCTTAGCTTAAAATTTTGATTTTCAAAGTATTTCACTGAGTCAGTCCAAAAAAGTAAAAAAAAACTATCCACTGGACTTTGTTTCCAAGACGTTTTGCTTCCCAGCCAGGAAGCTTTTTCAATTCAAAATGTCAGAATATAGAGTGGACCAACAAAGCCTTGTTTTTGTTTGAAAACATGCAAATAGAAACGGATGAATGGGTCCACCTCTTTGGAATGGGGGTCGTTTGGCGTCTTTTTGAGCCTGCAATGCCCATACCTGTCTATGTCTCTGGGAAATTCGTTAAAGGGAATTGTTGGCCTGACTACTGGCAAGGTCTCCTGTTCCCCTGTAAAGGGTTGGGGCTGCGATGATATCTGGAAGACATCAACTCTCTTGCTGCATTGTAGGTATTTGAAAGCTAAAATCTGAGTCCACCCCCTCTGTTTAAGGTTGGTTTTTCTTTCTTAACATAGACGGCTTCCTTTAAGCCCCTCTCGAACCATCTGTCTTCTTTGTCCAAAATGTGAACATTCTGGTCCCCAAAAGAATGTCCTTTGTCTAGGCCAAAACAAGGCTTTGTCGGTCCACTCTATAAAACCTCGAACTCAACTCCAGTTCTGAAATTGACAATTGACAATTAATTTTTGTGCATAGGTTGATCCCTTGCAACCCCGGCAGGGATAAAACATGATGGAAAACGGATGGATGGATGGAAGTTTATCTTCATTCAAATAATCACTTAAAATCAATAAAATATGATTTTTTTGTTGTTGACATTTTTGTTAAAATCATGATTTGATTACAGCCACGATCAGAACCCAGGACACGGGAAAAATAAAGAAAACATTTTTCCCATAAAGAGTGTTTTAACTTAAAAGTTTGACATTAGGAGTAAAAGTGGAAGAAAATCTTCAGAGCTGCTGATATAAAGAGAGGAAACCAGCTTTCTTCATCATATTCTGATTTCTCTGATCTTCTATGTGGTGAACTTGAGGTGTGGAAAGAGTCACACTGTTACGGATGGTGGAGTTTGGGACGTTTAATTGATATAACCCTCTGAATGAAGGAGCATTTACTATTAAAAACAGCTCAATCAAAAGAGGATTATTTTTCCTTGAACCAGAAATGTTGATAAAGGTTCTTTGCAGTTAATTGAATAAATATCAGCATCTCCAGACCCATTCTTTCAAAAGATGTATGGCAGAGACATTTTTTAATCAAAAAGGGACACTCTAATGATTTTTGATATTATTAATTTCTTTTAATATTATTTTTTAGGTTCTAGCTGCCTTTATTTTGTTGCTATTGAAAGTATGGAGACAGGAAAGTGGGCTAGAAGAGAGGAAAGAGACATTCAGCAAAGGACACCAGGGCAAGGATTTGAACCTATAACAGCCAATACATAGCCGTTATATGGGTCAATATTCAGGGCAGCAACCTGAATATTGATCATTTCTCATCATTTTGGTAATAATGTCAGCAGAAGAGCCGCTCTCTATATTCTAAAATAACCCTGAAGCTATTATTTCTGATACTTTCATTCTTAAGACGTATTGCAGAAGCGTAGGTCCAGTTTCATGTTGAGTTTTAAAGTAGAGGAAGGCAATGAGAGGAAGAGGAGGTAGAGATGTTATTAGTAGGAACCAACCTGTAATGTAGACTTGGCAAAGCGAGAGAATGGGTGTCTATCAATGTCCAGAGGAAGGCTGAGCCTATGTTGTGCCTTCACCTTCGGAGGTGCAACTTCTGTAATACGTGACCCAAGCTGGCCCCCTGGTGGACAAAAAAAAACAACATCAGTCTACAAGCACATCTACAAGCTAATCTATGGCAGTATATTGAAATACCCCTAGACATGATCAGAAAAAAGGAAGGGCAGAAGGCAACAGGTTCTGAGGAACAGCAAACATTCTCTGTGGAACGGCTGGATTTATGACCCAAAAGGGGTTCTGTGGTCTGAGATCAGGTTAAATCGATCACTGGCCAGTAGCCCACTGGCCAGGAACCCAGCCAACAGGGCGACTAACACGGGGGTAATTCAGCCTGATAAGGCAACTGTGCTTTTCTGTAACTATAACAGTTAAGATATCAGCCACAATCGAGCGTTGTTTTAATAATACATGCCAGTGCAAATTGTTACTCCTCTGGATCATGGTAACAACAAAACCGGTTTAAATCGGAGGAAACTTTCTCCACGAGTCTTTGTCAATTTTTTCAGTTCGCTCCACAGCAATAGAGTGCTGATGTTTTTAAGCAGCATGAAGGTCCATCCTCCTAAGCTTGTTCCAAATTCATTTAAAACCCGCCCTTCGTTCTCCTGGGTTGTTGGAGTCCTTTTATGTGTACGGGGCTTTTGTTTTTCAGCCATTTAAATCAGGATCTTTCAAACCATTCGTACAGCGGAACAGGAGAGGCAGCAACTCTAGGCTGGATTCAGTTTTACATGTGCACCTTAAGAGCAAAGGACACACCTTTGATGTTCAGGTCTTGGACAGAGAAGATAGATGGTTTGAAAGAGGGGTGAAGGAAGCCGGATTTGTTAAAAAGGAAAATCCACCACTGAACAGTGGGGGAGGATGGAACTCATTTTTAAAATAAATGACAACCCTGCAGAGGGAGAGCTGGGTCTTTGATTGGCATCGGACTCGGATAGCCCTCCATGATGCTCCAACATCAGCGCTCCAACAGACCTGACAAAGACTCCTGGATAGGAAAGGTGGTCAGAAACACTGGGTGAACATGCAGTTGCCCTTAAAATTCAAATCTGTTCTGAGGTTTTAATGATCCACTTTATTATGTCTGAAAGGAGGTTGATATACCTTTTATAATGTCAACAGCTGGCTGCTAAAAGAGCTTTTCTTAACGATGGATAACGGTCCATTACAGTCCGGGTGATACCAATAGCTGCTTAAATGAGACGCCTTTAAAGGCACAAACAGATTTCTTTTTCTCTGTCCAAAAACAATGTGGAAAATATTCAGAAACTCCTTTTTAATTCTTTTTCTCAATAGGTGACATAACGGACCCAGTACTGCAGTAAAAAGACGATAAATTGATTGATCTCGTTTAGCAAAAAAACATAATGACTAAAAAACCACTGTGAGTCTTCAGGATCCAACAAACAGAAATGAACTTCTAAAAATACAATTCTGCAGTTTTAGATCAGGGTACATCAGCACACCGGTACACTAAGTGGCTTCAGAAGTACACAGAACACAATAATACTGCATAGGAATGTGGTAAAATTCATTAATGTTTTGATAAAGGGAACTATAGATACAATAGGAAACATATTGGTTATTTGAGTTTTACTAATATTTGTTTGCTTACATTTCAATTTTGAAGGAAAAATAATTAATAAGCCCAGATGTGTGTTTTTTGGTGGTATTATATAAATCTTACATAACTTGTGCCCAGTGCTGTTTTATAGCCTTTTTTTTTATGATTCCTGGGTTTTTTAAACTTACCTGCTCCGCTGCGGAGTCTGGCGGACAGCTCAGCAGGGATCTCTAACATCCCCACGTCCTACAGTAAGGAAAACATTGCATCTAGTTATCAAAGTTGGAAACAAAACGATCATGAATCATTATTACAGCAGAGAAATATCAGGTCTTACCATCCCTGACGAGATGAGTTTGGTCGTTCTAGATTCTTTAACTTTGTCCTTCTTGTGATTTTCCTGAAATCAACACACAGGAATCCTCAGTTTGTCATCTTAAATCTTGCTTTTTCCTCTTAAACTTGCTGCCATCCCCGTTTAGGCTCCTTATGCCAGATATCCCAATGTTGGTGTACTTTCCCTATTACCGTCCGAGGAGTGTTTTCAATCAAGGCTATTCTTAGAAACATGTCCTGTTATATACTTGTGTTACACCCATATCGCTATAGGCCGTCCTCACACCTCAAGCTAGGCCGTTCCAAGAGTCCACGGAGGTGGTGGTTTATCAGGAGGTTTTACGAGTCCCAGAAAGAACAATCTACGATGCGTCAGGATAGCTCAGCCCACTCAGGTTATGACAACATCAGCAAATATCAAACACAGGTTTTATCCTAAATTTACAGTGTTTGGACTTTTCCTAACATTCTCAATCAGATTGTTTTCACTTCTGTGAGTGTTGGATAATAGTATTTGATGAATGAATGATTCAATATTTGCACACCATAATATGAATCCATAACGATTATATATCTGGGTGTGTGCTCCTGTCAGTGAAGAAACGCTCATGTAAAAAGCATCCACTTGACAACAGTTCTCACAAACAAAGGTGTTTCTGAGGTAATTGACTGCCTCTCTAACCTGCAGGGTTCTGCAGGGGTTGGGTTTGGTCCTGTTTTGTTTGCTTTTTATACTTTTCTTTTTTTGGTATTATTAGTTTTTTTTTATCTGTCTTCTACTTTTATGCTGATGATATTCAACTTTATATGTGTCACGGTTTTGGTTCTTTTTAAGTTATATCTTTGAGTTTTCTTGGTTTATTTCTATTTTGGTTTTTGTAGAGATTTCTGATAGACACAGAACGAGTTGATCTGATGTGGATACAGATCAGTTCTCTCACTTTTGATGTCATCAAGCTAATAAAATGTCTGGCAGAAGTTTTTTAATTAATTCTATTTATTTATCAGCTTTTAACAGCAATATCAGCACAGATTAGACACTATATTCACCAGATTCCTTAAAGATGATTCCTCCGGCTCTCCTTGGATTTAATGGCTCAACAGTAATTTTTAAATTCCATGTTTAAATTAAATATTTCACGGCTTCTTCAAGAGATGCAACATACGTGAAGTAACGTCAACAATCTGTGAAAGGAGGATTGGGTGAAATCATTGTTTCCATCTGTTTGCGTGACATAAACTCGGTAGGTTGGAAACACCCATTCTTAATGGTTTTAAAAAGATCCATAAGACGGATTCACATTTTTAATGGCCTGAAAAATAAAACTGAACCAAACTTATTGCCCAAACAATTTCTTCTAGAGACAGAAATAATCTGATATTTAAATAAAAAGAATCCCTCTTATTAGATAGAAGTACATTTTCAGAATGCTTAGAACAACTAAGCTCATGTTATTATGCTTTAAGAGCTGAAAATGGCTCCAAGTTCAGAGTCCAAATCTCATAAAACAATAAAGCAAAATATGCAACCTTGAAACCTAAGCAATGAGATTATAAGATAGAAAGTTAGAAACTATTAGCCTAATTTACTCATCAAAGGGAAGAGAAGCAACATTTATACGAGGATTTAGGCCCTGATGAGAAAGAAAAAGGAAACTAACAGAGAGGAAGGCTCTTCCCTGTCCTGAAATGTGAGGAAAGCAGGTCTCCTTCTCATTAAATTTAATTATAAAGCGTAAAAACAGCTCAGATAAAAGAAATAAAGAACCTAAAAACATTTCATGTTCAAAGCGAAAGGTAAACAAAGGAATAAAGCAGCCTACCTTGAAGAACCGTGAAGCTAAATGTCATACGGGCCGGTTTCAGCAGAGAGAAGGAGAGATGCAGAGCTGCATCGAATTTCACTGCCACAGGTTAAAGTCCAAGATGAGAGTGACGCTGAGTGTGTAGGAAGGGTGTGTGTGCATGAGCAAGGAACATGATTAATATAAGATAAGAGCTGGAGAAAATAGATTACATTTTATTAAGGAAATTCTTAACAAAGCTTTAATAAATGTGTTTAACACACCCTTATATGTTCCAGGAATCAATATATTCCCCCTTAAGGGAGGCGAACTTTTATGAAACAACGGCTAAATCTTAGGAGCAAACACTGGAAAAAATTAAAATCTAGCTGTCATTTATTCTTAAAATAAGTGCATTTGTTCTCGATTTGAGAAGGTAAAAGAGACGTTTTGCCAATGGAACAAGACATTTGCCATTTTAAATAAGAAAACACAATATCATTGTCTTATTTGAAGTGCATTTTATCTAAATATCTTGTTTTATTTATTTAATAATTTTAAAAAAATTATAAAAAAATAAATAACAAGAGTAGAAATGCTAATTCCATTGGCAGATCGTCTTATTTACATACTCAAGTTAAGGGTAAATACACTTAATTTGAGAAATTTTTACTTATTTCCTCCTAGCTCACTGCCCACTAAAACCTTTGTGAAACAAACATGCTTCAACTTATTCAGTGTAAATGTGCTTGAGTTATAGTCCAGAAGTGGATCTATAAAGTCTGAGGGTTCATCCAGAGTTTCTAATGGGCTTTTATGGTGTTATGCAGAGTTTATTAAAAAAAATAATAAATTGGCTAGGCTAAATATTTTAGTTTAATCCCCTATAAAAAAGACATGATGACATTTAAAATAGTGGTTCCATCTAAAAAAATTCATCAATGCCTTTCTGTCACACAAATACAAACAATTGTATTTCCAATTTATAGTTTGAGAGCTGTGCTTGCTTTAATTCACAGATGTGATTTCAGGCGGAATTTGCTCCTAACACCCTCAGGGCTTAAGGGGTTAATTGATTTGAAACAGAACTTTGTCAAGAAAATTTGTGAAACTCACTAAATCTAAAAAAAAAGAAATCATGTCCAGCTGAAAACTATCGATCCATTGTCTGTAATAATCATTCTTGTAGGGCTTCAGTTGGGCTGGTTTCCAGCGGTCACTGGGTGAGGCGCACAGTCTGGAGAGGATGCTGCTCCGTCACAGACACACCACACAGACAACCTTGTTTGCACACATTTAATCAATTTAAAGGACACAAATTAAAACCATTTTTTTGAGGACTATAAGTTGCAAGCGGTGTAAATAAAAGTTAGTGGAAGGAAGAAATTCTGAAACCCGCAGTGCACAATAACATTAAATGTAGGAAACAATGCATCAACATGCTGACAAATGTTGTCTTACATCCCAATTTACCAAGAATCGGGGACAGTGGCCCATGCTGCTTAATGCGGGCATATACTGTTTTTGCCCTTTTCGGTAGTGTTGCACCCATACCAGTATCGGGCGGGGCCCTGATCCAGCTTGTGCTAACGGTTTTATAAACGTGAAGAAAGAGCATGATTTAAGCACAAGCCCTGATGAGTACCTTTATGAAGCTGGAAACTGTCAGCAGTGATGGGACTAACGGCGTTGAAAGTAACGGCGTTACTAACGCCGTTACCTTGTTTTAGTAACGAGTAATCTAACTAATTACTTTGACTGTAACTATAACGCAGTTACCATTGCAGACACCCCGTTACTGCGCGTTACTCAGGTCGCACAATGAACCTTTTTTCATGATAGGACTCGTGCGCAGCTGCGTGAAGCTGACACCCCACCCACGTCAAAAAACTCTGCAAATAGACTGAATGGTTAGTGCAACGTTAGTGAAGATTTGTGCAGAAAAAAATATTGTTTGTGCTACTTTTGTTTAAGAGATATTAAAGATTATTTTTAGGTCATCCAGAGGTGCGCGCCTTGTCATGAGAGAGGGGAGGATGAGATTGAATGATGTATAGTGAGATTCCGTCTGTCAGTTGGGTAGGCGGGTGTCTCCGCTGGTGGGTGTTAACGTACAGCACACACAGAGAGATGGAGAGTGAGGATGACTTCAGCAGCAAAACCGCGTTTTCCTGATAGAAATACCGGTGTTAGGCATTGCTCTGCACCTTCCGTGTGTTCCCCTTCGCAATTATACAATTCACACAACACAAATGTACGGAGCCCCTCTGATGACATGGTCAAAAAAAATGTTTAATTGTGGCCACGAAGTAGTATTTCGTGCGCACAAAGTAGTATTTCGCGGCCACGCAATAAGTATAACGTGCGCACGAAATACTACTTCGTGGCCACACAATAAGTTTATCGTGCGCACGAAATACTACTTCGCGGCCACGCAATAAGTATAACGTTGGCACGAAATACTACTTCGTGGCCACGCAATAAGTTTAACGTGCGCACGAAATACTTATTAATAATATCAATAAATCCGCCCCTGTTTTCAGGCTTATGTTAACTGTAATGACTTATCTTGGACAGGCTGCTATGTAAACGGGCCTTTAGTCCTTTGTTTAGCTATGCTGCGGTTGTTTACACTACGCCTTTTCCACCTAAAATGGCGTCTTAGCAACAAATGTCACGTGACTGGCGGAGACCGACTGGGTAAGCAAATCGAGCGCGCCTTAGACCTTAGAGAAGGCGCGCTCGATTTGCTTACCCAGTTGTCCAGGAATGATATTAATATTATTAATAAGTATTTCGCGCGCACGTTAAACTTATTGCGTGGCCACGAAGTAGTATTTCGTGCGCACGAAATACTACTTCGTGGCCACAATTAAAAAATTTTTTTGACCATGTCATCAGAGGGGCTCCGTACAAGTGAGAGTATAAGTGGTGTACAAAAAGACAGAGCTCAATTTTTGACCTTTAGTTCAATTGTTTTTAAAGGCTTTTAATTCTGAAACAAAATCAATTAATATGGATTGCTCAAAGGGAAGCATGGAAAGACAAACAAAAGATACTTTATTTAAGGCCAAAATTTGGTTTTTAAATATTCTATTGTGTTTTTCTTAGTCTAATCTAAATTTCTACTAGATTGAAATGACATCTGTTTGTGGTCTTACCTTTATTTGTAGACGAAGTCGATGCGCCTGTCCTTTGCAACAAAAACCTCAGTTACTTAGTTCTTAATATCCTCATTTTGCATTAGTTTTAAAAGTCTAAAGTCTAAAAGTCCTAAATGGAGATGATCGCCAGGGAGGAAAGCTGTCCTGAATCGATCCTGTTCTGATTTAATATTTTTAGTCTTTTCAACACAGAGATTGACCTTTCCACTGATGCTGTTGCTACATTGAGCACCAGTTGGAGTAGCTTTGTCACCAGGAACAGTCGGTATCAGGACCTTTTATCTGCGGTGTTGGTCTTCTGTTTTTAATCACTTAATCTTTGGACTGAAAGCGCAGTTTTTTTTTTGTCATTTTAACTTACCTATATAAATGTTTTCCATTTTGGACTGAGTAAAACAAAGTGTGTGTTCGATTTCAGAGGATGCATCCTCCAAGGACTCGGTCTGTCTGGGCTGGATCCTTCAAGGTCCGTGAAAATAAGGAGACTGAAAGAGTTTTTGCTGTGGATTCAAACAGGTCCAGCCTTCTCCAGCTTCTAACGCCAGTACGCTCTGTTATTAAGGGGTAAAGGGGTAAACTAAAATTTTGTCAATGTCTTTTTTTAAGACAATTTTTGACTTTTGGTGAGCTCTGAATGCTTCTATTAATGTCTTTGACATTTATTAATGAGGCCCAAATGCTTGGCATCCTTTTTGATCTATATGGTTAACAAATTAAAACATTGACAACTTAAAAACAAAAGCAGCACATGTAACTAAATTGATTAATACCACTGTTTGATAGATTTTAAAAAGGTGGGGGGGCTGGTTGACCTTTAGAAGGTCTTATTAATACCTGTAAAATGATAGTGGCACTAATAAAAATGCTGAACAAATGTAGGTAAAACATTTAACACCAAGAGTCCAGCACTTTCCCTGCCTCTGCAGATTTCAAGCAGCAGGTTAAACACAAAACTAGATTCCAGCATCAGAAGCCTGAAGCTGCACCAGATGCATTAATTAATAAATTAATTCATTCCTTCATGATACACTGTATCATTTCAGGACAATCCACCTCTCCTCCCAGCAACCAGGGCTGTTTCTGCTGTTCAAGTATTAACTGGACTGATCAGAGTAATAAAACCTAAACATCAGAAATGCAGAGGAACCACCTGTCAGCATTATTTTATATAATTAATGGTTTTAATGAATAACTGAGGCATGACTCTGTCAAGAAAACACAGCAGCGCTATTAACTAAAGCAGCTCCTCCCAGCTTCAACTTTGGAATGGAGCAGCAGGGCTGGATTTAACTTTCTGTTCAACCGAAATCTTTAAACTGATTTTACCACCTGGATGACAAGTAACACCAGTGGCTGCTTATCAATAGGGGGCGCTATGGTGCCACACCTCTAAAACTAATGGAAAAAAAGTATAGACACAATAAAGATAAATTACAAAGTAATGTTGAAGTCAAGACCACACGGACCAGGGCCAGGACTTTTATGCTCACCAGCTCTCATTCTGTTCTGTTTGCCAGCCAGTTATGCTAACCTCATCTTAGCATAAACAGACATTTTATTTACTGGTTCAGAAGAAAAGCAGCTTCTTTGAGTCATCACCAACAGTTGGACCAGTCCCGGCGCTCATTTTGCTTCTTTTAATAGAGCAGAATCTTTACCTGCTGATGTTGACAGCTTAACTATAAGTTAATATTTTAAAATTTTTATTTGGACCCTTAAAAAATAATTAAAAGAATTTAATATTTACGATTTCTTTTCAGTGATATTAAAACATTTATTCTGCACTGCTCTTCATTCAATAAATGTTTTAATTGTGAAAAAAAATCACTTTTTAAAAATGTTGTAGCTATGACTTTTAATGTCTTTCAGTAATTTATCTCTGTCACATTTAAAGTTAAAGGTACACTATGCAACCGGTGTTGATTTTCCAGCGAGGCTCCCCCCAGAGGGCGAAAGTAAAAGTGCACTGTCGTAAATATGCTCAGCTGTTCTCCTGGTTTCTCCATCAAGCCAGGCGCGGTTGTTTTGAGCTTAGCAGCGAATGACTAATGCTGCTCTCACACTGGACGTAGCTGGCGCGACAGAAGCAGCGAGTTTACATGCAAAGTCAATGGTTGACGCGCGTCAAGGCGCAGCAAAAGGTCCAGCGGCGCGTTTTGAGCACCAGGCGCAGTATGTCTGAGCAGCTGAAGCAGCGCATCGGGCGCGTTTAACGCAGGGAGAGAGACACAGCGCTGATGATCACTCCTCTTAAACAGTTTGACGCCTAAATTAACTTAAAATGCAGAAATCTGCCGGCAGAATATGCAGTTTGGATTATTTAGATGAAAAACACCTAGCAGCTGCCGCGGTGAACCGCTGCTGATGAAGGGATCCATACTGTCGGCGCATCCCTGGTATGTGGGGGTCTGAGCGGCTCCGACAGAAAAAATATTGAAGGCAGGATAATAATCTGAATGAACTGACTGCACTGATTACGTTTTCAGGTGTATTTTCTCACTTAAAAACATATTAAAACTACTTTATTCCCACTGATCACAGCAAATATAGCTGCAAGGCAGAGAAAGGATAGTGAAGCTCCGCCCAACGCGCGTCAGACACACTTTTGCACCGCGCAGCCAGAGCAGCAACTGGTACAAGCAGCAAAAATGAAGCAGCAGATGTGCTTTTGCTGCGTGAACGTAGCATTACTGCACAAAGATTGCCACTGTGCTAGCAACGAGCATGCTTTTAACTGGGGGGTGTAGCAGTTCTCGCCGTAAAGCAAGACTGACTCTCACGAGACTTCTGAGCCTGTGGGTGCGGGTCGGTGCTCCTGCAGTTGCAAGTGCAGTATTTCCCCCACAGACCACCAGGGCGGCCGAGAATACCTTTGTTCAACCTGAAATGACTCATTTAATCATCCATAACGTTATGGAACACATTAATTAACTGAAAAATGTTGCATAGTGTGCCTTTAAAAGCCAGACTCTCAGAAGCAGGCTGTAACGGAAAGCGTTTCAAAGAGAATAATCCTTTCTTAGCTGTTATACAGGGAGAGAGAGTCCATTTCACTTTTAAATCTCTTAGCATTGTATACTATCACAAGTAACATTTTATCATTAATGTTTCTTAATAAATAATGTTTAATAATGATGACAAAAAATATTAGCTAATATTTTTCTGTGTTTACGCTCAAACTGAAACCAGTTTTCTGAGGCCCCCCATCGCCCCCTGGTGGCCCCTCTAGTATGAAGGTAAATATGTGCCAAAATGAACGAACTTGTGAATTTAATGTGAAAACTTGAGAATGCAATGTGAGAATTTGTACCACAAAAATCTGAACTTGTATGCCAAAATGTTCTGCTGTAAAGAAAAACCGCGCACACACAAACTGAATTTGAAGTTGCACTAAAAGAAATATCAGGCAAGAACATGTAAAAAAAAATTACACTTGTCAGTCCAATCTTCACCTGAAGAGGATTTTCACTCAAATCTGATTTAAATGTGAATGCACAAAAAAACTATTTACTGGTGTGTTCATATAGTTTTACACAAATAAAATTACAGCTGACAAATGATTATTGATAGTTTATTTGTAATTATTATTTTTTTGCATATGTTAATCTTGCATTACAACCTCAATTTAGCCATTATAGCTTCTTGAATCTGCTGCTTCAAGAACACAAACGCGCTCTCACGAGACTTCAGCACGTTTGACTTTTGTCACATTCCTTGCGAGATATTTGTGCCAAAACGAACTTGTGTTTGAAGATGTGAGAGCAAATGTGTGTGGGGGGGGGGGTTCTATAGGCCAACCAATCACAGGCTGCGTCTCAATTCGCAGGCTACGTACTTGGGAGAAACTTCCTGGCTTCTTCTTTTTTTTTTTTTTTAGTAGTTGAAGAAAAAGAAGAAGAAAGTCGGATTTTCTTGAAGTTACGGACAACCGAAATCAGCAGCAGCGCCGGCAGTAGAGCGGAGAACACCTTTAAATGTAAGTAGTTTGTTTTTGCTTTTTTTAAATGAACATCTATTAAAATACATGACGGTAACAGAGCCACCGGGATGTGTAGGACCAGCTAAAGCTAAAGCTTAAAGCTAACCTGTTGATACGTGATGTTCATCAACAATTAAAAGCCTTCATACAAATGTCACTATTTTTTATTTTAACCTACATCTTACTGTACTGATAGCCGTATCCCTCTCTAATCAGATCTATTTATTCTCAAACAGTTTATTACAAAGTATTAGAACTTTTAAAGCTTAATGCAGCTGAAGAAATAACATTAGTCCAGCTGTACTGGGCTGTTAATACTGTAAACGTTTTGTTTTAATACTGAATAATGTATAGTTAATTTACAGTACAGTATAATAAGGTTTAAACTATAATTCACTTGAAGAACAATACCAGTGTAATTATACAGAACAGTCATTTAGCCTGTTGACATAACAGAAATATTCTTTACATGTCATTTTGTTCCAGGGAGCAGACAGAGGAGTGGATAAAATGACCACTTCATCATCGGGGCCAAAAATACTGCTGCAGGCGGATGGAGCGAAGAGTTGAGGCAGAATTCCATCTACATGTTGCATTTCTATGTAAAAGTCACACAAGTTAAAAGAAGTCCTGTTCAAACACCAACGTACAAATATAATAATTTGATCGCATCAAATGATGCCCAGATGCCACTTTTTGTAAATCTCATATTTGTGATAGAAGTGATCCTTGTGTGGGACAACTTAAAATAAAAAATAAAAAGTATGTTCAGGTTTGGATAATGTAATGGGACACACACACACACACACTATATATATATATATATGTGTGTGTGTGTGTGTAGGGAAATTACATCTTACATTTATTATATTCATGTTAATTTTGAGTAAGCTTAAAAAAGTAATCTCCAGGTTACCATTCCAAAGTCTTTTTCTGTAGAATTTCATTAATCCATCCAAATCATGAAACCTTCCTTTTTTCTAGCTTTAAAGAAACACTACAGAAAACAGGGGGTCAGTGGGAAGCCTACTGCTGCCACCTGGCCCTGGTTTGTCCTCATGGATGAGGTATTAGGACAGAGGCCCTCTAATGCCCCACCTGTCCTAATTGCCTCCATCCCTGAGGACACAGCAGGGCCAGGTGCTGCAGAGGCTGAGCAGCACCAGGTTGACGATGAGGAAGAGAATGAGGATGAGAGGCCAGGAGAGAGGAGGGTAAGGAGTAAGAGAAGAAGGAGAGACGAGTTGGTGGATTTAATCAGGGAGGATATCAGATGGCAGAGGGAAGCGGGATAGGATGGACAGATTATTTCATTTATTGGAGAGGATGGTGGACAGACATTATTATTTTTGGTGGTTTTTTTTTTTTTAACAAGTTCAGGTTATGTGTTGCTGTTATTAAATTAAATTATTAAATTGTTTATAAAAGTTATTGTTGTCGGTGTGTTCTTAAAGTCTTTTATCTGTTTCATCACTTCTTTATAATTTAAGTAAACTTAGAACAACTTTTCAGTGACATCAGTTTATTTTTAGAGAAGCAAGTATTTACAATAAACTATTAAAAACATTTTTAAGTATTGACATTAGATTTTAAAATTAACTACTACAACTATTTACAGAAGATATACAGTAAATATTACTAGAGAACATATATATATATATATATACACAATTGTGACTGAGCGGTGCTGCTGGACTGGATGCGATGCCACACAGATGACCTTGGAATCTTCTGACTGTGAGTGGGACATCATCTGGGGGGTGGGGGTGCCTCTCTCCACTGTTCACCACATCATCCGTCAGGGTTTGCAGGGCTGACCCAATCGACAGCTGCCCCAATTGACGGCTGCCATGTTACTAAAAAAGTTTAAAATGACGAAGAAAATAATGACTTTACTAAAACTGTTTTCATTACCCTGAAATAACAGCTAAAATGTGACAATCTAAATGTAATGGTGGTCGGGTAGACCCTCCTCCAGGGGCAGACACCTTGGCAGACAGCTGGTCCCTCCATGGAGCACCACTGACTGCCTCCAACACGTTCTCCCCTCCTCATCCTCTGGCATGTCATCCTCTGGGGCCGTGATATCACCAGCTCCCGGGCAGATGTGCAGGACAGCACATGCCGTTTTGACCTGTAGAAAAAAATAGACAAAAATATTTATTTTTATTCAGTCATCTATCTTTATTACATGATTTATTAGAAATTAAATTTTACTTAATCTAGATCCACTATTTAACTTATTTTTTCGTTTTTATATTTTTATTTTTTTCCTGTGTTATATTTTTATATATATATATATATTTATATATATATATAATTGCAAATAAAATCAGGCAGTAAGGGGATAACAATTTAGACAAAAAATGATTTATTTCTCAACAGTTTGGCTTCTCAACAAAACATTAGTAATGGTGAAAGTAGTTATTCAAGTCAGTTATTTACAGGGTTTGTACACATTTAAGTATTCAATTCAAATTACTAAAGTTACAAACAAATAAATTACAAACTTAAAAATAAATATAAAATTTGATATTTAAACATATTCATCAATCTGCTGACAAGCGTTTATTTAATAACTGGTATATTCTGATCATTAGCAGGCCCCTGTGGGTTAGAATAATAGCAGGTAGATCTTACCTCTCCACTGCGCACTGCCAGCCTGAGAAAAATCCGTCGCAGGTTTTGCTGCCGCCGAAGCCGTCAAAGCGACTCTCCTCCTCCAATAACAAGTAAATTAAAAAAATTTCCATATCTATTTTTTTGTTTTTGTTTTTTCTTTCCGTATTTCTCGAGCTGTCGGATTTTGTTTGGCGCTGTTTTTGGGGTAAACGTGATGACGTCGTGTCGTAACCAGGAAGTGCTCCAAAGGCGTCCTCCCAAGTACGCAGCCTGTGAATTGAGACGCAGCCTGTGATTGGTTGGCCTATAGAACCCCCCCCCACATTTGCTCTCACATCTTCAAACACAAGTTCGTTTTGGCACAAATATCTCGCAAGGAATGTGACAAAAGTCAAAATGCGGTGTCAACGTGCTGTGTCTCGCGAGAGCGCGTTTGTGTTCTTGAAGCAGCAGATTCAAGAAGCTGTAATGGCTAAATTGAGGTTGTAATGCAAGATTAACATATGCAAAAAATAATAATTACAAATAAACTATCAATAATCATTTGTCAGCTGTAATTTTATTTGTGTAAAACTATATGAACACACCACTAAATAGTTTTTTTGTGCATTCACATTTAAATCAGATTTGAGTGAAAATCCTCTTCAGGTGAAGATTGGACTGACAAGTGTAATTTTTTTTTACATGTTCTTGCCTGATATGTCTTTTAGTGCAACTTCAAATTCAGTTTGTGTATGTGCGGTTTTTCTTTACAGCAGAACATTTTGGCATACAAGTTCAGATTTTTGTGGTACAAATAGGGGACGGGCACAGCGCGTTGCATTCTGGGTACGCCGCCATATTGACAGCTAGTTGCTACGGTAAACAAAGACCTAAAACAGCACAGAGACGAGTAAACAGCGATGTTAAAAGCGAAGAAAGGATGCGGAATATACCGAGACACACTGCAGAGGGAAGCCAGGGACCGTTATCTGCAAAAGATGGGCTTCATAAACGGACTTGATCCCTACGAAGTAGCAAGCAAGGAGTGGTGCGTTGGGGAAGAATTTCTACCGCCGTTTGCGAGGGAGGACATATTTTCCTATCTAGTGTGTGGCGTCAGTGCCTACACACATGAAGAATTTCGCTGCTACAAGTCGCTAGAGGCTTACAAACAGCTGACAGATGGAAAAGTTCACGACATGGAAGTAATCAAACCGAATGAGAACACAGTCATTAGATCCAAGGGAAGCTACCGTCTCAACATGGTGTGGTGTTTGTTGTGGTGATAAGACTAGGTGCAGGCACTAAGGTAAAACATCAAAAATGTATCTAAACAAATCTTGTGCTTACTGTACGTGTCCTGGGATACTGTAGTTACATTCTGATGATATATGACTGTCCTACCATGGTACTATGTTGTATGTATGTTCTGTAACTTACCAGAATGAAAATGCCGGTGTCGTGCCAAGGTAGTTATCCCTGCCAAAATTTGTATCCCCTCGTCGGGAGCGCGCATGGAGTAGAAAGAACAACCCGTGTTAACTCCGCCTCGATTCCAACGTGCAGAACTTCAAATTTGAAAGGTTTTATGTGCATGAAAGTTGAGCTTCACTGTTTTATTCTTTACTTCACATGCTATAGCAGAATATCGCCAGTGATATTGATTTAAAACTAATAATAAAACACAAACGTTTGCTTGAAAGCTGGTCGCTGACAGCAGTGTCTACTCCTCCCTCTGAAAGCAAACAGATCCCTGTTCTTTTCCTCACGTTCATTAAAAAATATCTCTCATTGTTTCACAGTGTCCAAATGTTCTCATCCCATTGAAAACTGTTGTAAACTATATATTTGTAATAAAAATGAAATAGAAAATGGAGTCAATCAACTCCAAAGTTTCAGGGGTTAGTTGTCATAATAAAAGATGTTTATAAGCCAAAAATGAAAAAGCTGGGACCCTTTTTGCCTGATTTAGACAGGGGGAACAAATTACGGCAGGTAGCCTGCCATAATTTGTTCCCCCCGTGTAATTTTAAGAAATAAAGGTCAATCACCCCCAAAGTTTCAGGGGTTAGTTGTCATCATAAAATATGTTTATAAGCCAAAAATGAAAAAGCTGGGGCCTTTTTTGCCTGATTTAGACAGTGGGAACAAATTACGGCAGGTTTTATTTCATCCCATATTGCTGGTTCTGGCTATATGGGATGAAATAAAACGGTCAATCACCCCCAAAGTTTCAGGGGTTAGTTGTCATCATAAAAGATGCTTATAAGCCAAAAATGAAAAAGCTGGGGCTCTTTTTTGCCTGATTTAGACAGGGGGAACAAATTACGGCAGGTGGCCTGCCGTAATTTGTTCCCCCCTTGTAACTTTAAGAAATAAAGGTCAACAACTCCAAAGTTTCAGGGGTTAGTTGTCATCATAAAAGATGCTTATAAGCCAAAAATGAAAAAGCTGGGACCCTTTTTGCCTGATTTAGACAGGGGGAACAAATTACGGCAGGCTACCTGCCATAATTTGTTCCCCCCTTGTAACTTTGAGAAATAAAGGTCAATCAACTCCAAAGTTTCAGGGATTAGTTGTCATCATAAAAGATGCTTATAAGCCAAAAATGGAAAAACTGGGACCTTTTTTGCCTGATTTAGACAGGGGGAACAGATTACAGCAGGTTTTATTTCATCCCATATTGCTGGTTCTGGCTATATGGGATGAAATAAAACGGGCAATCACCCCCAAAGTTTCAGGGGTTAGTTGTCATCATAAAAGATGCTTATGAGCCAAAAATGAAAAAACTGGGACCTTTTTTGCCTGATTTAGACAGGGGGAACAGATTACAGCAGGTTTTATTTCATCCCATATTGCTGGTTCTGGCAATATGGGATTAAATAAAACGGCTGATGTTAGAAGACAAACTGTTTATTAAGGAACATAGATAAATTGTACGTTACTATAAACACAAATATAGATTTAAGTACTAAATTTCAACCAGGAAAAAATTATTTTCCTTCTGCATAGTCTTTAATGATTACACGTGCACTCCATTTTCTATTTCATTTTTATTACAAATATATAGTTTACAACAGTTTTCAATGGGATGAGAACATTTGGACACTGTGAAACAATGAGAGATATTTTTTAATGAACGTGAGGAAAAGAACAGGGATCTGTTTGCTTTCAGAGGGAGGAGTAGACACTGCTGTCAGTGACCAGCTTTCAAGCAAACGTTTGTGTTTTATTATTAGTTTTAAATCAATATCACTGGCGATATTCTGCTATAGCATGTGAAGTAAAGAATAAAACAGTGAAGCTCAACTTTCATACACATAAAACATTTCAAATTTGAAGTTCTGCACGTTGGAATCGAGGCGGAGTTAACACGGGTTGTTCTTTCTACTCCGTGCGCGCTCCCGACGAGGGGATACAAATTTTGGCAGGGATAACTACCTTGGCACGACACCACACTCTCATGGACACTGGGATTGAGTTGAAAGTTATATTTGGCCGTCTTACAGCAGCGACCCATGCTAGCCGGCGACTCTTTGTTATGGAGGACATTTGTTTTCCATTGAGACGCCTCCAGGTTGGAAAACGGTAAAAAGACAATCCATTTGGGATTTTTTTCCTCGTCCAGTCACAGCTTGCGCTACTACACCCTACGACACAGCAACGGGTGACCATAACGACAGCAGAGGTAAAATGAAACGGCAAAAAACTAAGCAAACTACTAGCAGAAGAAAGCAAGTCCTTACAGGCGCGAAGTCGAAGTGTAAACAATGGGCTGACCAGCTTTCAATATGGCTGCCGCGCAACGTGTGACGTCATGTGCCCGTTCCTTATTCTCACATTGCATTCTCAAGTTTTCACATTAAATTCACAAGTTCGTTCATTTTGGCACATATTTACCTTCATACTCTAGGGGCCCCTCTGGTGATCTATCATAAATGTCACACCATTAAATGTCATGTTTTTGTCAGGAACAAGGAAGCTACATTTTGAAGAGACTTTTCCAAACTGGTAAAAAAAAATAGGCCTTTTTTTATTATTACAACTTTTCATATTCTTTATTAAAGGACTTTTTTTTTCCTTCTTAAGAATCTATGTGTAGAAATGTTCGGCTTGGATATTTTTTGTTATTCGGGTGGAAGCATAACCCAAGCTGGACTTTTTACCTAGAACTGCTGCCAATGATTCATATTAAGCCTTTTGGATAATATTTGAGTTCTAATAGTTTTTAGGATCAGGCCGTCTTTTGGTAGTAAATTTAAAAAAAACTTCAAATAGATGTAGGCAGAAATATGTTTTGTATTCCTATCAAATATACTTATTTGATTATATGATTCAATGGGAAAAAGATAAAAGACGCTTAAAGGGAAAGCTATGGTTTAAACTGTGAAAACAGTTTAAGAGAATGAGTTAAATGGAAACGAATTAAAACAGAGAGAAGAACTTTGCTCTCAGAGAGAGAGTGTGCTTATCTCTGAGTGGCTCTGCTGTGGCTTTGAGAGCAATAAACTGGAGTGGAAAGATAATTTATGGTGAAATAAAACCAGAAAAGCTTCCAGGAAGGCTAAAGATAGGATTAAATATGTCTTCATCACACTGACCTTCCTCCAATGGCGTCTTTTGATTGTGTTCCTTGTTATCAGCATCACAGCCCAAAACTGGGTAAATGACTGCCTCAGACGCTTGTAGTACTTTCTAAAGGAGGAAAAAACACAGAAATCTGATATTGATGAAGTTAAATACATTAAAACTTAATGAGTTCATAGAGTGCTGGTGAAGATTCTCAGTCATCCAGGTCATAGTCATTCCAAAAAGTTAAAAAACAATCCACTGGACTTTGTTTCCAAGTTTGAAGATGTTTCTCTTCCCATCCAGGAAGATTTTTCAATTCAAAATGTCAGAAATAGGGTTGAGTTCCAGGTTTTATACAGTAGCCCAACAAAGCCTTGTTTCAGTTTAGAAAACATGCAAATAGAAATGGATGAACGGGTCCACCGCTTTGGTATGGGTGTTGTTTGGCTTCTTTGTTAGCCTGCAATGCCCCATACCTGTCTATGTCTCTGAAAGGGGGGTCGTTAAAGGGAATAGTTGGCCTGGCTGAATAGGTGAGGTCTTCTGTTTCCCTATAAAGAGGTTGGGGCTGAGATGATAGCAGGAAAGAATCAACCCTCTATTTAAGGTTGGGTTTTCTCTCTTAACATAGATGGCTTACTTCATGACCCTCTCAAACCACCTGTCTTCTTTATCCAAAATGTGAACATTCTGGTCCTCAAAAGAATGTCCTTTGTCCATAAGTTGTAGATATACTGCAGAGTATTGTCCAGAAGAGGGTACTCTTCTGTGTTGGGCCATGCGTCTGTGGAGAGGTTGTTTGGTTTCTCAAAATATAAAGATCAGAGCTTTCCTCACTGCATTGAACTGTGGACACCACTCCGCTCAGATTAGGTCTGGTTTGTCTTCAGGATGCACTAGTCTCTGTTTAAGGGTGTTGTTTGGTTTGAAATGAGTGGGATTTTGTATTTGGAAAAAATGCTCTTGAGTTTATTTCTTGTCTCTAAAAGGGAGGGTATTTTGTTGGCCTGGCTGAAAAGGCCAGGCCAACAAAACGACCCCCCTTTCTGAGATATAGACAGGTATGGGGCATTGCATGCTAACAAAGAAGCCAAACGACCCCCATTCCAAAGGGATGGACCCGTTCATCCATTTCAATTTGCATGTTTTCTAAACAAAAACAAAGCTTTGTTGGGCTGCTGTATAAAACCTGGAACTCAACGCTATTTCTGCCATTTTGAATTGAAAAAGCTTCCTGGATGGAAGAGAAACGTCTTCAAACTTGGAAACAAAGTCCAGTGGATTGTTTTTTAAGTTTTCCAGTTTACATTCTTTCAGCAGAGGAGAAAAGACTGTAATAGGATTTGGTAACTTGGATATAGAAAAAAGACTTGGTAGGCGCTGCCAAGTCCTTGGTCCTGGGATTATTGGATGTGAGTGTTATGTGCAAATGTTTGTACGGCATGTTTTTTTTTTTTGTTTTTTTTTTTAAAGAGTTTTTGTGTTGCTAGTGGGAGCACTAGGGTGGGAAGGCGTGATTGAGACTGTGTAATTTTGTATTTTTTTCCTTTTCTTGTCAGGTTCAGGTCTGAACTACTCTCTCTCCCAAGAACATCTCAAGTCTCGGCGCTTAGCCTATTCACCCCCCCCCCCACTGCTGGCTGGCGCCTTGGCCCGCCGGTGCACTGGTGGTGCTCAGTGTTTGGGGGGGGGGGGCCTGGGCGGGTGCTGGCTTATTCCTGGCTGCTTCAAGGGGTCGGGTCTCCCCCCGGGGGTGTGGGGTGCACCTGGGGCCTTGTGTCTCTGGGGCCCATGGCCAGTTCCACTTTGGGGTGGCTGGCTGCCGGAGGAGCCCGCAGGCTCATCCCCGTGGCTCCCCGGGGCTCTGGCATTGTGGCGGCTGGGGAATTTCCACGGGTCTCTCCTCCTCGGTCGGATTTCCTGGGTTGGTCCCTCCTGGACGCCTTTGCTCTGGAGATCCCTTTGGGCATCTGGAGTTTTGGGTTGCCCGGCACTCGCCTAGGTGCTCTGGAGGGATGCCTCTTCGGCTCTTCACAACCACTATTAAGCATTTTTCCTTTGGATAAACTTTATATGCACAAGGGCACTCTCACAAAATACTTCAGGTGCTTGGCTCCAGGTACTTAGAGATTCACTTCCATGCAGAAAGCCCATATTCTGATCTTCAGCTACCACAGTATACATGTCAGATTAAATAATACTACTTATACTTCAGCGATAGTATCTAGGTTTTACTTTAGCAATTTATATGCATAAATCAAGCGGAACACTATGACTATAGCCGTACTGCTCCACTTGTGAAAGTAAAATCTGTTGGTCTCTCTTTAGCATCAAGACAATTATTCTTATTTCCACATTACCAGAAACTGTTAAAACACTGTTTTAAAAAAAAGAAATAAATGTGACGCAATATTAGCTAGCGCTTTTGTGTTGTTAGCATTTGTGTCGGTTTCTTTGCTAACTCTAACTGGAGTCTGAGTTGTTTGGTCCACTCTGTTGTTCTTTTTCTGGTTTAGGAGAAATTTGTTCACTGCTGAGGTAATAAAATCACTTTAGCTCTGTTTTCAACAAAGTTTGAATGGCTATGAGGTCAAAAATTTTATGTTTAACAATTTCAGCAGGAGTGTGGAAGACACGTCTACTCACTACTCATGCAGACAAGAGACTAACTTTTCTGTTTTCCTAGATTTGTTTTTCATTTATTTGTCATTGTTAGGTTTCTGTTTCTGTTATGTTTTTCTTTTGATGTTCAGTTTTGCTTTGCTCTTTGTTCTATAGTTTTTTTATGGTTTAATTCTTAGTTTACTGCGTTCTTTGGGATTTTCTCAGTTACTGTCTCAATCTTGGTTCTGTTATATTTTCTTTTTAGTGTTCAGTTTTGCTTTACTCCTTGTTTTCTAGTGTTAGTGGTTTTATTTTTGCTGTGTTCTCTGGTTTATTCTTAGTTACTGTCTCAGTCTTGGTTCTGTTATGTTTTCTTTTGAGTGTTTAGTTTTATTTTGCTCCATGTTTTATAGTCTTAGTGGTTTAATTTTTATTTTGTTGTGTTTTCTAGTTATTTCCAGTCTTCCAGTTTTTTTATTTGTTGCCCTCTGCTGCCCTCTTGTGTTCTCCTTTTTCCCTTGCTCCTATTTTGTTTCTGCTCTGTGCTCACCTGTTTCCAATCTGCTCATTGTCTCAGTCTCCTTTAAAAGCCCTCTCTCTTCGGTTCCTCTTTGCTGGGTCCTCTTCTTACTTCATCAATCTTCCTCCAACTCGTCTCTCTTAGTTTTCCTCCTGGTTACCGTGATTCCCCTGATGACTCCATGGTTTCTGGTTTGTTTTTACTTATTTTTCATGCTTTGAATTTTGGACTCCTGGTTGCCTATTTGTCTGGACTTTGTTTTTTCAGTAACTCTTCATTAAAGCTGAAGTCTGTAAGTTTTTAAAATCACTTTTTTGTCATATTGGCTAAAACTGTCCCTATGCCCAGACAGCAGTACATGTGATATGTAACCTGTGAAAAAAACTGCTTCAATTGGTCTCGCCTACTGCCTGTATTTCAATCTGGAAAGAATAATTCGGGACGAGTCAAAACAACCAATCACAGCCAGAGGAGCGTCTGCTGGAGTGTCAATCACAGCTCCCCCCCCCTCACCGCTTAACCTGCCGCTGCCGCCCGGCTGCCGCAGTCAGGAGGACGCGCGTGGAAGTCATGGCGGAGCGACAGCCACCAGCTAAAGAGAAACTGCCCTTACTGCCCCTGCCGACAACTGCTTACACGGCAAACTTCGGTATAACCAGCATCTTATATCTAGCTGCTTGGAAGTGAGTGTTATCGCTCTTACCGGTTCACACTCCATGCCGCGTACGCTGCTTGGACGCTCTGGTCGCATGCGGTAGCCGCGCAGGTGCTGTGAGAGGGGTGGAGCTTGGAGGTGGGGCATGAGTGAAGCAGAGAGGGTGCGGGAGTGGCGTGAAACCTGTTTTTCTTCAAATTTTCAGTCGAAGTCTGCTCTCTTCTCAATGTTACAGACTGCTGCTTTAAATCAACTGTAAATTCACCTCTGCCTGCCTGCCACTGCTTTTGGGTCCTCACGCCTAGTCCTATTTCATATATATTTTTAGGATTTTCTAGTTTTCAAATTGAGCTTTACGAATTGCAACCTTTTCAAATTGTGTTTTACAAATCACATTCTCTTTGCTTCAAGCCAAATACAAACCTTTGGTCTTGAACTGTACATTGACCAATAACAATGTTGTTACTAACATCAAAGAAGACCAATAAAAACACGTCAGTCCAGAGGAAACTCGCCCCCGGAAGGGAAGACGATGTGGTTTGTAAGAATTTGAATAGAATGCAATCAGTGTGTAGAATCAGCAATTAGCAAAAGACATAACTTAAAAAGCCACTCATTGACACATGTGAGTGTTTTGTTAGGTTTTTTGAGATGTTGATGTCAGACTTACAGTTTATAAAAACTACAGAATCATCTGCACATACCATGATGTCAAGGTCTTTGCAAATATTTGATAAATCAATAATAAATAATGAATAGGTTTGAGTATGAAGCCGTGGGGTACTCCAACTTGACAATCAAGAAATGGGGATTCAATACTGCTAACAGACACACAATGGATTCCATTTGGAGATCTGACTTTATCCGAAGGATTGCTTGCTTGGAGAATTAAATTTTTTTTAATCTAGAGAATATTTTGCGATTAATCAAGAAAAACAGCAACAAGAGGACAAGCTTCAAAAGAACCTTTGAGTTTTTTAAGAAAAACAGGTGCTGCTGTTTCAGCTGAATAATGTGAATGGAAACAGGCATGCTGTGGATTGTAACCCTGAATCAGATGATTTATCAGTTGTTTACTGACCCATTTTTTGATTATCTATAAACCCAATTAAACTATAAAACTTAGAAATGTTCAATCCTCCTAAATCTTGTTGAAGGATAATGCAGGTGAATATTGATTACATTCTAATAATTTCTTTATGATGTTTATTTCTATTTTTCACAAAATAACAGTCTTCAAATCCAGGAAACAATAATTTAATAACGATAAGCAGGTTTGCTTTGATTGAGATGTTTTACTTATTGAAGCCGTTTTCATACCTGGCCTGATGTCCACGGATGTGACTCTGAAGAACTATCGCTTTTTGTTTGAAAAACTTGAAATTCCTTCTGCAGAGGAAGCCCCTGATGTTCCTCTGGATGGTGACGGCTGCCCATGTCTGGGTGCTGCTCCATTTCTCCTCCAACTTCTGGTACAGACACTCCTTTAGGAACACCTAGAAACCCATTCAATACTTTAGAAAATTATTGACACATGAATATATTTTAGTAACACAAATTACTGAAATTAATCACTTTGTGATTTAAGTTAATAACTTAGCATTTAGTGATAAACTATATTTAGATTAATGGTTTTGCACCTTTCAGTTCCAGCTAAAGAAAACATCCCATTTAAGATGAGAATATGACATCAGACACTTTAAAAACAGTGTAAAGTAAACCTGAGGGCTTAATGACAGCATGTTTCATACCTGCTTAAAGGTTGTTTTGCTTTAAAAAATCCTATTAATCTGACAAAAATCAGAACTAGAATGGATCCTAATTGTAATTAGTTAGTGAGTAAGTAAGTAAGTAATGTTTATTTATATAGCACCTTTCACAGACATGGAGGTCACAAAGTGCTTCACAAAATTAAAATACAAATAAACTACATTTACAGTCATAAAAGACATGGTCAACAATCCTTAATCTACTGGAATTAAAATGCTTTCTTAAACAAATAGGTTCTCATTTCACTCTTAAAAACATAAACAGAATCAAGTAAGCGCAAAGAAAGCGGGAGATCGTTCCAGAGCGCTGGAGGGTCCACCTTAAAGGAGCGATCTCCATGAGCGGGTTCAGGTCCTGAGACCTCAGCCTCCCAGAGGGGGTATAATGACACAACAAGTCTGTAACAAGTCCTTTTTGTTTAGACACGAGAGTAGACTGTCTCAGTAGTCTAAACAGGAAGAACCAAAGGCATAGATAATCATTTCAAGATCATCTCTGGACACAGTTGTCCTAAGTTTAGAGATTTTCCTCAGTTGGTAAAAATGGTTCCTTGTCAGCAGCTTTAAGTGGCGCTCTAAGGAAAATGTCAATTGTGAAAAATAAGGCCTAAGTTTCTAGGGCTTGGTTTAGCAGACAAACTCAAGTTGCCTAGATACTGGTGGTAATTCTGACTAATTTGGACAAACGTAAGGGAAGAGTGGAAAGGATGAGCTTTTAATGACCTTGGTGCGTCCCAGCTGGTACTGTCCCTCCTCAGCTTCCACCATGTTCAGCAGAGTCGCCGTCAGCTCAATCTCTGCCAGGTGGCTGTACTGCTGGTTCAGTAGAAACCCATATCTATCGCAGAACAGCATGGAAAGTGTACTTAGCTCATAGAAGTAGCTGAAATGTCTGCTTGGTATCTAAGAATTCAGGGATACCAAAGTTGTTCCACGAAAGCTTCAAAGAGACGATCAAAAAAATGAAAACAGACAATAAAATATCAGTTTGAGGAAACTTGATCTTGACCTACTGCACCTACTGCACAAGTACAACTGTGTCAACGAGCAAACATTTGTGTGTGCCCTAGGGCAGAAATACATCACCAAACCGATGAAAAAACTAAACAGCTTTACTCGTCATTCAGGATAAAATATTTATCTTGCACATCTAAAAAATATATATCAATACATTTCAAAATATTTTTATTTTATAATTTGATTTTAATTTGTTTTTTTAAATGTCTTAATCAAGGTTATTAGGTAGGTGGGGCGCCCTCTATTGGCCAGCCGCCACTGGTATGAACCCATAATGGTTAGGTGAATAACAATCTCTCGATTACTCTTCCCACCCAGTCAAATGCCTAAGCCAAAGCCAATGCACGGGCCAACACGCGGTCATGGAGTGGAATTTACCTTTACACTAAAATTAAAAAGGTGTTTGGAAAGCAGATAACTGCTTTGTATACTAGGTTCTGTTTAACCAAAGGCTTCAATTGTAAGATAAGCTCCTAGATTGGATTGATTTATCTTTGTGGGACATATTAAGACTAATAGCTTAGATTTAAGGCTTTGATATTTGTCAAAAAATATGAGAATAATGTTAGGGTAAAGCAAAAGGTTTACAAATATTAGTATTAGGAGAAAACTATCATAGTGATGGGATTTGGCAAGAAGTTCGCTGCTCTTTGGTTTAGGAATAGAAAATTATGGCAAGTAATATAATAGAAAATTATGTTTGGGGTTGCCGCATGTGACTCTTTAATACCCCCATTTTGGCTCACTGGGGCTTTTTCAAAAATTTATGACAATGTTTATTTTAATAAGGTGTGTAGGAGGTCAAACAAACATAATGAGAAGTTGTCAAATAATCAAATGCATAATTAGGAAAGGCATTTCCAGGGAAGGCTAAGTCTGCAGCCCACCACCAAGCTTGGAGGGAGAGAAAAAGTGTGAATGCAGAACTTCTGAATAAATTAGAGGAGAGCAAAGATAGATTTAAGAAGTAGATTGCATCTCCAAACTCCACTACTGCTGCTGGTTTGGCTGCAAACATAGAAAACTGTTCATAGATCCAACAGGTAGCGCTCTGATGCAGGGAACTGTCTTCCATTTTTGCCCCTAATCCTCAAAATAAAAATAACAGCAAAAAACTGATTTCCTTATTGCATTTCTATAATTTCATCAATGCAACAAAACATTAAAGATTAATATTGTAATGGAATTTAAACTTAAAGCACCAAATATGGTCCAGCAGAGTCACAGTATGTGACATTGTCTCCAGGATAAACATTTAATCATGAATGCTTATTATATATTTAAGCCCCTGTAGTCTTTTTTTATAGTGGGCTAATACATTTACAGCCCATGTAATCTTATTTTAGTTTCCATAGCCCAATACTTAGCGTATCAAAAGGGTGCTGTTGCAGGCAGCATTTTATTGCACTTTTACCCCGATAAGGAAGGATTGTATTTTTACTGTGGTTTGAAGAGGACTGCAGTTTATTTCCACAATGAGGTTTGAAATCACCGGAGTCCTCAAAAAAATTTTTTTTTTTCAAATCTTCAAAGGAAAAATAACACCAAAAATTTGGTTTCGATATTGTATTTCTATATTTCCATTGATGAAAGAAATCATAATACATTAACACTATAAATTAAGTTAAACTTAAATTAGCTAATATCGTGCAGAAGGTTAGTCACATGGTTTCATTTGCATTGCAGGGAAAATAAACATTTAATTATGAATGACTATGATGTATTTAAGCCTAATTAGTTGTTTTGATAGAGGGCTATTATACAACTTTTTGTTTTTTTAGTCCAATGAACATTTTTAGGTGGCCGACTCATGGTCTATAAAAAGCAGCAGGGCCGGATTTAGGAAATTTTGGGCCCTAGACAAAGACAGGCAGGGGGTCCTCTGAATTGAGAAGACAAACATAAAACAGACCCATTCTACAGATAGATAAATGTTAATAGAATAGACATCCATTATCTGTTCTAGGTTGTGTCCCTCTCTTCTTGTCCCTTTTCTTCTTGTTTTCCTCTTTATGTTTTGTACTCAGCTGACTTTTCATGCTGTCTCTAAAGGAGTGAAATATTTTTTCCAAGCACTAAGCTCACTTAGCTGATTGCTCCTTCCTGTGTTTCCAAAAAGGCCAAAGTAAATAACCCAGTCCTTCTTTTCACTGTAGACAAGCCATGATCTGCTTCTCTGTTCTCCATTTTTCATTTGGATGAAATAATAGCTGCATGAATCATGACAGCAGACAAGATAGAGGAGAGCAGGAGGCGGGGTTACCAATCTACTTGCTCTGGAGAGCAGAGTTCGCTGCTTTTAGATGTTGTCTCTAAAGTCTCCAGTAGTAGAAAAAAGTCGCTAGATTTGGCGCTAGGAGCTTTTTAGAAATCAAAGTGCTAGAGAGGTGTGAAAAGTGGCTAAATATAGCGACTAAAGCGCTAAGTTGGCAACACTGCTCTTCGCATGGTTTGCTGCTGTCTGTTTGGACCTTTCTGAACATGTGCAGCAAATGGACTGATCCAATATGGTGGACACTGAAGGGGGGGGCTGAGACACACTTAATATTTTAAGCGTTCTGATGGCATTTTAGCCAAAGGATTTTCAGCAAAAACATAATTAATGTGCAGAAATAAGGAATAGTTGTATTAACCAAATGTGCTAGTGTGTGTGAGCACCTCTCAACGAAGCATGAGTACTGAATCCTGATCGGAAAACCTTCTTTCCGTATTTGGATTGTTTCCAGTACGCCTGAGTACTTCAGCTGAACAGACACATAATCAACATCAAAGATCCCAGGAAGCTGTAAAAAATAAAAGTTAGATGCAATAAAAAGCAAAGTTTTCATTTATTTAGTTATTAAATCAGATGGATTCTATATCTCTGCTCTGCATGCATGGACTTTCTGTAGACTAATATGTGACGATTATAAATTAGATATAATAAACATGTATATTTAAGCAACAGATGTTTCTAGCACATTCTATCATCTGTAAGAAACAGAGCTAAATCAACATCGCTTTGATGTCTGTTTCCCAAGACAGTTACACGATTGTAAAATCAAGTCAAGCCAGGAAGTTCCTCAGTTATTTACAAAATAAGGCACTACACATCCAGATCTGGTAACAGTATGTTATCCTGCACATATTGACCCTAGAAGTAAAAAAAGGTTGTTTTTTTTTATAGTATTTTTTTTACCTTGACATAATTTGGCTTCAGGCAGCGGATGATGGTTGTTTTACACCTAAGAAGGTTAAGAGGAAAACTTTGATTAGTCAGTCTGTCCAATAATTCCAGGATAAAATCTGTTTAATCAGAAAAACACAGAATTATCTGATAGATCTGCAAGATTTATTAAATGAAATGTAAATATTATCTGCATCCATTTAGAATTTGCTCACATATAAAACAAAATACTTATAAGCACAAATCTGTCATTTTCTACATCCATCTATCTATCTATCTATCTATCTATCTATCTATCTATCTATCTATCTATCTATCTATCTATCTATCTATCTATCTATCTATCTATCTATCTATCTATCTATCTATCTACCTATCTATCTATCTATCTATCTATCTATCTATCTATCTATCTATCTATCTATCTATCTATCTATCTATCTATGTACACTGCAAAAACGATCTAGAAATAAGTAAAAATGTCTTAGATTAAATGTATGTATCCTTAATTTGAGCAGGTAAAAAAGATTATTTGTCAATGGAATGAATATTTTCACTCTTAAAATAGATAATTAGTTACTAAGCACTTGAAGTAAGACAAAGCAATTATTTGTTTCTTTATTTTAAATGTAAATTGTCTTGTTCCGTTGGCAAAAATATCTCATTTACCTTCTGAATTCAAGAAAAAATTACTTATTAGAATTTACACTTTTTTGTACTGTATGTGTGTCTGTCACTCGTTGGTGTTTTAACGGCGATCAGCACCGATGCTATAGAGTTTCACAGAGGAAAGTTGAATATTAAAGAAATAAGGCAGATTGATAATTCTTCTTCTGTGTCATGATCTGGCCTGTTTGCTTCTGCTTAATTAGCAATTCCTTTCACCTGCCATTTTTTCTCCCTGCCTCAATTATAATTTATTCCTCTCACCTGTTTCCTCTGGTTTATATTCAGTTCAGCCTGAGCATTCAGTGATGATCATTTCTTGTCTTTCTGTTAGCCTGTCTGTTCAGTTTTAGTTCATGGTTAATGTCCTGGATCCTAGCTGCCAGTGGAAAGAGGGTTTTTGTGTTTGTCTCGTCTCCTGATCGTCCACTGTTCCTCCCCTGCGGAATCCTCTGGGTTTTTGGCTCTATATGTGGGGAGGTTCAGTTTTTATCTCAGTAAGCCTGGCTCCAGGGAGGAGACCAGTTTAAAGTCCTGCATCAAGTTCTGGTTCCACGTCCTGTCTTGGCTACCCTCTTCCACTGAGCCTGCTCAGCTGCACCTGATCCTGTCTGCTCCTGTGTGTGAACACCTGGTCATGCTTCTGGTCCCAGTCAGACTCTGAACCCTCCTGGAAGCCTGTGGATGCCTGGAAGTCTGGATCCTGCCACCTGTTCTGTTCCTGCCTGATCTGGATCCCTGACTAGGATCGGCTTCCAGCATGTCCTCTGAGACTGCAGCACTTGGGGACATTCTTGGTCTAGACTGTTAAACCAGGTAAGTGACCAACGCAGATAATCTTCTGTCAGATGATCGTGGTCACTTACCTGTTTTTCTCCCACTACAGAGTGTCTGAGATTGGGCGGTGCCCCGCCCCCCCGCCTGCAGTGTCCGCGAGCCACAGCTCCGCTTTAGTTTAGTTTGTTTATCTAATAAACGTTTTGAACTTTCCTACTGACTGTCTCTCCTTGAATACTGGGTCCATCTGTCCTTGGTTCATGACATTCTGTGGTGGCTGGTAGTGGCAGGAAGAGTCTTCATGGAAACAACACAAGCTGGATGGATGGAATAATATTCCATTGCTTGAAAAGCACTATTTTTCATTGTTGTACCTCTTTTATATCATGTATAAAGCTGTTAATATTCATGAATATGTTTTAAAACCTGTAATTAACTTTATTTTTATTTTATTATATTTTATGATATTTATTAAACCAAATGAAACCAGTTTCCAATATAATATAACTAATGGCATCTTCAGTCAATAGTCACAGTCTACAATGTTTTCACATTTTTTTGTCCATTTCTTCAGTTATTTCATATAAAAAATCTTTTATTTGATAACTGAAGTCAGATTAAAGTCAATTTAAAGTTAGAATAAAAGGAAAATCTTCTGAAATCATCAGTATTTCAGATCATAGAAAGTAAGTTCATGGTTAAGTCGCCTTGACTGTTTGCGTTTAAATGAACGTTCCAACACTCATCATAGCAGGTTTGGAACCAGCTGAGTTGGTTTTCATGGGTCTCCATCTGAATCCGGCTCCCAAATGAAACTCAATAAATTGCTATTCTTTCTCCTTTCTTTCTCTGTATTTTACCCTGAGATTATTATCATTTTATGTTTGATTAAGAGAACATAAACTAAGGGACTCTAAGTGAAATGAACCTTTCCATGCAGGTGGTGAGTTCGCTCAGGGACTGGAGGAAGTGTGAAGCTGTGGTCGGGGGCAGCTGACGAAGACGTTTCCTTTTCAAACCCAGTTCCCTCTGTTGGACGTAGCTGTCCTGAAGCTTCTGGAACAGCCCAGAAATCATCTGCATGAACACAGAAAAAATAACTCACACCACTGTTTGAAATGCAGTGGGAATCTGAAACATCATCTATAACTAACATCATAGCCGTTTTTATACTGCTAATGGAATTAGATAATGGAACTTATTGTTCTGGCTCTGGAAGAAGGCGGTCGCATTTTCCTGCTGCTCCTGCACCTCCCTGCCTGTCCCTGCTTTGCTGTGTCTTTTATTTTCCGAGCTCTCACTTCATATCACCCGAACTCAAACAATGGATCTGGTCAGCTGGTCTCTCAATGCATTTGATCAAATTTATTCAACTGCAAAACAGGAAAAAGGGGAACCATCCTGTCCTTTGTGGGACACACCATGGACTCCTGGAAGGCTTGGAGGATGGTGTTTTACAATGTTGTCAGTGGAGGATATCGAAGGTGTATGGATTTTCTGATTTATGATACTCGGATTTCTCATGTTTGGATGCAGGATACCTGATGTATGAGGATGTCGGCAGTAATTTGGACACAGATCAGGCTGCTGTTAGCAGTTGATGCACTCACAAAGGCTGTGAATGAGCAGGATCGTGAGCTGAGCCGCATGCTGGGTGCGACTGAATGCAAGCTAGCTGCCTTTTTTTTTTACTTAAAGGTGAGCTGGGATACCTTGGATGTGCACGCTTGCTTCAAGGCGGAAAAGCCCAACAAATTTGGAATATTGGATTCGCTACAGTATGTAGAGCCAGCAAGAAAAAGACTCAAGACTGACGGAAACTTCCTGTGCAGCCTGCTCTCAAAATATAAGTGTTGTTTTAGAATCAGCTTCCCCCTTTTTAAACCTCTTCTGGATGTTATGACGGAAGGGCCAAGAATTGCTCCCCACATTTGTGGATGCGTTTAGAACTGTAGTGCCGGTTGATAAACTTCCATCTTATCAATGATGATGGCCTCTGGGCAGCGTTCATGGACAAATTGAACGCACTCATCATACAAGCACACAACAAATGCTCAAATGACATATATACTTTCATGTGGCTCCAGCCTCTGATGTGACCCTCCACTGAAATGTTTGTCTCGTGTTTATATATGCTTTTTTGTGCAGAGGTTTTTTGATATCTTAAACTGTAGGTGCTTGTTGGTCTTATATGTCTCTGTCATTCCATCATCCCAGTAAAGCCTGGATGATATTATGTCTTTTTTTTCATTGTTTAAGGCTTTATACAGTTAAAACCAGAATTGCTTTATGCAGAGTTGAATGCGTCAGTCGTTCACCTTTGTCCTGCTTCTAGCAAAAAGTTCCACGATTTCTGTCCTGAACTGGTCTTGATTCTTATTGAGGAAATTATGAACCTGAAAAAAAGAAGATGGCAGCAGTTTTTTTTTTATTTCTAGACTTAGTAGCTTCAAATCAGGCGTAGAGGAATCAGTACCTCATATGTGACAGCCCCAGCGTAGTGATAAATCGTGAAGACGGGCATCGGGCTCTTGGGCTTGGAGTAGAAGGGGTTGCTGGCATGGTGGTAGTGGCATTTCTGAAGGAAGGTGTGGTCAGTCGCCTGGTAAACCCAAACAATTCATCAGCTTTTATTGAAGTTGAAACCATATATTTATATGTACACACATACGTTTTTTTTTCTTTGGTGCTTTGGGGGTTTTAGGTCACATATGATCTTCCTTCTGGCAGGAGGCTGCGGTCCATCAGGACCAAAATCTCAGGCTACAAGAACAGTTTTTCCCATCCGCTACCAGCCTGATCAACAAGGCCCAGAAGACCCCAATAACACTGACACCGCCTTTTTCCCTCCTCCGTTCAGAACCTAAAAGCTACACCAACGTAGCATCTCCAGACCTTTCTGCATTACATTAACGCACAGCGAACTGTGTATGAATTCCAAAAAATGTAAAAAAACAATCCACTGGACTTTGTTTCTAACTTTGAAGATGTTTCTCTTTCCATCCAGGAAGCTTTTTCAATTCAAAATGTCAGAAATAGCGTAGAGTTCCAGGCTTTATAGAATGCTCCAACAAAGCCTTGTTTTTGTTTAGAAAACATGCAAATTGAAATGGAGGAACGTGTCCATCCCTTTGGAATGGGGGTCGTTTGGTTTCTTTGTTAGTCTTTACAAAACTTTACTGGATGAGAAGCGAAATGTCTTCAAACTTGGAAACAAAGTCCACTGGATTGAACTTTTTTGGAATGACTATGACCTGGATGAATCTGAGAATCTTCACCAGCTTACTTTCTATGTAGTATATGGCTATTTACTATATATTGTATAAGTATATGTCATATGTGACATTGCATATAACTAAATATCCTGTATTCTGTGTATATATAATTTGTCTGCATCCTTGTAAGTGCAAGCCTACTTGGCAAAAAACTTGATTCTGATTCTGATTCATCCCCCCCACCACGTTAATAGACTATATTAACTAGATTATGTATGCTTAAAAAAATATTTAAAAAAATTCCACGACCCCCCTTCTTTTCTTACAACTGGACTACAGCCTGCTACTCTACCAATAGGAAAGATTGGCGGACAGCTTCTGTTCCTGAAGGCTCATTCTGGATGAATAAATCGGTCTGTGGATGTGTTCACCTGTGGGAGGCATGTCTGATCGTCTAAAATGCGGAGGATGCCGTTTGGTCTGGAGGAGATCAGATCCAGACAGGAGTGAAAGTTCTTTAGCTGCACTGGATGCCAAAGGATCTGCTCGGCGTCGTACTCCTCCTGCAAGACACATCCGAATATTTAAAAGTTGTTCAAAAAGGCTGAAAACCAGCAGGATAAACACATGGCCTTCTCCTTACGGCATGAGGCTCTGTGAACCAATCACTGGACTCAGTGATCAGTCAGTTGACGCCTTGTTACTCGAAATTCAAATAAGATCATGTCTGTTTGTGCTTCTGAACATAAATATGTGCTGTATTTTTATGCTTTATTGTTTGTTTGCTCATTGTGTGATAAACATTTGCAGGTTAATACGGTATTATTGATCGATAGAAGCCAGTTTGACCATTTTAATCAATATCTGGACTTATTCCATTAATAAAGCAAACATCAGGTTATATAAGGAATATTCAAAAAAGATTTTTGGAAAATAAATATTTAAAAAAAGCAAACTACTTTAGGTAATGGACAAAAACATTTTATAAATGGAAATAAAAACAAACTTGATTGTGTTAATGGAAATTTGAAAAAAAGACTAAATGAATATATTTTGTACTTTGTAAAGCAACAGCTTTTATAGATGTTAATTTAAAAACAACTTGGTGTTGCAAATGGAAATAAAAAAAAAAGGTTATCAAGACATGGATGTAATATTTTAAGAGTGCGGCGCCTTTTATATATATATATATATATATATATATATATATATATATATATATATATATATATATATATATATATATATATATATATATATATATATATATATGTATGTATATGTATATATGTATAGATAGATAGATAGATAGATAGATAGATAGATAGATAGATAGATAGATAGATAGATAGATAGATAGATAGATAGATAGATAGATAGATAGATAGATAGATAGATAGATAGATAGATAGATAGATAGATAGATAGATAGATAGATAGATAGATAGATAGATCGATCAGTTCTGGTGTGTTTTGGCCTTAACTTGTTCATATTTAGATCTCTTGGTTTTAAACTTCACCTACCTGCTCCTGGGAAATCAGTGTTTTGTTGAGAAAATGCTGCAGCTGCTCGTTGGCAAAGTTAATACACAGCTGCTCGAAGCTGTTCACTTCCAGGTCCTTCAAAAAGAAACAAAACCTTGAAAGTCAACTTCCATTTCCAGATTAATTATGGTATTAATGTTCCATTTTCAGATTAATACATAATGCTGCAAATATTTCCAAAGTTAGAAGATGAATATGAACCTCGAAGCCGTAAATATCCAGGACACCAACAGTGCTGTCCATCTCTGCCGGACTCAGCCAGTCATTAATTTGCTCCAACAACCAGTCGAACAGCACTGTGTACAAAGCTTTGGCAATCGCATTTCTATAGAGGAACAGAAAACATGCAGGTATACGGAGGGAAATTTGTTCCATTACTGTTCCAAACAAAGAACACTGTATGTAAATGGGAATTTCAGGAAAAAATGCAATTTAGATATAAAAATTTTTAAAAACTTCTTTAAAAAAGGCTTTGAAAGTAATTTAACTTTTTTCTCAAATTACATTTTTTCAAACAATATTTTTTCACATTTTGTTTTTTTCTATCATAGTTATTTAAATTTAGTGTTGTTCAAATTTCTATTTTTTCTTTGGAAATAAGTTTTACAAATTTCATTCTTTTAAATTCTCTTTTCCTGATCATATTCTCTTTCCTTATTTTTTTATTTATGTGGGTTTTAGACTGTGGCGGCTGGCCAGTAGAGGGCACTAGGGTGTTGCCCCACTAGCCCAATGACCTTAATTAAGAGATAAAAGATAATAATAAAAATTAAATTATTAAATTCATACTTTATCATTTTTAAATTGATATTTATAATGATATTTATATTGATATACACTACTAAAAAAAAATGAAAGGAACACTTTGTAATCAGAGTATAGCATCAAGTTAATTAAACTTCTGGGATATTGATTTGGTCAGGTAAGTAGCAGAGGGGGTTGTTAATCAGTTTCAGCTGTTTTGGTGTTAATGAAATTAACAACAGGTGCACTAGAGGGGCAACAACGAGACGACCATCAAAACAGGAATGATTTTACAGGTGGAGGCCACTGACATTTTTTCCCCTCCTCATCTTTTCTGACTCTTTTTCACCTGTTTTGCATTTGGCTAGGGTCACTGTTACTACTGTTAGCATGAGGCGCTACCTGGACCCTACAGAGGTTGCACAGGCAGTCCAACTCCTCCAGGATGGCACATCAATACGTGCCATTGCCAGAAGGTTTGCTGTGTCTCACAGCACAATCTCAAGAGCATGGAGGAAATTCCAGGAGACAGACAGTTACTCCAGGAGAGCTGGACAGGGCCGTAGAAGGTCTACAACCCATCAGCAGGACCAGTATCTGCTCCTTTGTGCAAGGAGGAGCAGGAGGAGCACTGCCAGAGCCCTACAAAATGACCTCCAGCAGGCGACTGGTGTGGTCCGTATTGATGCTCCTCTCATAAACTCAGCTATGTAACTTATGAAGGTCAAATTCGTTACTGAATGAGTCCCGTGTTTAGCTGCATGCTTTAATGCAATGCCTTTTTTCCCCCACATACTTAGTTGTGTAAGAAACATTTCTCCTCAAAGTTTTTATTGTACTTATGCACGGCTCATAAGTTTATGAGGCTCCAGGGTAAGCTGCGGGTCTGCCTAGACAGGAAAGGATTCATATTTTGTTGTTACCTTGATTCTATGGCATTTTCCACAGACAGGGGGCAGTAGATCCGATCAAAGGTGGTCTCCTGTAACACACACAAAAAAAAAAATCTCTGCAGATGCTCATCAGTGTAGATCTAATAGATTAGCGAAAAGATACCTACTGTGACTTTGTGGGTAATTACAGTTTGAAGGGCCTCAGGGGAAATCTGCAACAAGGAACCAACCCTTCTGGCCTCCGCCTCACTGAAGATACGAGCCACTTCAAATGACTCACTCTAAAACAGAAACAACAGAGGTATGATACGCATGTCTTATGTCTCCTGACTGCCTCCCTGATGGACAAGTACCTCATAGGAGCTGAAAGAGATGTTACCGAGCTGCAGGATGGAGGAGAGGATGGCCCATATGTGGGAGATTTGATCTGAATGCAGGCCAATAGTCTCCAAACAGTGAAGCAAAATGTGAAAGTCCTGTTTTTCTTGCTTCCCGTTCAAAATGCAGGCACCCCCCTACATGACAACAACAAACATTAAAACTGCTAGAAGAAAAAAATAACAGAGTTTGCATGTTACTGGTTTTATTGACTTGATTTAAGTAGTAATAGGTCTCAGCTCCCTGCAGGAAGAGCTTCTCTTTGTCCCAGTCATTCAAACCTTCCAGCAGTTCATAGAACACATGGTAGTTCCTCTCCTTACTGGCCTGGATAATAAACAGAGTCATTATTCAATTTGGAATAATAATAATGGTCCCATTTCGTTCATTTCATACATACACTGCCTGGCCAAAAAAAAAAGTCGCCACCTGGATTCAACTAAGCAAATAGGTACAAGCCTCCTATTGGATAATTACTGCATGGGCGATTTGTTGGGAGCTGGAGAAATACACCTTTTCTCCAGCAGAGTCCGCCCTGGATCCTCCCTGCTGAGCTGCTCTGCACACCTGCAGCTGATGATCTCATCTGGAGGACCTGGACTACTTAAGCTGCCTTCAGACCTTGCCTCGACGCCGCAGTGTCTTAATCAGTTGGTTAGCACTTAAGCCATAGATCCCTAGTGAACCAAGTCTCCTTTGAGTCCAACCTGGATTCTAACCCTTTTGTCTCTGCTTCCAGGTTTCCTGTTCTTTCTCCTGTGAAGCTCTGGAAGAGCTTAACCTGCCGAGCCAGCCCTCCGAGCCAAACCTGAAGACTCACTCTCTGGATTTCCTAGCAGCTCTGGATACCGAGCTGCAAACACAAGCCAAGGTCAAAACAGCCTTTAGAAGTAAGACGCTGAAACAGCTTAAGGACTCTGCCAACCCAAGCTTTCTCCGGAACCAACAGTTCCGCTCCCAAAGCCTCCTCTACGTTCATCAAGGTACAAACCTGAACACAATCAGTCAAGTCTCAACCAAGCCTTCGCTAACCAAACTGTCTTTCTCACAGACGCCAGTGAACCGGTCCCAGCCCAGAACCATTGCATCAGTCTTTATTATATGTGTGAATTTGCCAATAAACTCTGTTAAACTTTCCATCCGTGTCGTCAGTGTTCTGCATATTGGGCCTCCCTGATACCCATCATGACACGATTATCTTTCAGCTGGCAACAAGTTATTTGACCCCATTTGGTGCAATGACTTGCTTCTCATTTCGTAAACAACCATGTCGAAAAACACATCCCGTGGCCGTGGAAAAGATGTTAGTCTGTTTGAGAAGGGTCAAATCATTGGCATGCATCAGGCAGAGAAAAAATCTAAAGAGATTGCAGAAACTACTAACATTGGGTTAAGAACTGTCCAACGCATTATTAAAAACTGGAAGGATAGTGGGGACCCATCATCTTCAAGGAAGAAATGTGGCCGGAAAAAAATCCTGAATGATGGTGATCGGCGATCACTTAAGCGTGTGGTGAGATCAAATCGAAGAAAAACAACAGTAGAACTCAGGGCTATGTTTAATACTGAAAGTAAGAGCATTTCCACACGCACAATGTGAAGGGAGCTCAAGGGATTGGGACTGAACAGCTGTGTAGCCGTAAGAAAACCGCTAATCAGTGAGGCTAACCGGGAAAAAAAGGCTTCAATTTGCTAGGGGGCATAAAGATTGGACTGTGGAGCAATGGAAGAAGTTCATGTGGTCTGATGAGTCCAGATTTACCCTGTTCCAGAGTGATGGGCCAATCAGGGTAAGAAGAGAGGCAGGTGAAGTGATGCACCCACCATGCCTAGTGCCTACTGTACAAGCCTGTGGGGGCGGTGTTATGATCTGGGGTTTCTGCAGTTGCTCAGGTCTAGGTTCAGCAACAGTATGTGCTCAAAGAATGAGGTCAACTGACTACCTGAATATACTGAATGACCAGGTTATTCCATCAATGGACTTTTTTTTCCCTGATGGCACAGGCATATTCCAAGATGACAATGCCAGGATTCATCGGGCTCAAATTGTGAAAGACTGGTTCAGGGAGCATGACTCATCATTTTCACACATGGATTGGCCACCACAGAGTCCAGACCTCAACCCCATTGAGAATCTTTGGGATGTGCTAGAGAGGGCTTTGCACAGCGGTCAGACTCTACCATCATCAATGCAAGATCTTGGTGAAAAATGAATGCAACGCTGGATGGAAATAAAAATTTTGACATTGCAGAAGCTTATCGAAACAAAGCCACAGCGAATGCACGCCATAATCAAAGCTAAAGGCGGTCCAACAAAGTATTAGAGTGAATGACCTTTTTTGTGGTGGCAACTTTGTTTTTTGGCCAGGCAGTGTATAATTTACAACTAAAAGATTGAAGAGAATCTTTCTTGACATTGACAATGCTCGCGCCTCATTAACCATAATTGACAGGTTAACAAACCCTCCTATCTCTGTGGCTGATAAACTAAAAAAGCTTGCAATGACTTTGCAAAGTTCTTTACAGAGAAAATACAAGGTGTAAAAAAGCAGTCTGTTCAACTCCAGCAGCAATGCTGTCACCAGTTAGAATAAACTCTTTCAAAATGTCCCAATTTTGTCCAATAAACTGTAAAAGTTTAGAAGAAACTGTTCAGCAGCTAAGCTCCTCTTCCTGCTGTCTTGATGTTTTACCCACAAGTTTTATTAAGAAGGTTTTACCTGTTTTAGAGTCGAATTTGTTTCAAATCATAAACTCATCCCTCATGTCAGGTGTTTTCCCCAGAGTCTTAAAAACAGCAATAATCAAAGCATTGATGAAAAACAGAAGCTGGGATAAATGAATCCTGCAAATTACAGGCCCATCTCAAAGCTCCCCTTCATCAGTAAGATTATTGAAAAATTTGTCTCAACAGTTCAATGCCTTCTTATCAATGACCAGCTGGTTTTTTGTCTGCCAGTCAGGTTTCCATAGCAACCACAATGCAGAGACTTCCCTGATTAAGCTATTCAATGATATCCGAAAAAACTCAGACCCTGGAAGAACCAAAGTGCTGGTATTATTCAACTCAGCGCAGCGTTTGATTCTGTTGATCACTTGATTTCATTAGAGTGTCTGGAAAACTAGGTCTGCCTTCTGGTTCAGCACTGGACTGGGTTAAATCCTACCTGAAGGACAGAGACTCACAAGTGTCAGTAGGGAACTTTAAATCAGAGACCCAAAAAAAAAAATCACATGTGGGGTTCCTCAAGGCTGCATTCATGGGCCTCTCCTGTTCAACAACTACATGCTCCCCTTGGCTCAGATTATAGCAAAAAAACAGATTAGTTACCATAACTACGCACACAACTTTACATCCCAATGTCACTAGGTGACTATAAACCCATCAGAGCGTTGTTTAGATGTTAGAACAGATCAATCTGTGGATGCCTCATCATTTTCTACAACTGAATAAAAACCAAACTAAGGTTATAATCCTTGGACCACAGGAGAAGAGAGTTAGCTCTCAGCTTCATCTACTGCAGCCAGAAACCACTGATTTTGGCTGAAATCTTGGTGCCCTGATGGAATCAGACCTGAATCTTCAGAGACTCATAAATGCAGTTACTAAGTCAGCCTTTTATCACCTGAAGAACATATCCAGGATTAAAGGACTAATGTCCAAAAAGGATCTAGAAAAACGCATTCATCCAATTATCTTTAATAGAATTGATCACTGCAGCAGTGTCTTCATAGGTTTCCCTTAAAAGTCCATCAGACAGCTGCAGCTGATCCAAAACGCTGCTGCCTGCGTTCTCACTAGCCTTAAGAAAGTAGAGCACATCAGCCCAGTTCTGAAGTCCTTTCACTGGCTTCCTGTAGCTCAGAGAATAGATTATAAAATCCTTCTGTTAGTCTAGAAATCACTCAATAGATCAGCACCTCAATCCATAACAGACCTTGGCTCAACTTCTCAGACCACTCTGGGAGGGTTTTCTAGTTCCAGCCTTCTCTGTCCACCCAGAACTAGAACCAAACATGGAGAAGCAGCATCTATGCTCCATTGATCTGGAACAAACTCGCAGAAGACTGGAAAAGAGCTGAAAGTTCTTAGAAGTCAAAGTTAAAACCCATTAGTTTAGAGCCTTTGACTGATGGAGTTAAACTGTTAACTGGTTTATTATTAGTTTAAGGATGTGATTCAACTGTTTCATTTGTTTTACTACCTTCTGTTATTCTTCTTCATTTTTCCCTCCATTTTATTCTTAGATTCTTATCAAACACTTATGATTGTCTTTGTACTGAATTGTGAATTTGTACAAAAAAATCTTGCCTTTTTCAGTTGATGAATGTCTTTTACTGATGTTCTTTGTAATCCACATGAATTAGGAGATTTGATGATTAATAGGTTTAACAGACAGTGGACATCTAGAATATACATGCTGTCTCTGTTTTCTTTTAGATTATAAAACCTCTTTTCTTGCCTTTTAAAGGTTGTTTTAACAGAAACTGGGCGTTCAACAAACATACCTGAAAGACAACCCTGGACTTCTCCAGGAGATATTTGGACAGTGAGGTTCCTACAACAGCTCCACTGTCAGCAGTAAGGCCCGACGAAAGAAAAGCTGCAATCAGTTTCACCGTCCATGGAAAGAGATCATGGAGAGGTCTTCCTGAACCGACCAATCACTGCTGGACTTACCTTAGTATGTGGATGTGAAGGTACTTGCCAAAGCGACTTGAGTTGTTGTTCAGAATAGTCTTGGCATTCCCGAAACTTTCAAGGATGGGAAAGACTTCCATAGGCTAATAAAAAAAAGAAACACAATCTGAATAAAATCTAATTAATATTTAATTTGTTTTTTTTTTTTCACTTTTTTATTACCTGTCTTAGACTCTCGTTTCTGTTTCGATACATCAAGCTGAGGTAGTGAACTATTTGCTTGGTAGCTTCAGTCTTCCCAGAACCACTTTGTCCGCTACATCACAAAATATTAAAAACATAAAGGACACAGTTTCCATAAATTAATAGGAAACTTTTAAAATCTTAAACAAATTAAGTATGGACCCCTCGGCATCGAGGGGTCCATGCTAGTATCGGGCGTTCTGGCATTGGAGCATCCGAGCATAGCTCAGTAAATTTAGCTTTTGGCGCTGGACGCCAGAGCATCAACCAATCAGAGAAGCTTTTTGGGCGAGACAAACACTACCTGCAAGCTGTCATCGCTTCTGTACACATTCTGCATATGAAAAATATGGAGTTAAACTCCAAAGGTTATAAAAAATGCAGGAAGAATGGATTGTTATGTAGTAGGAACAGAGAGCAGCTTCGATCATTATTGCTGCACTAAAACATTTTTTATAAATTATAGAGAAACAGTTTATAAATACCCAAACTAACTAGAAATATTAAAACCTGCTGATGAAAAATTTTGGATTGCATATTCTGGTTCTTGCAGTTTTTACCACAAATTTTAAAAACTCTTTCTATTCACTTCCAGACGCTACGAACGGGGCAGGAGGAAATCCATTTATCCCTTTAGTTTTGAAGAAAAATACGCTTTAAACTACCTCATGGGTGTGTATACCTTCAGTCATGTACAAAAAAACTTTTTAATTACTTACCTTTTGATGTTTTTTGAAGCATATGGAGACCTGACCTTAAATAATTTTTTCATAAAAAACTAAAGGGATAAGCGGGACTAGTATACACGTATGCAAATCTGACGTCTTGAGCATGCGTATTGACTGTGGGTATGCTGGTCTGACAGAACACCGGCGGTATACTGGAGGTCTGGCGCTCCCAACAAGAACTGCTTATTTTAGTGCAATCATACTGATGAACTGATGAACAGAGGATGTCTGGAGTTGGACTTTCTCACTTAAAAATGTGTTAAAACAATTTTTCCAACTCATAAAGTCAATAAAGCCAAGCTGATCTCTAGCTTGAAGCTACAGAACAGAGCAGATAAACAACCAGAGCATCAAAGCGTCAAAGCTTCTTGACCACAGTTTGATCCAGCATCCAGATTTCTGCATTTGCACATTTCTGAAAGCAGTATAACGATAGAGCAAGAAATAAATTGGAATGAGTTCCAGGACCAATTAATAGATAGATGGAAGCTGAATCTGCCATCTTCTCCTTCAACCCGTTCCAAAAAGGTTCAACAAGCACAGCCATCAGGATTCAAAAGGCCAAACACAAAACCCGTTCAAAACCAAAGACTCCACCAACCTAGGAGGACGACAGGTGGGTCTTTGACTTGCATTTGTGTTGGGATGTGTTCAGGAGGAAGTGCCTCCATGTTGCCTAGAACATCAGCGCTCCAACTACAGCTTGCTCTGCTGTGCGTCGATGGAAGGACTCCAGGTTGGTGTCAAAAAGTTTTCAGACAAACTGAGCGTATGTCCCATTGCCTCCGATTTAAGCCTGTTTAGTGGTTGCCACGACCAGCATCCCCGAGACTTTACAGTCTTTCAGGTTATGTTGTGTTATTGCGTTCATATTATGTTTTGTTTAGAAAAAAGGATCTGATAAATCTATGAAAATGCATCATTCTCTACATCCCTAAATATTTTCCTAAGCATTAATTAATAAAAAGCAGGTCTTAGAAGCTATCATACTTCTCCTCTCTATGGGTGTTATGTGTTTCGGGCACATTATTATTTCTTTTGTTTATTTCTTTCCCTTGTTGTTTTTTTTTACTTTAGTTGAAGGACCCTTTGTTAAAAATTTGGAGTTTGGATTATTTTTTTTTATATTTAATTCCGTTAATTTGGGGCATTGTGGCCCGCCTATAAATAGGCCGGCGTTCAGAATGTACGAGGCCGCCCCACCCTCTCCTGCTGAGACGCCGCATTTCCTCTCGCTCCTGGGTTCGACCAGTGGTTGCGGGCTGAAACTGAGATTCAAGGCTGCCATGTGGTAATTTTTTTTTTGTTTGCCGATTTTGGCCTGGTGGGATCTTTTCTTTAATGTAGGTTGTTTTTTTTCCCTTTTCTTGTTTTGCTTAGTCGGGCTTCAGCAGAGGCTTTGACGGCCCTGTATAGGGTTGGCCCCTTTGCTGTGCCGTTTTGTTCTTTTTGTTAGTACTTTTCAGAGGGGTTTTTTTTTTTCTTTCTTCAGTTCTTTTTTTTTATGGGGCACGGGATTTGAGGGCCAACTGAACTATCTTTTTTCCCTCTTAGGAAAGATCAGAAAAAGTGAAGAAGTTGAAAATAAAAACTGATTGAACCCTCATCTTCTTTTGTCTCGTGTCCTTAAATATGTTGTGTCTTGTGCGGACGTAACAATGGGCCGCTGTCACACCTTGCCGATTTATCCAGAGTATGCCTGACGTCCCAGAATCGCTGGCATACACTGAACTTTCTATGTATTTTTTTCAATTTTGGACGTATACATAGTGTTCATAACGAGTCCAGAACTTCTGTCCAACGACAGCCGAACTTCTGTATAACGCACGGCAGCGTAATGCCCATGAAGTGATGCACAATCCAGTGCAAGGAAATGATTCTTATTTCAACTGTTGAGTATATTAGCTGCGACATATGAATCAAGATGCTATGATCGAAAAAATTTGATTGACAGATGACCGTTGATATATGATTGGCCGAATTTAGGTGTTCAGGCTGACGTATAACTAACTGGCCTGCAGAAGATAACGAAAAAAAACAGATTTCAAAACTGGATATTTTTTTTAATCGAAATTTTGTAATTTTTGGGACAATATGGTCTGATAAAGAGTACATTTATATACACGTTTAACTCAAAATGATTGGACATTTAAATATGATTTCTCCACGACTTTAAATTGTCAAGGTGTGACAGGGGATTAAGTTGAACTTACAAAATAAAAATATAATTGATCATAAAAGTAAGCAAAATGTGAGTAAAATACAAGTTGAAAGGCAGTACTGAAAATAGTAAAAATGTGTTTATGATAGTACCTTACAATGATGCACTGCTCCTGTGCAGAGGACTGGGACAGTCGGAAGGCTGAGTCAGCTATGGCGTACACATGGCTAAGGCACAGAAACATAATGTCTGAATCAGCAGTAACTAAAGAAAACAAGTTAATATGTTATTTATAAAAACAGAGATATTAAATGTGTTAAACAAAAATTAGAGAGACTTACGGTGGGTTTTTATGCAGCTCCTGCCCCTCATATTTATGCCTCATTTCCTCAGAGAAGATGTCAAGAGACTTGAATGGGTTGATGGACAGTAGGATGTTTCCAATGTAGGTCTGGGATAAAATTAAAAGTTTGCTTATTAACACCGACCTAACACAGATATTATCTGCTTTACTTGGTAAACGTTACCTCTCCTAGAATATAAAAGCATGAAGAAGATCCATTTCTTTTTTCATTTTATGTTTTAAATAGGAATGAAACAATTGATCTGACTAATCTTGATTAATTGATTATTGAAATAATCATCAACTAATTTAGTAATTGATTAATCATTAACATTACATTACATTAATAGACACTGTAAAACATGTCTTTAGCTGACAGAGCAACCCACTTAGAGCAGCAATTACATCAAATTTGTAAGGAAAATATATAAACAGTTTGCATTTAAGATAAAAACAAAGAATTTTGTCTGTTTTTCTGCTCTATCAAGAACTCCTTAGGTGGTGAGTTTCACCTCGTTTAATTTAATATAAAATCTTCTTTAAGGAACCTTTGGCTATCCGATTATTAATCGTTTTATGGGAAAAATAATCAACAGATTAATCGATTTGCAAGATAATCGTTAGTTGCAGCCCTAGTTTTAAATAACTACTCATTCTGTATGTCTGTTCACTTTCTTTGTCAGTTTCTATGTTGAAAGCTAAAATGACCTGTGATGACCTTTGTTTTCCCCCTACTTGAAAATTCTCTGACAGCAGCTATACTGCTTTGGGAGAAACATCCTGAAAGAGTGCAGCTTAGAAACAGCTTAAAAGAATCAGAGCGATTAATTTGTTCCACCAACTTTGGTGTGGGTATGCTGGTCAGACATATTGACACTACTTTTTATTAAACAGCATCATTCTAACAGCATTATTTAAATGTGCCTTTCAAGGCAAAGGTGACGGCTGCCAGTTTATCTCCTCCCGGCCAGTAAGTGGCGCACTCGCACCAGTTGTGCCAGTTGCCAGTCCTGCTGATGCAAACCAAACCAAATATTTAACCTTGTTGGAAACTTGCTACTTTAGATCATCAACAAGGCTCAAAAACTTGACGGACATTCAAACCTGAGCTCCGTCTCATGTGACCCAAACTTACTGTTCCTATTGGAGCAGAATCCTTTAATAAAGACATTGGCACCGTAAACTAAAAGTAAATATTTACATTATTTTGGATGTGCCAGATTTTCTTAAACATTTTTTCTCTTTGGTAAAAGGTATACTTTTATTCTGCACCACTCTCGATGTTTTGTGAACCTATTATTTCTGCAAAATTAATCGTTTTGATTTATCAAAATTAATTGTTTTGATAAAAAGTTGTAGATTGATCTTCCAACAAATTTTAAGCATCCAAAAAGGAAAAAGAATTTGAATTAGAAGCTAGTTTCGATCACTAAAAGCAAAATCTGATGTTTCAAATGACTTTTAATTTGTTATTTTCAATCATTAAGATAATACTGAAACGTACATAAATACACCCACGGTCAAACCTCTTCTTCAGATTCAATAGGACAGAGCTCTCAGACACGTCTCTAAAAACATGAAATATAAAAGTTTCATTTAGAGTGCCATGTTGATATAAAGCAAGTTTGTTCTGATGTATGAACTTACTCCAGGCGTGAAAGATCCTCCACCTCATCCAGCTCTACTGGCCCTTCATTCCCAGGCATTACAACCTAAAGTTGACAAAGTTATAGTTTATATCATTACCTGATACACCAATCTACAGCAACTCTAAGTTCTGATGAAGTTCCTCTAGAAACCTTTATTCTGAACATCAAGGGGAAATATCATTCCTATTCCTTCTAATAAATCAATCAATCAATACATCCATCTATCTATAATGTAATTTTTACTTCGACTGTAGAGACCAAGAATGTCATTGCTATCTCTACGATTCAGGACATTCACTCACACACCCATCGACTTACAGTAGCAGCCATTAAAACTCTGACTCCGCCCTTTAACTCTATTACAGGGTCTGACCAGGAGATGGTGCTTCTCTTTAGATCTTAATGTCCACAAGGACCAGCCAAGGGCCAGCCATGGACCAGCCAAGGGCCAGCCAGGGTCCAGCCATGGACCAGCCAAGGGCCAGCCATGGTCCAGCCATGGACCAGCCAAGGGCCAGCCATGGTCCAGCCATGGACCAGCCAAGGACCAGCCAGGGTCCAGCCAAGGGCCAGCCATGGACCAGCCAAGGACCAGCCAGGGTCCAGCCATGGACCAGCCAAGGACCAGCCAAGGACCAGCCAGGGTCCAGCCAAGGGCCAGCCATGGACCAGCCAAGGGCCAGCCAAGAACCAGCCATGGACCAGCCAAGGGCCAGCTGAGGGCCAGCCAGGGTCCAGTCATGGACCAGCCATGGACCAGCCAAGGGCCAGCCAAGGTCCAGTCATGGACCAGCCATGGACCAGCCAAGGGCCAGCCAAGGTCCAGTCATGGACCAGCCATGGACCAGCCAAGGGCCAGCTAAGGGCCAGCCAGGGTCCAGTCATGGACCAGCCATGGACCAGCCAAGGGCCAGCCAAGGTCCAGTCATGGACCAGCCATGGACCAGCCAAGGGCCAGCCAAGGTCCAGTCATGGACCAGCCATGGACCAGCCAAGGGCCAGCTAAGGGCCAGCCAGGGTCCAGCCATGGACCAGCCATGGACCAGCCAAGGGCCAGCTGAGGGCCAGCCAGGGTCCAGTCATGGACCAGCCAAGGTCCAGTCATGGACCAGCCATGGACCAGCCAAGGGCCAGCCAGGGTCCAGCCAAGGGACAGCCATGGACCAGCCAAGGGCCAGCTAAGGGCCAGCCAAGAACCAGCCAATGGCCAGCCATGGACCAGCCAAGGGCCAGTCAGGGTCCAGCCAAGGGCCAGCCATGGACCAGCCAAGGGCCAGCTAAGGGCCAGCCAAGAAGCAGCCAAGGGCCAGCCACGGACCAGCCAAAAACCAGCCAAGGAAAGTGGGGACATTTTGAATGGCTACTAATGTAGCAGTAACAGTGTTAAGTTGATGAGCCAAACTTTTGACACTTATTTTTTAATTATTATTTATCATTTCTACTGGGCGGGGCTAACTAGCTTAGCCACAATAGGCTAATTCTTCATTTAACGAAGAACAATCTGTCCTGAAACCACAATCCGTCCTGCACATGCGCGAACAGAATAATAAGATCTTGATCGCTGAAAAACTGCGTACTAACAGTACTAAAAAGAAACACTTATTTATATACTTAAAACATCAAAGAATGTTAAACTACATTGTATAGAAAATCTTTAACACTTTTCTGGAAGAAATTGATACGTTTAACATTCTCTCCATTATATTGCGTGATGTCATAATCAGACATGCTCAGAGTAGTCACAGTAACGTTCAAAAAGCTATTTAAGTGTATCGCTTTTTATTGTTTTTAGAATATGCAATACACAAATACAAATATATTCAAAAGGAACCCCCTGCCAGAAAAAGACAAAAAAATTAAAAAGTAAGAAAAATTGAGTATTGCCAACACCGGAAGTTATTCTGTTCGCGCATGCACAGGATGGATCGTGCTTTCAGAACGCATCGATATTGACAACCCTCTCTGCACATCTACAGTCATACCTAAGTTGTTATTGTAAATATACACAGAAAGTCTTTATTTACCAACAAACTGAGCAAAAACAAAGAGTAAAACACAAAAGTAAGAAATAAGATGGCAGCAGAGTGTGGTAATCTTCCAGAAAAACTTTGCATGCAAATAGAGTGACCTACTGGATTTAGATATAAGAAATGTCAAATAACATAACTATGCACCTTTAAAGGTATCAGAAAGAAATCATAGGGAAATTTATAAGGGGTCAGTGATTTGGGAATGGCAATGATAGACATTAAGCCCTGGACTACACAAACACTGGAGAGGTTCAAATTGATTTGCTCTGTTCTTATCAACATATCAACGTTTCATTTTTTATCTTCAGTGGGAATATGATTATGTTGAAAATGTGTGATTCTATATTCTCATGTAAAACAGCTGTAAAAGGTAATAGAATAGGTGATGAAACCTAAGAAAACTCTTTAAAATTGTTTTTTTTTTCTTTAAATATTTTGTAACATTGTCTTTTAGTTTCCTGACCAGAATCTGGCACTATCTCAGGGGACATGACATTTAAAAGTTTGCGAACCCCTGTTCTAGCACATTCTGTACTCCAGTGACATGCACAGACTTTATATAGGATGGGGGCGGAAAAAAAAACAGGGCACATGTAGTGCATGTTTGTCACTATAATGGGCACATTAGCATTCGTCCTGGCTCCTGAGAGGGCACTTTAACACATGCTTTGGAACTTGGGAGGCACTTAAGCACATCTTTTGGCTCTCAAGGGGGGTACTTTAGCAATAATTTTGGTTTCCAAGGGGGCACAGTTAGTGCACCTTTTGACTACCAAGGGGGGTCTTTGGGAAGCGCTTTGGCTCCTATGAGGACACTTTAGGGGAGTGTTAGCATAGTGGGTTAGAGTAGTGCGCTTGTGCTCTGAAAAGGTTGCAAGTACCCGGTTCGATCCACACAGCCTCTACTCTGTGTCTCTGAGCAACACCCTTAACCCCACACTGCTCCTCAAGGTTAAATACAGTGTGAGATCAATAAAGTTCAATTATTTGAGCGGCTGGCTAGCTCAAGTGGTAAATCACTTTAGAAACAGGAGGCAAAGCTGGTGGGAAAGAGCTGCCTGTGTGGGTCCTTAGGCAACACCCTTCATGCCACGGAGTGTCGGCCTAGTGGTTAGGGCATTGCACTTGAATCCTGAGGTTCTGAGTTTGAGCCCCACTCCCACAGGCTGCCATACGAACCCCCAGGAACCACACAATGGCAGCCCACTGCTCCCTAAGAGGGTGGGTTAAATGCAGAGAGTTAATTTTGTTGCTCTGTACTTGTGACAGTGGAATGACAAGAAAATGCTGGAAAAACTTCAGCAAGCATTGTGTCTCCCAAGAGGGAACTTCAGTGCTGTCAAGGGGGAACTTCAGCATGCACTTTGGCTCCTAACCTTTGCATATGTTTTGGTTCTCAAGGGGGCACTTACGCTTTTGTTCCCCCAACAACTGAGCCATGAGTAGGGGCAACTGCTCCCAACCGCTGTACACAAGACATTACACAACACCCCTTCTTCAAACAATAAGTTATATAGAAAGGATGCAAAGACATGCAAACAATACTTGTGTGCTATTTAGCCGAGTCTCAAGCATCTTTTGAGTTGGATCCTTTGATTCCCAGGGTCCCCTGGTACTGTGAGTGATGGCGTGGCTGTCATCGTAGACCGTCCATCTTGTTAGCTTTTCTACTGTCTGATGGGGAAGCAAATTCTCTGCCCGAAGCCAGGTCTGCAGCTCCAAAAGAATTTATTAAGGCTATCTGTTTTTGTAGCATCAAGTAATCAGAACAAATAATTACATATTTAAATAAACAGATACATACCTGAGGGTCTCCAGTCATCTGGTAGTTTCCCGTCCAATGAAACTCTGGTTGAGTGATGGTAGTCAAACCATTGCCACCCATCAACAGGGCTACTTCCCTGTCTGCTTCTTCTTCATACAATCCAGGAACGCCTGATACTGCTAAGCTTGTGTCTTCATTTGCAAAGCTTTGAGATATCTGTGTCTGTTTTGCTACCTCTGCTTCCACACGTACACCCTTTGGTCTTCCTAGCCCGGTGCCTAGCAATCCCACCGGCATTTTGATCTGGGAGGGTTTTAGGTTTTCTCTTGCAGCTTGCAGCACACTGACTCCATCTTGGTGTTTTGATCTGGTTCCACTGGTACCTCTGTTTTTTGTGGAGTCGTCATGGAATGTCCTTACACTCTGGTCTACATCTTCATCTGATCGTAACTTTTCCAGCAATGGGTTTCTTCCAGACTTCAGGAGACTCAGGTCTGGTTTGGAAGGAAGTACAAGTTTAGCTCCTGGTTTTGGAGGTCTAGCCTTGGGTGTGGAGTCTCCTGCTGGTGAATCTGATGCATAAGAAACAGGCTGTTGTGCCTCGGTTGTCTTTGCCTTTGCTAGTTTCTTCACTCTAGGAAGTACAACCGCGTATTTAGCATCAAGTTCTTTGTTACTGTCCGTTAACGTGTCTTCTGTTGCCTCCTCATCCTGGGGATTTGCTGTGTCTTTTTGATCTAATAAACTTTGCTTTTGTTTCCGAGCTAAACTCGTTTTACAAGCAACCCTCATCGTCATCCTGTGGCTGACAACATGGCCTCCAGATCTCCTGCTACTCTGTTTTTGTTTAATAGTTCGAAGCCAGTGGGTTATACCAACTGCTTTAGTCAGAGAAGAAATCCTCTTCCTGAAGTTTGGTTTTTGTGTCATTTTCTTTTGAATCCAGTCATTCATCCTGAAAAAAGGGGACGCTCTTTTTTTCGGGTGTATCAATCGTAATCCTTCGCTTGCGTCAATCTCTGAGGTTCCTCCATCAGGATTAGCTACTGCCTGTCCGAGTGATGGCAGTTTGGTTTTACCAAAAAGCAACCTCTGCGCCCTACCTTTGACAAGTTTTTCATCATCCTGCTGCTCCGGAGTGGCTATGTTGTCTTTGTTCTTAGCTTCATCGGGTAATACTTGACTTTGTTCTTCAAAACATTTTTTCGTCTTTGGTTTAACGTTCTCTTGTTCTTGATCTGAGTCATTTTCTACAGAAGGGTCTGTCTCGTTGACTGACGGTGTTGGTTCCTCATCACTTGGGGCATCTGGGGTACTGATGGAAATGTCCTGCAAAGGTTTGACTTCCTCTTTTAAGAAACGAGTCTTACTTTTTTTGACATTCTTGGTTCTTTTTTCTTTCTTTGCCTTTTGTTTGGTTTCTTTCTCAACTTTCTGTTTAGGTTCTTTTCTCCTTCGGTTTTGAACCCTTTCAACCTCCTTATTTGCCTTTGCTTTTTTAAACATTTTGAATTTTGCCTCATTAGGAGGTTTAGGTAGAGGATAACAAAAGTCTAGTTTTAGCTCCACTTAAGTCACATCATTGATTGCCTGACCCTCCTTCCTTGTTTTGTTTTTTCGTAATAGTTGAAAAGACAGATCTATTTCTGACTAGGTTTGCTCCCCCTTTGTCTCATTCAGCTACACTTTGAGTGTCCAGTCTCTCAGTCCTCTCTTGATTCTCTTCAGTTGCTGCTCAATCCTCATTATTCGGGTGTTCCTCAATTACTTTCAAGCCAATGTATTGCAATGTGTGCAATGCCTTCAATGGAGGTTTGCAATTGTTTTTAATCCCCCTTTCATATAGACATAATGATCTAAGGTTCAAACTCTTTTTCTCATAGTTGTTAGTTTCTTTTTTCCCATTTAGATTTGTTGCTCTCACTCTTTGCCACTCTTCCCAGTTTAAAAGTTGGTGAATACCAGCTTCTTCTTTGGGGGTTTTCTGAAAAGCCCCCGTTCTGCTTTATAGCTCGTCTTCAATCTTGAGTTCTCATAATTGGTGGCAAAGCTTTTATTCAGTAGTTAAGCTATCTAGAGAGATGAAAATAAAAATAAACTACAATTAAAACATGAAGTTTCTATTTAAAAAAGAAGACCTTAGAATCTTTGAAAATAAATCAATATTAGAATAACCTTAGAAAAGTTAGTGAAATGCAACAGTTAGAGTTAAACCAAGTCCTTCAGTTTCACTTTTATTGTTGAAAAACATTTGACTACATTTTCTGTTATAACCTCAACTTAGATGCTGTGATACATCTGCCTAAAGAAAAACTCAAAACAAAACGAACATTTTCAAAAAGATGATTAATCTATGCATAAAGTTAAATGTCAGGAAAAGAAAAATAAATAAATCGTATTAATTAATTGCTCCTACATTACAGTAAAAATGTTTTCTGATTGGTTAAATGCTTCTCTGGCCGAGGAACTCGCTTTAGATTAATAGAGCTTACCAAGGTGAAATCCAACAGAAGCTTGGAGGCAGCAAAGCACTCCGGCTTTCCTTCAAATCTACTGTGAAAATATCCAATATGCAGCAACTTTTAGTGAAGCTTAGGCGCTTCAATATTTCACTCATAGAGTCAGCAAAAGCCGATGTTTGCATAGGAAAACCTGTGAGCTGCTTTGCACTGAAGCAAACAAAGTGGCTTCTAAATTATTAAACTCCATCAGCCCGGCCCCCCGCTGTTCATATAACCAGCTGCTGAATGCTTGAGGAAAGGCGAGAGGTGCTGTTGTAGAAAACAACAATATGTGATGAAAGAGAAGACACAAAGACAAAGACACTGCCGACAGAATGAGCACCAATTATCCTCAGTACCTGACCTCTTTATAACACATCAACCACCTAACCCTGACCGTATGAATTATTAAACCTTCCGTAAACTTGTGGGGAGTTTTGCCTAAAATTTTTCCTAAAGTTACATTTAAAAGTGTATGGGGTAAGATAACAGATGATAGAAACGTTTGCATAGGTGTTTAAATTTGTAAATATTAGTTAGTGTTGTAATCAAGACCTCACCAACGACCAGGAGTACCAAGACAGGTCAAAATCTAGACAAGGCCAAGACCTTTAGGGGTCAAGACCAAGAAATTAAGTGGTCTCGGTTCTGCTTGGTCTTGGTTGGTGTGTTCTTCACCACAACAATAATTTAAGACAATAAATGTAATCAAATTAAATATTTGCAGTTGTTTCTTATTAATACAAGTTCAAAAGTTCAAACTCTGCAGAAATTCAAGAATGATTTACGATTTATGAGTAAAAACAACAAGTTTACGTGTAAAAATCTACAACCCAGATAAGGTAGTTTTAATACTTATCAGTTTGAGGTAGTAACAGTCTTAAAAGCAGCTCACCAACCATCAGTATATAAAACAAGAGAAAGAAGATGGGAAAAAAATTGATCATGTTTAAATCTTAGCTGAAATTGGTTTTTTATGGTACATGCAATATAATGTTCAATCAACGGTTCAGTTTTCATCTTTTCCCTTTTAATATACAGATTCATATATAAAAGGTGTGCAGAGTTATAACGTGTAATTTATAACTTTTATTTATAACATCTAAACTTGTATTGTAACAGATGAAATGTCTGATATTGTATTAGTTGTGAAGGACTGTTTTTTAAATTACTTATGACTTACAACATAGCCCCTTTGAAAAAGAAAAACGTTAAAAATAGAAAGCTGGCTCCTTGGTTTAATGCAGATCTGTGCATTCTGAAGTAAAATGCCAGAAAACTGGAGAGAAAATGGTGCTCTACATGCCTATTGGAATCCTACCTACCCTGGAAAAGTAGTTGCCAAACAAGTGTGCAATCACTTCCACCATAATGAACTTTTTGAAGAGTTTCAGTCTGGCTTTAGAGCTCATCATAGCACTGAAACAGCTCTGGTGAAAGTCACTAATGATATTCTCATGGCCTCAGATAATGGACTTGTATCTGTGCTCGTCCTGTTGGATCTCAGTGCTGCATTTGATACAGTTGATCATAATATTCTTTTAGAAAGACTTGAATATTTTGTTGGAATTAAAGGAACAGCACTAGACTGGTTTAAATCTTATTTATCTGATCAATTTCAGTTTGTTCACGTTAATGATAGATCTTCAACACGCTCAAAGGTTACCTGTGGAGTACCACAGGGATCAGTGCTGGGACCAATTCTCTTTACTTTATAATTGCTCCCAATCGGTAGAGTTAATAGACAGCATGGGATTCATTTCCACTGTTATGCTGATGATACCCAGCTATATCTGTCTATAAATCCAGATGAAGCTAACCCATTACATAGATTACAGGCATGTATTGAAGACATAAAAACCTGGATGACTCTTAACTTTCTGCTTCTGAATGCAGACAAAACAGAAGTTATAGTCTTTGAAAAATAAGCTGATTAGTCAGTCACTTCATTTGGATGGGATTAAACTGATTTCAGATAATAAATTAAAAAATCTTGGTGTTGTTTTTGATCAGGACCTGTCATTTAAATCCCATATCAAAGAGGTTTCTAGAATTTCCTTCTTTCATCTGAGGAATATTGCAAAAATTAGAAATCTCCTGTCCAGGGGTGATGCTGAGAAACTAGTCCATGCATTTGTTACTTCAAGGCTGGACTATTGTAATTCTTTACTATCAGGAAGTCCACAAACTGTAGTTAAAAGCCTTCAGCTGATCCAAAATGCTGCAGCCAGAGTTCTGATGAAAATTAAAAAGAGAGATCATATCTCTCCTATCCTGGCTTCTCTTCATTGGCTTCCTGTTAAATCCAGAATAGAATTTAAAATCCTCCTTCTCACATATAAAGCCTTAAATGGCCAAGCTCCATCTTATATCAGAGATCTGATTGTTCCTTATGTTCCTAACAGAGCACTTCGCTCTCAATCTGCAGGTTTACTAGTGGTTCCTAGAATTTCTAAAAGTAGAATGGGAGGCAGATCTTTTAGTTATCAGGCTCCTCTCCTGTGGAACCAACTACCAGTTTTAGTCCGTGAGGCAGACACCCTGTCTACTTTTAAGGCTAGGCTTAAAACTTTCCTTTTTGATAAAGCTTATAGTTAGAGTGGCTCAGGTTATCCTGAGCTATCTCTATAGTTACGCTGCTATAGGCTTAGACTGCTGGAGGACATGAGGACCCCTTTTCATCATTCTGCTTCATTCTATCTCTATTCTCCCACTCTGCAGAATCTATTAGTTCAATCTCTAACGTTCTGCTCTCTCTGCTTTTTCTCATAGTAGCTTCATCTGGTCTGTTCCTGTTTGGCTGTGACTCCATCCTGGAGAGAAATATCAGCTGTGCTGCTGCCATGAACACCTTTGTTTATAGATGTTGGAGCTGTGCCTGTTTTCCAGTGTACTCCTGTTTCTCTGACTGTGACTAACTGGATGTGCTCTCTTCATCCTCTGACATGGGAGCTGGCTCAGAGCTTGTCTGCCTGGCTGTGTGTTTCCTGGATGGGGCCGCCTGTGGAGCTGGTTGACAGTTGCCTTTTGTATCTATGCTTCTTTTTCTATGTCTGCTTCTGTCTCCTTGAACCCCAGTCGGCCTCAGCAGATGGCCGCTCACACTGAGCCTGGTTCTGCTGGAGGTTTCTTCCTGTTAAAAGGGAGTTTTTCCTCTCCACTGTCGCTACAAGCATGCTTAGTGTGAGGGATAACTGAAGAGTCAATGAGTCGATTCATTCAGCTGGTTTTCCTTAGAAAACTTTGAATCAATTTGATGTTGTGAAGTTGATAATGAATGATCTGGTTGAATTGCAAAGTGCCTTGAGATGATGTGTTGTGAATTGAATTTATAAATTCAGACAACTATGCATATATTTTTATTGACTTTAATCTAATCCCATATAGTAGTGTTTACTTATTCTTATGGGAACATACGAGGGATTTTTCCCAGAAGTTTATACAAAGGTTTGATATGTAGATAACATTCAGTAATGGTTACTAGAAGGGAACATTTTAAATCAAATGCTTAATAAGATTAATCAGGAACAAATGGTTTTGTTTTTCCTTAATTTAACAGATAGCTAAGTTAATGTAAACAGATTGAAATATGTAGCCTATCAGCAGGCCTCATCACACATACTCCAGAGTAAAAGTTTAAAAACTGATCACAGGTCAGTGTTTGACGGTAACAATGAGCAGAAACTCAAATCTGAGCTGATTTAGGTATGGATAAGGTAGAATAAAGTTAAACTGCTGGAAAATGTTTGATGTCAATGTTTTTTAATTCTAATGAGCACATTTTCAAGGCATATTTATTGCAGATTCCCAAATATCTGGTTAGAATGAAAGAGCATTGTTGCTAATAGATTCTGTTTTTGCTCTATGAAAGCGACAAACTACAAAAAAAAAAAAAAAAAAAAAAACAGATTGAAAACTTTCAAATTTGAGAATGTCTTTTTTTTGGTAAAGGAGGATCGTTATAATTATTTTAGCTGCAGAGGAAGGAATAGTACCAGGCTGGCTGTTTGCAGGTTTAATCGCCAGAGCTAAATGTTCATTCTTCGCAGTGCAGAGGGATCCCTGTTGTCTTAGATGCCATCAAGATGTTAGGCTTTAATTAAATTGTACCATGCTCTGAGTATTCTGGACACTTTTCCAACAGACTTTGAAATGTGGATATGCAAAAAGAAAAAATATTTATAGCGATATCCAGTGGATTTAGAACCGTTACTTCCAGTCAAACATTTTCATAAATTTTTTGAGGACAGATTGGCGTCCCTCGGTGGGCCCAGTCGCTGACACCCCAGTCTTAGATCGCACTCACCATTAAATATATCAAGTAGTAGACAGAGGATTATGGAGCGCAATTCCATAAGAAAGCCATTTGTTTTAAACCGTAATTAACCCATCAAGGATGAATTCAAAGTTCAGTTTCAGTCCGGCAGAATTTCACTTCCAGGAAGTGGAGGAGGTGATTTCCTCCTCCCCAAAGTTCTTTCAAGTCTAAAGAGAACATCTTGCCTGGATAACATAACTGTTTTATTCTAAATAAAGGGGCAGCTGAAGTTGTTTGACTAAACTTTTCTAGTATTAAGATTATCAGAGGTAATACTAGCTTAACTCCTCCTGGCCAGCTAAAGGCCCAGTCGCCCACTTTGCTTCTGCATGTTCAGCCAGGTCCCCTCATGCTAACTATGGGTTAGCAAAAGTATACAACCATCCATCTATTTTCTGACACACTTTATCCCTACTGTGGTTGCGAGGGTTGCTGGTGCCTATCTCCAGCTGTCAACAGGCGAGAGGCGAGGTCCGCCCTGGACAGGTCTCCAGTCCATCACAGGGAAACAGAGACAAACAGGACAAACAACCATTCACACATACACACACACACACACACACACACACACACACACACACACACCCCTAAGGAGAATTTAGAGAAGCCAATTAACCTAACGGTCATGACTGTGGAAGCCGAAGTACCCAAAGAAAACCCACGCATGCTCAGGGAGAACATGCAAACTCCATGCAAAACAACCATAGGCTGGGTCTCAAACCTACAACATTCTTGCTGCAAGGCAGCAGTGCTACCCACTGCCCCACCGAGCAGTCTCAGCAAACTGGAT